CCTTCTGCTACGCCAGAATATACGGTAGCATTAACGCAGTTATGAATCATCATACCCACCACCACCAATTTCTTCACACCTTTACTAAGCAAGTGTTGCTTCAGATCAGTGCCAACGAAACTGCTAACTTCCTGTTTCACTACAATTTTTTCGGTGGGCAAAGGCTTGACAATGTCATGAATTTCAGAACCGTGCGTGTTCTTGATGAGAAATGGATAATCCTTTTCTTGAGAGTCTTTGATGATATGCTTGACAAAGATAACTTCTTTTCCTTCTTGTCGGAATTTCTTGATCAATTGGGCACAGGCTTGTGCAGTTTCAATTGGGCTGCAGGTAGGAAGGTTTCCATCGGGAAAGTAATCGTTTTGAACGTCCACAATAATAAGAGCTTCTTCAGACATGTTTCGTATATACAAAGGAAGTAAAGATATTTTTTTAGCTATTTAGTCTATTTTTTGACATTTATATACTGAATTTTGACGGAAGCTAATTTCTCCGCGTGATTCTATTTGCTTATGTTTGGCATAACCTGTGGCTTACATGTTGTCGATTACAAATAATTTCTCAAGCAGTCTCGCGGATATGGAATTGTTGATCTAAATAACAATAATTTATCTAGAATCTTCTTGGAGTTGAAAGATCTCTCAATGTCATGGCCGCCGCAAATATTTCATTGTGTACGTACAAAAGTAACAAAAAGTATAAAAAAAAGTGTCACTCTTTAATTTTCATAAAAATCTTTCTAATTTGAAATGTCATATCAAAGTGGGTTGCTTAAATATTTTCATATTGTAAACAACTAAAGGATAAACATGTCCTCAGTAGATTCTCTATTTGAGACTTCCACCCAGCCATGCTGCTCTTTTTCCAGTATCCCTGCTAAGACCCGCTGCTCTTGGGCATTGGTGCTAGTGATTCTCATGTTGTATATTGTGGGCAGGCAGCATGAGTGTTCATTATAATCAGGTTCTATGTATTTAAAGATGGTTTATTGGAACATATATATTTAATTTTTTGGGTCAGGATGTGCTTCCACCTTCTCGTGGTCTGGCCTCTTCAACCAACTTTTTTCTTATAATCGGCGACTAGGAGAATCACTGTTGTTGCTTTACTTTTTTATTTATAATAAAGTCTTTTTTTGTTTGTTTGCTCTAATATATAATTATGTTCTGTATACGATCGGTAAGTATCATTGACTTAAGCTGAAGATAGAAGCGATCAGGAACATGTTTTATGTAAGCAGTGATACAACAAGGGCTTTGAGCTGTATATTTTTTAAAAACCAGCAGCGAAACCCAAAAATAGAAAACTAAAAAGAAAAAAAGTCTCTTTTGAGATACGATGTATAAAAGACTTTTGGCATATTGTATTATAGGGCTCTTTATTGTTGCCTTTGTCTTTCAACTCAATACGTACATTTCTTTTATATCCATTACAAAACCTACACCGCTGCAGCATGAACGATACCAACGAGATTACACTACACTCGTCACTTACGCAATTACCTTGATGACTGGTTCATCTATTTTACTCTTCGTGTGTTGGTTCCAACAATACCAGACTAGAAGAAGTAAATTACTAGGTCATCGTTTAGAGGAAGTTGCCATCTCTCGACTACAACGATGGCTAAGGTACGAATGGCGCACATTTTCCTGTTCTTGGTGTCTCCTTGACATTATAAAAATTACCAGTCTATGTCTACTTAATGGCTGGATTCTCTACCGAGACATGGATAAAGTAGTCGAGCATGTGGAAAATGATCGAAACATGTATTTACAAACACTTGCGAACCGGACAGCGCAATTAGCCATTACGAATATAGCAGCCAGTGTGGCTTTATCAGCCAAACTCTCGATAATTCAACGGTATTTTTATGGACCGCAACAAACGTTACACTGGCATGTCTGGTTCGGACGGTTGGGATTATTACAGGCGCTGTATCATGCCACGTATCAGTTACAGTTCAATTATGAACGACAAGGGAGCGTAATTGGAACGGTGACGACGAATATTCGACATATCACGGGTACATTGATGTTGACAGCCATGATGGTACTGTTGTTTGGATCTCACCCGGTTGTGCGATTATTAAGCTATCGGTTGTTTCGATGGACGCATATCAGCTCATTTTTTGTGCTGGTTGTTTTTGGATGCTTACATCATTGGTCATTTTATTTATTTTATGTCACGGTACTTGTGTTTTGGGTGACGGATCAAATAGACCGATCATACAGCACCAAATCATGCAAGGTGGAATCATTACCTGGAGAGATTGTGAAATTAACGTGCCACGTACCGTATCACTGTGATCAAATCCTGCCGGGTCAATTTATATTCATCTCGTTCGGTTCAACCTCTTGGATCAAGGCTTGGTTTCATTCTCACCCGTTTTCGATATGTAGAATGGATGGAGATCGGTTCGTGTTTTATGTTAAAGCGATTGGTAATAATACAAGGTATTTATATCAACTGGATGGAGACACCATACAAGCTAGAATTAGTCGACCCTTGGGCAGAGGATTCGAGTTTGAGGATTATGAAAGTGTAGTGCTGGTAGCGGAAGGGATGGGCATTACACCGTGGATATCCGTGTTAGATCATTTACAACATGCGACTGCAAGGACGAGACGGGTCCATGTTATTTGGAGTGTTCGAAGTATTGATACATTTTATGCATTTGAAAAGGAATTTAAAGAGATGAGTGATATCGAATTAAGAATGCAGTTGTATATCACTGGATTGATCGATCCCGAAGAAGATGTCCATGTGCCAGATCATATCCAAGTGGGGCATCGACCTCAATATCAAGAAATTCTGACAGAGATACAGCAGGAAGATAAGCATAATATTGCGATGGGCATATGCACACATGAAGAAAGCATGGTTAAAGTTAAAAATATAGGATTATTTTATTCTTGGGAAGTGAAAATGGAACGATTTGAATTATAATAAACATTTTTTAAATTCTGCTTCTAAATGGTTGCATTGACTAATGACATTTTTACCAATCAAGGTGAGTCTACTTTCTCTTGTTTCGTGGTCTTCCCATGCATTTCCCTCTACTAGCGACAGTTGATCATTGGCTACCCCTTGAATGATGTACTTTTTGTTTGGATTTTCCTGTAGGTACAATATGCCCTTGATTCTATATATTTCGTACTGAGTTGTCGTGTTTTTAATGAAGAGCTGCACAGCTGATGGATCCACAAAGTTACCGGAAGCCAGCAACATGGTTTGTTCGATAGCAGGGTCATGCTTTTTCAATGCTTCCTCATTTGTTTGTGTCACGACTGCATGTTCAAGATCGAGAATATCCAGATCTTCTAATTTAGCAAAAGTGGTAGTATACAACTTGACATTTGGATTATGGCCACGAATAAATTTCTTCATGTGCTCTAATTCCTGTGCTGATACAAGATCTGCTTTGTTTAAGAGTACAACATCAGTGTGTAACTGTGCCAGTAATTCATTCTTATAGTGACTGGGTTTTGCTAGCTGAGATTGATGAAAATGTTTGGCATCCACCAAGGTGATGATTCCATTCACATAATAGTTTTTCACGATATCATCCGTTCCCTTTCTATCTGCACCCTGAGTAATTAATTGAAGTATAGGAGTGGGATCTGCTAATCCGGTTGTTTCCAAAATAACATGCTCAATTGACTTTTCTTTTGGTTCATGATCATTACGCATAGCGATTTCCACAAGTGCATTGATTAACTCTCCACTGGAGGAACAACAAACACAACCCCTACTCTAATTCTATTAGTGAAAAGTAAACAAATAATAATATCTTTACTTTACATGCCAAATTCATACAGATTTTGTATGTCTTCTATTTTATCTCCATGCAGTATCTCGTTCTCGATACCAAAGGCTGCAGCAAACTCATTCTCAATCACTGCAATTCTTTTCTTGTTGGGAGACTGATGATTGGTGTTAAGAACTCGATTTAACAGTGTTGTCTTTCCCGCACCCAGGAATCCAGTAATTATAGTAATAGGAATACGAGGCATATTTTAAAATTAATTTTTTTTTCTTAATTTTTTTTCCTTCTTTCCCCCACCCCTTTATATAAGCCAATTCTTTGATTATTAATGGTGTAGTCAGTTCACAAATTAAACTCAGCGCGAATTTGTAATGCTTTGTTCCACACACCCAACACACACAAAACAACACCCACATAAAAAAAGTCTGTGCGTCAAAAAAAGCTTTTTTTTTTGTCTTAATAGGAGAATAAAAAATAAAAAAATGTTATTGAAAATGGAACTTCTCTTTCATCATGGAATCATCGGCTATTTGGACGGTTTTGAGGGTCATGCGGATAGCTCAAAAATGAGAGGAAAAAAAAGGAGACAAAAGGGAAATCGAGCCAGCAGATGAATCATTTAAACGCCTGACAATAAATAATCCCTTTCACGCGTCATAATCCAAAATAAGATAAAATCCTCTTTTTTTTTTTTTTTTTTTTTTTTGTATATTCTTCTCTCTTTCTCTCTCTCACTTTTTTTCAATATACATCATAAGAAATAAAAATGGTGGCTCAGTTACAGAATGAAAACATAAGCAAGGTAAAAAAGACACATACACCGAGGAATGAATCGTTATTAAAGATACGCGATTTACATAGATGATCTATCGATTAAAGACGCGGTTGGCATTAGCCAATTTCAAAAGGCAATATGGATATGAAAGATATGATTTATACACTTTAGAATCCAGTCTTTTAAAATCTAAAAAGAAGCCTATAAAAAAGACCAGACATCGCTACTATCCAACACACAATCACCATGGACACAAATCGACCGTGCCGACATCGTTCCAACACCAGCAGCAACATCATCATCACAGGTCATCGTTGTATCCAAGGTACCCATTATCCGAAAAGCGTAGTACATCACCACAGCAACACCACACATCAATTATACCCACTGATGAAGACGCAGCAAACGTATTAGTCATGCTACACAATATGTCTTAACACACACACACACACCAGAAAATATATATATTTAGAATATATATTATAATTCTCCTATTATTTATTTTACCACAGACACTGTTTAATCTACTCCCTCCCTCTCTAAATCCATTTTCTTTATACCATTTCTCCCCCCTTTTTGTTGTTATTGTTGTTGTTGTTCCTCTCTCTCTCTCTTCTTTTTTATATAACATTTATACACAATGAATAAAACAAACAAAATATTAAATCATTATCATTCACCTATCGGCTGAGTTGTAGTAATAAATCACGCACGCGTTTTCGAATCAGGGCGTTATCACATACAACACTTGTAGCTACGTAGGGAGATTCAACACGTGCAGACCCCAAGACATGAATCACAGGTTCATCGTAATGGATAGGAATCCGATTCTATATATGTCATCTTTTTAACTTTTTTTTTTTTTTTTTTTTTTGCTTGTCGCACATCCATACTTAGCATACCTTTTCAAATAATCCAATCACTCGTTCTCGCTGATGATCAATCCATTCCTGGGTAAATTCATCGTCGGCTTGATATTTGAAAAAAGAGTCCATTAATTTCACATCTATCTTGTCTTTGTCATCGACTATTTTATCAAGAGAATAAGTGCCTGTTGTATCAAAGAAAAAAAAAAGTAGGACACTTTTACTTTACTTGAAACTTTCTCAATGTCGTGATTCATCACGATGATAACGCGTTGTTGATCCAAGTCATACAAGACTACGTTCTTTGTGTCCGGGTCAATCGTATATAAGTAACCTTTTACCGGCACTTTATTGCTCTTGATCGTAATGGTTGTGCCATGTCCCACGAATGAAACTATTTGTTCTGGTGTAAAAGAATACATTTTTGAGAAAACAAAAAAAATCGAAAAACACACACACAAAACCGTACAAGAAAGTCACTTGATTGATACTCCGTGTAAAATAAAAAAAAGTGCTGCATTTATTTATTGTATCTTTGCCTCTCTTTTGTTTTCTTCTTTGCCTTGGTACTATGGATGGGAATACAGCATTATACGCATTTGACCCGTATAGATTTTTAGTGTTCATGCTGATATTCTATATCATCCCTTATCCTATTTATAGATCCATTGCTCATTATTATTCTTGGGAGACCAATGAGAAAACCATGTCGAGGCACTGGAGTGACCTCGTCAATGGTGTTTCTTATGGTCTTATCCTATTTATCTTTGGAAACTACACCCATACTCTAGGGTGGGTTACTGTAGCGGCATTTATACCTTCCTTGTTTGCCTATGCTTTAATTGCCGAATTGCCTTTTACTAGGACGTCTTTACCCAATATCAAGCACTGGCCTAAGGGTATGTGGGTTGTTTTTATCATGGCTGTTTCGTAAGCATAAATTACATGAGTGTTTGTAACGTACTAGACTCACAAAAGAAAAAAAAATAGTGTTATTTTGGCTTTTGCAGCATATCATATATATTTAGGTTCGTTGCTACCTGCTCCCTTTCTCTTTTATTACGTGTCAGCCTTGGTGATACCTGTAGCGATTTTGTGTTCTGGATTTGCATTACGCGCTGAAGTGAATAGCAATTACTGCCGAAGCCGAATCGCCAAGTGGAGGAGGAAAAGAGAAGAGGTTACGGAAACCACGAGTTTGCTTGAGACAGTGAGTCCCTATTCGAGACGGATCTCGATTCACCTGCATCATTGGCAAATATTTTACGTTTTAGCCTTCTTTACACGCTTTGATCATATTGTCTCACAAATCGGGGCAGGGATTGTTTTAGCGTGTTATATGGAAGGAGTTTGCGCGTGTAAGTCACACATTTCCTGTTTTTTCCTTGTTACTCACTTCAAACTTAATAGATGGTTATGATGCATTGGTCAATGATGATTAAAAGTATAAAAATATAATTTTTTTTATTGTTATTATTACTATTATTATTGTGTATTGTTGTTGGGTGATGATTGTTTGGTACATTGGAGAGGATTGGTATTTATATTTACATAAGGGGATATTTACATGTATGATTAGTTTTTTTACATTGTGCACCAACGGGATTGCAATACTTGGTCAATATTGAAACGAGACTCTGGAGTTAATGAGAGACAGCTTTTGATGAGGTCTTGTAACTCAGCAGAAAGGTAAGGTGGCATGTGGTAATCTCCTTGCATGATCTTTTGTTGAAGACGAAGGTCATAATCATCATGGAAAGGTAACTTGGCAGTCACCAGGGCATATAAAATTACACCCAAAGACCAGATATCAGTGGATGGACAGGAGATGGCCTTGGCAGACTTGATCTGTTCAGGGGCTGCATAAGCAAGAGAGCCGGCAGCGCAGTCCAACTCGTCAAGAATCTCTGGTGATAATGGTAAATTCGTGACTGCATTTAATTTTAAGGGTTGTTGACAAAGAGCAAGGCCGAAATCGCATAATTTGACATTGTTGTCTTGGTCAAACAAGATATTTTCAAGCTTTAAATCTTTATGGCAGACTTTGGCTTCCTCGTGCAAATACTGAATGGCTTGAGCTAACTGAATAAAGATGCGGCGTGCTTCGATTTCAGACATGGGCTTCTTTAATAAGTCTAATAAGCTACCGCCAGAACAATAATCACAAATCAAAAAGGTAGCTGAATCAGTCTCGAGTACTTTGATCAGACGGACGATATGAGGATGATCTAATAACTTCCAGATGGATAACTCTCTTTCGAGTCTGTAGTCTGTTTCTTCAGTATGGAAGGACTTCTTGATGATTTTGATGGCCACCTTTTGACCATCGGAAACACGGAATCCTTTACGGACAGTAGCAAAACCACCATAGCCGATGATTTTGTCCAATACATAGTCATCAATTTCATCACCTTCTCTTTCATCGTTCACTTGCTCCTGGTTGACAGGTGAAAGAGCGAAACTGGCCAAGAATGAAGCTGCAGGAGATTTAATGGTCTCCCAAGATTTGCTGGACATTTTCACATTGGGCTCAAATGATTGGCTTGGACGATGAATCTGACATTTGTTGCGAGAAACATCTGTTCTTGCGGTAGGAAATGACTTGCTGGACTCGTGTAAACATGTGGCGACAGAGGATGTACTGGAAGAAGGTGAGGGGAAAGGTGAAAGGTTGTTCTGTCTGTTTAATAAGACGGGAGATACAATGGCATGCGTTGAACCCTTTTCATAAAAGGAAATACCCAGAGGGTCTGTGTCAATATGAAGTGGCACAGCTTTCTTTTCCTTATTGAATTGACATTTGTTATTATTGTTTGAGAACATGCAAATTATGAGATATATAAAAAAAGTTTGATTTATTTAGTTTTAAAAAGAAGAAGAAGAAGGAAAAAAGGGTGAAGGAAAAAGTTTTTTTTTATATTTTTTTTCATGTCTTATTAAATCATGAGCCTGAATTCAAAAGATTCCGATTTATCCAATCAAATGATATCCTAAGGTCTTATCTGCATCAGTACTATAAAAAAGTTATCTTTTTGTGTATATTTTGATATCTCGACCAATAAAAATCTTGCATAATCAAAGATAAGAAATATCAAAGCATATTATTCTGTTGGTAGATGATAAGATCTTTTTTTTTTTCCCCTTTTTCTTTTTGCTTGTCTTGAATCAATATAAATATGATGTGAATTATATATCATAGCTACGTTAACATTTGCTGTTCAATGAAAAAAAAAAAAAAAGCTTTTTTTTTATAGGTGGTATCCCCGATTTTTCCCGAATATATATTTGCTGGTAAAAAAAAAATCATTCCCACCCAATACATCACATGGTCCTATCTCTCTTGTTGTTTATTATTCCTAATTAAAACGCCCATTTTTTTTTTTTTGTCACGACTGTCAGCAATTTTCTTACGTCACATTCGACACATTGTTTGGCTACATTTTAGTAAATCACACGCCACACAAAATAAATTTTTTTACCCATTGTGCCTGAACGCTAACCCAAGATTTACCTCTTTAGTCCTACATTAAAGTTCATCTGATCTGCCTTCTTTCTTTCATTTATGGAAAATATACCCAGTTTTTTTTATAATCACACATTAGACTCACGCACACGCGTTTTTTCCCCCCAAAAGATCCCATTGCATTATCTGTATAGGAGAGAAAAGACTATTCATTCTGAAAAGGAGATTGACAATAGTCCTATGACGATTCAAACATGAGACTCCTTGTTTTTCGTTACTATTCCAAAAATAAATTTTTATGACTCTAATCTAAATACAGCACCCAAACGTTCCTTTCCAAATTCAAAATTATATCCATTTAAACTAGTCCCATGTGAATGTCCATTACCCCACATGTACGCAGTAAAACATAAATACTATCACACACTCTCTCTCTTACCTGCATTTATAATATATATCCTTTTCACCCCCAACTCCCCCTCCTAAATTTTATTATAACTAGTCATTTTTCCAACTCCTTCTTTTTGTGTAAGGAGTCCCCAACCCGTCCTATCCCGCTCCCCCTCACCAAGGAAACGGGGATCATCACCAAGGTAACACACAATGGCAGAACGAAGCTAAAATTCAACCGGGCGGAGTTCGATTCAGCTGTCAGTTTATATATTTCATAAACGAGCTGAGATGAACTAGAGCCAATCACATGCTTGCTCCAGATAAACATCGTCTTGTGTTCCCGTCGGGGAATTTTTTTTTTGGTGAATTTTAAAAAGTAACTCTTTAAGAAAGTGAGCACATAATCCCAAAAATGGGATTCTAATGTTCTATACGACCATGTTTCATGTGTGTGATGCGTCATGATGATTGAATGTGTCTGTTGTCAACTGCGGATGATGATAGGATATGCAGCAATGGGTCAATGAACACAACTTGGGTCTCGATTGTTTATAGGCCTATATCAACCCTTGTCATTGTTGGATCCTAGTAAATGAAAGCTTTTTTTTTTCATTACGCAATAGGTCACTGCTCGGTATGATATACATATAACATGTTCGATTGTAAAGTCGACCAACTATTTAAGGTGTTTATGCTAAAGCTTCGGGATTGCCAACAAAAAAAAAAGCTATTTCCAATATATGACTAGAGGTAGCATGTAAACATTGACAATGATCTAATCTTTTTTTTAAGAATTAGTCTAATATAAATACGTTTCGAAAATATGCATTGTTATTGAATGATAGGATATGGCAAGACTAAAAATAGAGGTAAACGAATTCTGCTTATTTTTAAACCGGATTTTGTCGTGATTTTCTGTTCAAAATATTGTGGCTAGTTGTTAATACAAGTATAAATAGCCACTCTTGCAAAGCCACGTAAATCAGATCACTGTTATGTCATATCAGGTGCTATTTTGATAATAGTCAGTGAATAAAGTATTCAATCTTGTATAAAGTTTGTCCCTCAAGTAGTGAATTAAAATAGAGGAACGCCGCTATTGATCGAGTTGATACTTATTTCGGATTAAATGTAAATTGGCTGCACAAAATTCTCGGGAAGCTTAATCGGGAACTCTGTGCCTACATTTCATGCATTTGTAGATACACAGAATTTAAAGCTCCGAATTTAAAGAGTTTTTTTTTTATCTAATAAATATAATTGACTATTTCGCATTTGATTGTCTAACAAGATTCAGGTTAGGTAGTGTTTGTTCATGTGCTGTTTCAACGTTAAATAAAAAGTTTATCCATCTATACAAGCTAATCAGACTTTGAGAAGAATATTTACAGCTTTATTTTATAATCTTCATTTATGTCAAACAAACAAAAAAATCACTCGAGTGTAGTTACACGAACAAATCAAAGAAGTGATAAAAGTTGAAGCTATCTCTTTAAATACTCTTCTGAGTAACGACAACACAGAACATATCGATACCATTAAAAAAAACAAATTAAATTACTAAAGTGAAAAAGAAACCAGATCTGGCGCAATTAAGGTTCTCGCATATTTGTACTTGCAGGACATTTTATTAATCTTGTCGGATGGTCGCCGAATTATGCCCCCCCCCCACTAAAGGGATCGACTGGAAATCATTGTCCCACATTCTATTAAGATACAGTGCGGCAAACAATTGCCCGTTTTGAAAAAAATAAATGGCGATTTCAGAAAAACATTATGGGCAAAGTTCGAATTGAGTTCGTATTTGACTTGTTATACAGTCAAAAGTCTGGTTAATTGTTTAAAAGATGAAAAACAAGATTAAATACAATAGATCAGTTTAAATCGTAAAAAAAGAAAAAGAAATAGGAGCAATCACAGCTTCAATGACGTGGACTTTTTAAATTTCGCAACAGAACAAGAAAGCTATATGTTAACTGTGACTATGCGTAACCCGTAGTGCCATAACCCTCAACTCTGTTCTTATTTCTCTGTCTTATAATGTAACCAAAGTCGTTCAGACCAGGAACCAACCTCATTTGTAAAGAATAACAAAACGACCTCTGGTATTGAATGTCATTACTAAAGCTATACTAACTTTAACCAATAGATACATTTTGAATCTTGTAAATGGCTAAATGCAACGCGCAGTGATCTTGTCCTTGTTCTTAGATCAGCTGAAAAAAGCCCCATAATTGACATTGAGTCCCAACGTACTGTGGACCAGAGATTCATGGAAAGAGTCATATCATTTCGTCTTTAGGCGAGCAAGAAAATTGATGCCATCTTAACCGTTTTAATGTATGCACCGAATTAGTCCAGGAATCTGTGAAATAAAGGTTGAGAAAATATGATGATTTGCCTTGTTATAAAGCCTGTTCATATTTTTGGGCAAACTAATGCTGTGTTATAGACAATAATAGTATCCAAAATCATATTTATTTGCTGCTTTCGGTTTATTCATAACCAACCAAGATATATCAATTGATCTGGCTTCAAGAAACACCGACCCAACTAGATATATGCTACATCGTAAATCCCTCGATGTCTACCCAAAGATTCTTGAGTGAATGAACTACAGCTACCGAACGGCGTCTATTACGTGAAATATAAAAATGTATTAAGTCTTTTGAAAGACGACAGTACATCGAGAAGCAGCATACTAAACTATGTATCAGCACACAGTCCGCCGATGCTGGTATATTAAAGTAGACCTTTAATGATTTTATGGAAATTAAACTTTTTTGTCGTGGAAATAGGCAGAGCAACGATGCTTGACCTGTGAGACACGGATACTATTGCTTACATATTAATGCTTTATAAATACGCAAAATCATTTTTTATGTGTATGACCGTCAAAAAAAAAAAAAAGAAAAAACTTGTCTAACACCTAAACACTTATAAGCAAAATAACTGCAGACTAAAGTCGTAAGGCGGTTGCGTGGTTTGGTGTAAATTGAAAAAAAAAGAGTCAATCCACCTTGTGTTATTGTCTAATTCAGGGATTTATTCTATACGCATTAATAAATTGAAAACTACAAATTAAAAATAAGTATCAGCATATTTTTAACATTAATGGCGTGTATAGTTGGTTGAGCTTTTGGAGCTGGTACCTTATTATTACCTTTTATTATGCTACTCTTGAAAGTATGGCAACTTTATTATATTATTTAGGCACTTAATATAGCTCACTACTATATTTATGAGAAATTACAGTATTACCAATAAGCATGGAAATGTTTTAATAAAGATGATATCTTTTGAATGTTTGATGTCTTTGTTGTAGCTGATTGACGCCATTGATGCCACTTACAATGTTAAGGCCTATTAAAAAGTGATAAGGACAGTGCTACACATTTTAAAGACTACTGCCACCTTACTTTTTTTAATAATCGTTTAAATGCTGTCATATAATGAGGTTTGAACAGAATACTCTTGATGCTCAGGTTCACAATAAATTTAAACAACTCTTGTTGCTTGATATCATAGTAAATTATATGTCATTTATAGTCTTGTCTAATAAAAACTCTCTGGTTATTAACGTACAAACTATGATTAATATTATTAAATATTCTCCCGCTGTGTTGCAGTTTTTGAAGCAAACAGTTTCCACCATCACACACCATTTAGAATGATGTATTTGTAACTATTAGTCTTATTATTTTCTTTGATATGAAGATTATCGGGCAGAAGAAGTAGTAGGAGTAAAGTCCGGCCAAGAACCCCTGTGATCCCGTTCTATATTTCGCCATTCTATATAGTAAATGCAGTCTTAAAAATAATGATATGTGTATGATGGCACTTGTGAGTGGCATTGCTCTTCTTAATGTATCTTGCCGACGTCTCTCATCTTGAAATGCTTAGTTGTCTATTTCAATCTGGTTTACGCGATGATGAATATGGTTTTTCATGAAGAACAAAATTTAAGAGTATAAACCAAAAGCAATACGTGTTAAGACTTTGATGCCACAAAAAAAAAAAAACTATATCATAAAAAAACCTTTGACAGTTGATGAGAATATATACCAATGAAGAAGATCATTCCATCATAATACTGCCTTAAAAACGATAATGAGTTATCTATAAGGTATTTTTTAAAGAATACCAATCCGAATGAGCGGTATGCACACATTGTCTGAGTATCTTGCTCCGCTACCGATGATGATGTGAATAGAATTGCTCAGCGTTAAGGTATGCGAGTTTTTGTTGCCCTGAATCAAGCGAAAAAAGTCATCAAACAAGACTCAAACACTATACAAAATGGAGGATAGATGAAGTCATTTGAACGTTAGATGCTCAATAAAAGGTTGATTCAAGTGTTTGTTATATAAAAGGAGGCATTGATTTGCGAGGGGAAGGAGGGAGAAAGAATGCTGTACAAAAGTTTATTATCTTCTTGATTGAGAAAAGGCTGATGATATACAAATTAAGCGATTTTCTTGAATGAATTGACCAAGTCTGTTGATAAAATCGAGTAACGGCTTGCGAGTGGTGTTGTTGTCAAGTATCTTGACCAGACTGTATAAATAAAAGAAGCATGAGTATACTGTACATGATTAGAGAATAAGAAAAAAAAAACTTACCCCAGAATGAGAACTTTTTACCCAACCATTTACCAACAAAAGGAAAGACAACAAGAGAAAACAATGAGCTTAATTGCTCTTTACTTTCCTCCCATTCCGCTTCGGCATCGTAATCAGAGTAATCGTCCTCTTCGCTGTATCCATCTTGCGTGTTGAAATTATCTTCATCAAGACTTGAATATGGATTCTGTTCTAAAGTTGCCATCTTTATTTGTAATTCTATTTCTGTTTGTAAGAGAGAGAGAGCGAGAGAGAAAAATACAAATGGACGACTTTAATAAAAAACCCCGCTTTCCCTTTTGACTACTCTACTTGTTTACGCGTTTAGCTTGTAAAAGAGGAAGCGTGGACACGAATTTTTCTTAAACTTTGACGTATAATGCTTTATCTAGAGCTTTTTTTTAACCCGTTAAATAGATGTATTTGTTGTAGCATTTTGTTATATAAGGGGTTTCCTTTGCTGCCCTAATGTTCAATAGCCAATCAAATGCGCGTTTTCCTAATTTGTGCTCTCTCACTCTCACTCTTTTCCACACATGGATAATTTTGGGGGGAGAATATATTTACGTTTTCTTTCTTATTCTTTTGCAAGATGGACACCAAACTGCTATCGAGACTTGATTTACTAGCGGATAACACACTTTCGGTTGTTTTTGAACGAAACCGGTTAAAGGGGTTAAAGTAAGAAGTAACCAAAGAAAAAGAAAAAAAGCAAAAGCTTGGCATTAAGCCGTGCTTCTTTTTTTTTAGACTCAATGTAGATAAATACGAAGGAAATATACAAAAGAACTTGAATCAATTACGAGATGGCATTAAAGTACTGGAGCAACAATTGTCGGAAGAAGAGCAATCGGGAGCAAGGTAAGGAAAAGGCCAAGCGAAGTTAACAAGATAATTAAAGAAAAGGATCGTTATAGAGATACCAAGAGTGAAGAGGATAAATTAATACAATTACAAGTCAAAGTAGACAAACTGGATGCGCTATTGGGAAATCAAGATGATGCAACTGCCAGAGATATCTTGTTGAGAAATAATAGAGGAAAACCATCTGTTCGATTTACAGCTGTGGATATGAACCCTAATGATCTTGAGGATGGTCAGATATTACAGCTTCAACAGCGCATTATTGATGGTAATCTAATTTATATACATGTGCGTATATGTATATACACAAGTTTGTAACCTTTTGAAAATGTGTAGACCAGGATACAGATTTAGATCACTTGTCGTTAGCGATACGACGACAGAGAGAATTAGGCCTATTGATTGGCGATGAATTAGAGACACATGCTCAAATCATTGATGAGACGGAGGAGATGGTTGATAGAACTGATGAGCGATTAAGGCAGGCCAAGAAGAAGCTGGACTACGTCGGTCGCAGAGTCAAGGACAACAGTAAGTGATTTTTATAATCTATCTACCTTTCCTTACTAAGTTCCTATGGTAGAATCCGTTTGTATCGTGATTGGCTTGATCATTGTATTTTTTATTTTAGTTGCATTGTTTAGATGAAATAAAATACAGCTGCTCTTTAAAATAATTAGTAATGATCTTTTTTTTTTTTAATTTGTCATTCTTTTTTTCTTCTTCTTCTGTTAACCATACACATACTTACAATGTCAAATTCAGCCAAAGAAGAGATTCCTGAAGACGCTAATGAGCACTGTCCCGTAAGTAGTCCTTCCTACATGTACATGGAGAAGCTAAAAGCAAGTTTTTCTAGGGACCCGAAAGTGAATTAGCCGGCAAGAAAGATGCATGCGATGGCTGTCCTAACCAAACCATTTGCGCCACAGCACCCAAGGGACCTGATCCAGGTAATGTAATACTGCTCTAAATAGCACATGAAAGACTAATGGTGAGAAAAATGAATGGAGCAGATATCTCAGTGATTGCGGAACGTTTGTCAGGTATTAAACACAAGATTCTTGTGCTTTCTGGTAAAGGCGGAGTCGGTAAATCGAGTTTTACTTCGCAATTGGCATGGGCATTATCGAGTGATGAGGATGTGCAGGTGGGTGTAATGGATATTGATATTTGTGGACCTTCTATCCCTACGATTATGGGTGTGGTGGATGAACAAATTCATCAGAGTAACAGTGGATGGCAACCCGTATATGTCCAGGATAACTTGGGTGTGATGTCTATTGGTTTCATGTTACCAGATAAAGATGATGCTGTGATTTGGAGAGGACCTAAAAAGAATGGACTGATCAAACAGTTTTTGCGGGATGTGGATTGGGGAAATCTGGATTTTTTGTTAGTGGATACACCACCTGGAACTTCGGATGAACATCTTTCATTGGCCTCATTCTTGAAGGAATCTGGTATCGATGGCGCAGTGATTATCACTACACCACAAGAAGTAGCACTTCAAGATGTACGTAAAGAAATCGATTTTTGTAGAAAGGCAAAGATCAAGATTTTGGGTTTGGTGGAAAATATGTCTGGATTTGTTTGCCCTAATTGCCACGGTGAATCTGTCATTTTCCCTCCTACTACAGGTGGTGCAGAGGCATTAGCCAAGGAATTTGGCATTGCCTTGTTGGGAAGAATCCCTTTGGATCCTCGTGTAGCCAAGAGTTGTGATATGGGTGTCTCCTTTTTAGACGAGTATCCTGGTTCCCCTGCCTGTGTTGCCTATGAAGATATCATTGACAGTGAGTCATGTTTACAAGTATATTTAACTGGATAACTAATATTTATACATTTATAGAACTGAGAGATATTGTGGAATAAAATACAAAAAATGCCTGTGTGTGTGCGGTGTGTGTGTGTGTGTGTGTGTGTGTGTGTGTGGGGATTTATTAACAAAAGAGAGGGATATACTACAAGACGGATAAGCTTGTTACATTTTTCATGATTTCTCGTTCGTCCTCATTCAATAAATAACTCTTTTGATCATCCCAAATCATGTTTCCATTGCGATAATCGACTTGCCCTAAAACTAGTATTGAATACTGTTTATGTTTGGCAATAGTTTTTGCATCAACACGAAATGGACGCAGCATACTGGAAGGTAGTGTTGACTTGTGTTTAATTTTAGCCAAGAATCGACTGGTGACTGTATCCTCATCCTCTTCCTGTACTTTTCTGTATGAACGAAGCATTCTTCTGCCCGGATCAAACAAGATGAGATTACGTTTACCACTTTTCAAGACTTCGATGCCCACGACTGTTCGACTATGGCCTTGATGCTGTAAGTAGAGTGGAGGTCTGTCAGTGATATAAACATTCGTTTGTTCTGTTGTCTGGGCAGGAGTGAAATAAGATTGAATCCAATCGAGCATATCGTTGTGTAGTTTTTGTGGGCCTGGTTGGTGGAAATCAATGATGGTAGAACGGATGCCGAGATAGGTGAATAAAGTATAGACTTCGGTTGTGCCAATCCATTTTCGGGTCTTGAACACTCGATTATCCAGTTGTGCAGCTCCTAGACTATCAAAGCCTTTTTCTATTGTGAGTATGCTTGTGATGTATGGCTGATATCAGTCTTACCTTCTTTCCAAGCTTTTTCAATCAAGAATTGAATTCCAGCAATGTCTAATACACTTTTTAAAAGCGGTTCGCCATCTTCGTTTTGGCGTTCGAGAAAACTCATGAGCATTTGACAATTACGATAACCACAACCCCATCCCAAGTCCATGAAGCCACTGGAAAGATGGTCCGTTGTCGGACTACAAAGGTAGGCAGAAACAGTTTCTTCCTTTGTAAAGTTTGGCTCCAAACGAGGAATGACACCTGTTATTCTGGGTGTTAAAAAATTTTCGATTTTTTTTTTTTTTTTTTTTTTTTGTTACCAGAGGTTCGACAATCTTGCTTCAGAAAAGTGATTTTGTCCCAAAGTTCCTTGTCGGCATTAATGCGCGATCGAACAGGCAATGTTTTTAATTGTCTTTTGCAGTCGCTTTCTTGCTTCATGTCGTCCATTTCTTTTCTCTATATAATATATATTTATATAAAAAGAGAAAGAAATTAATATAAAAGGAGTGGAAGCTATTTATACTTTTTTGTGTACCTTTACACTTGAAACTTTGACGTCTTTATTTCCAACCGTACATCGAACTGTATTTTCATGTCAGTCACCTTCTTTACATTGACCTTTTTTTTTAAATTTTTACCTTGTGTAAGCACTGTTTGTGTCATTGTATATGAATAATAATAAACGGGAGGAGAAAGAGAGAAAAAGGTGGAGCTAAGAATCGAAAAAAAAATTTTCTTTTATATATTTTTTTTTTCTTGTCCTCATTACATAGTGATAGCTCCCTCTTTCTTCTCCATACTAATGCAGCTGGTACAACTATTTATCTAAACTCAGTTTGATGATTGGGGAAAAGCTTTTATTATTTTTATTTTCAACAACACGTCGGCCGACACTCTCGCGAATTCTATAAAAGGCAAGAAACGCGTGTTTATATAAAAAAGACGTGGTCATTATATACATTCATTCATCTTAACAAGCATATCTAAATAATCATGTCAAATGATGTCTTGTTCACACAGTATAAAAAGCATCTTACCGTTTAGTCCATTCACGTGCAGTGTTGTCATGTTCCTCTCTATTTGTCAGGTATTGCTGTGCAATTGAACCCACCAATGGATCATCTATAGAAAGCTGTATAAGTGATTTATGCAAACAACAACAACAAAAAAATAGACTTACGAGGATTGGCGTCTGTTAATAAAGAGCAAATAGATAATAACACCTTGGAAATGGTCAAGGCAGGAGACCAGTTATCCTTGAGGATATCGAGACAGATGCCCCCTTGACTATTGATATTGCAATGGTAGATACGAGTTCGGAAAGTGACCTTGGGGGGTTTGAAAGGGTAATCTTCGGATAGTTTGACATCCAAGAAGAAGATACCTCCTGCATAAGGTGAATCACTCGGTCCAGATATCGTTGATCCCCAATCGTATAAATTATCTCCTTTCGGTCCAGCACTATCATTTCCCATTCTATTCAGTCACTCTTACTACTCTTTCACTTTTATTCACTTACCTGCAATTAGAAGGCGGGTCAAGAGAAATCTCTGCTAATTCCTTGGAAATTCTGCTTCCCTTTTACATTAATACATGTCTCGAACAACTTTATTTTTTATCTTTGTATACCTTTTGGCACTGCTGCTGAGGGGTTTGGGGTTGGTAACCTTCTTACTACTGACAACTTTGGTGGATGTCGTAGTGGGTACTTCGTCATCAATAAGAATGGCTGAAGCACTGGATTCTCCACTGCCCTTCTTTCCATTAGCGTTTGTACGGCCTGTACGTGTTGAAGTCATTTATATTTTGGAAAAAAAGAAAAAAGAAAAAAAAAAAGTTCGGTAATTCAAACTTTATGTTTAAATCCAACAATCCACTGCTGTCATACAGTTGCTGCACTTCCTGTGAGATCACATACACTGATGAAATTATCCAGATAATCTATGCCACTTCAAACCAGATACGTACACTGTCTAAATTGCTAGAGGATATTTATTTATTACTTTCCCTAGATAATCCATCTACTTAACGATTTCATTCTCTCTAATCAAATAATGGCTGTTCATGCATAGCTGAATTCTGTACAAGGCACTGTGCTTATTCACACATATGCTGTGGTATCCTTTTGTGAGCCCCAAAAGGCACCCAAACGTTTATGATTGGGTTGAATTAAATGATAATTTTTTTGGATAATGGCCCAGCTTTTTTTTATACGTACTTTTTATTTTTTAAGTGCTTTTCTTAGGGACAGCCAAATTTTCCTTGAGGACAGCCAAAGTGCACGTAGTCATAAGATAAGATCTGTGATTTGGCTATCCTTTGTATCATCAAAAACAATATAATTATTACGAATAAGTGTAGATATATTTAATGATTTATACTGGGTTTAACAATTCTACCATCACTCCTTCGCTTTTAAGCTCGTTTAATCGTAATCTTACGCAGAAATATTAAGGTAAAGTCCAAACGAGTAACTGAAAGTAAGCTATAACACACATATACTATTTAAACTATGTTGGTTGTAATAAATTTGTATCTAGTTCAAATTATTAAGTTATATAGACCTCTTGGTGTCTATTTAAATATCATGATCCCAACATTACGACTACGCGCACCCTGGCTGGGCCCTAAGAGACCCGTATTTTTTTTATGTCTGTTTTTTATGTCTATGAATACGCCTGTTTTCTAGTGTGTGAATTTTCAAGCATATGGATGATTAAATAAGCAAATTATCCTGACATAAGCCAGCTCTTGTTTACCAGCTTATATAAATAAAACTTTCTCACATGATCTTTTGATTAAATATGTAAACAATTAAATCATCCTGACATAAGCCAGCTCTTATTTATCAGTCTACAAATGAAACCCATTTAAACATTTTTATCCTTTCTTCTTCTCTTCATCTTTTTTTTCTTTTTTATTCATATACTGTATAAAATTGGGAAAAGGTTAGTTAATAACAACTTTTGTTTTTTATAGAAACACTAAAATATTAATTTTTTTAAATATAAAAAAGACATACTCTCATTTTTTGTTATCACGGCTACGGCTAGTCTTTGTAATATTAGCAATACTTCTCCGTTCCCAGTTGTAAACATTGGGGGAGAAAATCGAATGGGTTGTCGTTTGTGCAGGGCTAAAAACGATAAAGGTAGTGGTATTTCACTGGCGCCGAAGATCCCACTTATGCTACACCCTCTAGGTCTTTTTAAAGATCAAAAGTATGTAAGAAAAAGAATGGATCACGTGAATCTAAAAAATACGTAGAAGAATTTACAAAGATACGCAGGTGTAGACATTGTCCTAGACATTTCCATCGTTTTCTTTTAAACCCGTTTTTTTTTCTCTTTCACAACTATGAACAATTCAATTGAAGATGTTACACGCTTTGTGTCAAAAAAAACATCGACAGACTAGATTATCATAAGTTTGCTTTAAGCTTTGTTGATAATTGGAGGGATAAGGAACATTGCCAGGAATGTTTTTCTAAGGCTTTAGGGATAATCAAGGACGACAAATCGAACAAACCAGGATCTAAGCTTGCCGAGAAGTACCTTCAAAGCATTGACGTAAGTTAGCCCAACTTATTAAAAATAAGAACATATCCAAACTTTTTTTTTTTTCAGAACATCCTCCAAGACCAACGTGTAAAGCAATTGTTCGAAGAACTTGAAGTAAAAAGGGCGGCACAACGTCGGTGCATGAAGGAAAAGCAGTATAATGACAACGTTGCTTCTGAGTTTTTTCAGTTCAGTAAGTCTCTGAAGCTTAGACAGATTATTTAAAATCCCGTGTCAATTCAGGTTGGCTTTCTTTTCTCTTTTTTTTTTTTAATTTTAAAAAACAAACTATTGATACATTCTTTCCTCCACTAAGCTAGGATTAGATGATACACAAAAAAGGTTTGATATCAATACTTGAAGCAAACATCTACATGATTATTTATATTTTCACATTACAAGGTCATGCAATTCGCTAAATTATTAAAAATCACCAAGGAAAACTGGTTTTAGCCAGCATTGGCTTTATCTAAAAAGTGCACCCTTTCGTAATTTGAGGCTTTTTTGCATGTATTAGCTCTAAAATTACCACGGTTATGCATGTAGTAAAGAATATGTATTGCGGCGTAAACAGCGTAACACACAAAAAAAGGCACGTTCCCGAAGTATCAGAAAGACAAGCAGTATCGAAGAATTGTAAGTATTCTGTATAATATACATATGCATAGGAATACTAATATTTCAACTAAAATTGCTGTTAGATCTTTAAATTCAATATATTATATATACAAGCCTAAAGGTCCCTACGGAGTTCAAGATGACTTGTGAGAAAAGATGCGTAGGGAAATAATGTCACCATATGAAACCGAACATGACTCTACAATCGGCAACTTTCAAGTAGAGAAAATAAGACCTGTATACAAGGTAAGCCCATGCAAAGTAGTATAATATAGCATATCATTGATTTATGTAAGAAAAGAAAGCACAATTGGATATAGCTATGGCGCACCAAATGTCGAAGAAACTCTTAGGGGACACAACGACCCACGAATCTGAGCATATGGTTGGCACATTGATTAATTTGTAAATACCGCCATTAATAATTTTAAAATTCAATAATTTGATCCTTTGATCCTTTGCTTCTATAGTTTAAGAATAGTATCAAAAAAGAGCTCATCTGAAGATATGTTCACGAAGAAGTATGTCACACCTCTTTTATCATCATACTTAATAGAAAATGAGTATCTCGAAGTCACTGGGTAAATATATAAGCAATCTTTTGTTGGCATATAATTGCACTTAAAGTAATCACCGTGATATGCTAATTATAATGATAATTGTTGATATAGATGCGGTGAAGAGTCACATAGATCCAAGCTAAGAAGAGGAAACAGCCACGGAAGAAACGGTGGAATTATTATTTTTACCACAGTTATTAACATGTGTCTATACAGCTGTAAACGCTTTCACGGACTTGTTTGCCGGAAATATTAGTAAAGTAAGGTGGAAGGAAATGATTGAAAATGAGACCAAGAAAGGGTGTAATGCAAGGAGTGATGTTATGGTGGCAAGGGTCTGGTTGATGGAAAGTCCAGAATTTCTCTGGTGACTATGACTTCCATGGATCTTTTTTTGCCGGTGACTATGGAATGCCTGAAAGAAGCTTTCTGGTAACTACGGAGAACAGAAAGACAAAACTTACCAGAAATTCTAGCTTTACGATGATTTATATCTTTTAGACAAGCTTAAGATTACGCGCAAAGCCGGATATGATGTAAAAAGTTGTTGCAGGCGAAAATCAGCAGAGCGTCTTTTTTTAGAAATCAAACCAAAAGAACAAAGTCATATCCTAGATCACCCTGATTTTGTAAAGCTGGCAAATATCATGAAAGATGAATTTGACAAAATTCTATTACAAAAATGCTCTGTTTGTATCCCAGTGTCCGGGATGTTGGTAGGAGGTATGACTTATTTTATTATTGAAAAAAAATATCGTATTGATGCTTAAATCTTGCAAGGACGACATGTATGAATATTTGTAACACTGGGGTCTATCGTTTTTTTGACGTTGCTTCCTTCTGCCTTCCAACGTCAGCAGCTGACATAGCTGTACTTGACTATACCTTTGATGCCATGTTCCGTCTTATGGTAGGCGATCACTTTTATATTTGTAGTTTTCCTTTTTCTCAACCCGTTACGTTAAAGATACTAGTAGACGATTCCGCGAAAAAGTTAATCAATTTTTTATGCAAACAAACAAAAGATGAAGATGACTGTCCCGATGTCAAATCGTTCTAGCTCGCCCACTTACACTTAGTTTAAAATCATGACATATAAATGCTTAATATATGTTTGAAAACATTTCTCTTCTATTTGATTATTTAACATATGTTCATCCTTTATTCATACAAACATTTTGAAAAACAACATTTCTACCATTGTTTAATGTGTGTGTGGATAATACAATAACTAATAAAAAATTAAAACGGTGTCTGTAAACAGCAACACAGCTCCAGACACCAGACGTGAGGACTGTCAAAAAGTCGGAGTGCGATATATATTTTTTATTATTGTTATTATTGACAAGCATCAAGGGGGCGGGTACACCTTATCCTGCACTTTATTTACTTTGTCTTAGATATGTCGCGTGTAGCCTTCAACCAAAGTCGCATGTTCATGCGCAAGTCCTTCGTCTCTACACCTAGCGCTTTCCGTGCCTTTTCCGCTGGACCTTCTCGTTTCCAACAACAGCAACAACAGAGTAAGAACACAACTCATTTTGGTTTCCGCGATGTTGCAGAGGAAGACAAGGAATCACTTGGTAAGGCAACTTGGGCTATACAGAGTGTAAAAAGTTAACGTGACAGTCTAGTTCATGAGGTGTTTGCTAATGTTGCTAGCAAGTACGATGTTATGAACGATGCCATGAGTATGGGTGTTCACCGTATTTGGAAGGACGAATTCATTCGCTCCATGGCACCTGGTCCCGGTACCAAGTTATTGGATGTTGCTGGTGGAACAGGTAAAAAGAAAGTCCCGTAGAATTATTAAGAGTCTGACAGGGTTGAACAAAATAGGTGATATTGCTCTTCGATTTTTGGATTACTGTAAGAATGTGCATCACGATAACACGGCCACTGTCAAATTAGTGGATATCAATCCCCACATGTTGGGCGAAGGAGAAAAGCGATTCCAGAAGACAGCCTATGCCAACAGTAAGCTCAATAATAATAATAATAATAATAGGAGTGATATATGTACACTAAATATGTTAATTATAGCCAATCAAGCCAGTTTCCTTGTACAAAATGCTGAACACCTTGATGAGATTCCCGATGAATCTGTCGATGTATATACCATTGCTTTTGGTATCCGTAACTGTACTCATGTTGATAAAGTGGTAAAGGAAGCTCATCGTGTGTTAAAGAAGGGTGGTCGTTTCATGTGTTTGGAATTCAGTAAAGTCGATAACCCTGTGATTGGAAAGTAAGTTATATCATATGAGAGGATAGAAAAGAAAGGGCACTAATATACACTCTCTCCACCCTTCTCCTTTTGACTTAGGTTCTATGATATTTATTCCTTTGATATTATTCCTGCATTGGGTCAAGCCATTGCTGGTGACCGTGATTCATACCAATACCTTGTAGAAAGTATTCGTCAATTCCCTCCTCAAGAAGAATTTGCTCAAATCATTCGTGATGCTGGTTTCAAGACCATTGGCAAGGGTTATGAGGATCTCACTTTTGGTGTTGCTGCTATTCACAGCGGCTTCAAAATCTAAAAAATATTTTTTGTTTACCTTTTGTACAGCTTGTTTTTTATTAGATACAATAAAATATACATTAAAAAAAAATAGAATTTATCCAAAAAGTGTGACCTTAGCCACCGAAACACGGCCATCCCATACAAGTCTTTCGACCCGTGTCGCTTGCTCATTATCAACATACACAGTGGGAAGTGGACTATCATTGGTATCCAACTTGATAAAAATGCGTGTCTTTTGTTTCATGTGAGGTTTCCTTAATGTGATATGCACGGCTTCATCTTCCTTGCTGATAGACTCTATTTCAGATCCAGGCACGATATTACCTGTAGAGCCCATAAACAGATCCTTGGATTCCTTTGATATCTTCATAAAGGTCCTTGTTTCATGAGGCTTGAGGAATACCTGAGATTGAGGAGGAAGCCAATCCACACGTGATCCACTGATTAAGACATTACTACGCTCAAAATAATGACCGTTCTCTATCCAAGATAATTTGGCTGTGTAAGGTAAAGGAGATAGATTGGAAATAAAGATGTATTCACGGCCATGCACTGTATAATTAGCTTGATAGACATCTAAGCCCAAAGAGACCAGGCTCTTGACTTGTGCCTCTGGTTTGGGAAAGATGGAACTGTACAACTTATGCTCCTGTTTATCATAGAGACCCACATTATCAGACATCAGGACGAGTTGACCGAATACGATATTAATCACCAATAATGTATGCTTTTCTTCCTTGGTGAGTTGATTATTATTAGATCTGACAAAGAATACATCAGGATCACTTCCAAAAATAGTGGATGCCATAGGCCAGCGGTTCAAGGTGGATGTGATGGCATTCGAGGTGGCTACACGTTCACGGACATTGGCAATACGAAGCACCGAATGATCCCACCATGGAGAAGCATCACTACTGACACGAGAATATTCTAATCTACCCCAAGTAGAGGGTAATGTTACGCCTGAACCCAACAATAAAGCTCTCTTCTGTGTGAATTCCGTAATCAAGTCCATAGCATCCCACATAATTTCACCGCGCGATTTTCCTAGACGAGGAATCATGGCAGCAGCAAATAAAAAATCTAGTTTTAATAATTTGAACCCCCAGACATCAATGACGGTATCAAACACGGATTGAAGATAAATGCGTACTTCAGGGTGATAGATATCCATCGCATAAAACCCACCCCAGTTAGGGCCTGCTACTACGAAACGACCATCGGGATGTTTGAGAAGCCAATCGGGATGCTCTTTTACGATTTTACTTTTAAATCCAACGGCATATGGAGCCAGCCAAATACCCGGGATATAATCCTGTTGTTTGATCTCTTCTGCAAGTGCCTGCATACCTCTTGGGAATTTTACTTTGTCCACATCCAACCAATCACCGATTTGCGACTCGAAACCATCATCAATCTGGAAAACGTCAATGGGATACTTGTGTTCTTTGAAAGCGTGTAAGCTGGATACGACATCATTTTCGGTGACACGTTCATAGAAATTATACCAGGAGGACCAACCTGTTAAATGACGCGGGTTTCTAAACTCATGCTTGGGATCATAGTAATCTGCATAACGTTCCCAAATAGATTTTAAGCCGCTGACTTGATCACGTTGAGCCACAAAGACCTTGATACACAACGTCTGTCCCGGTTTTAATACTTTACCATCAATATCCTTGTATAGACTGAACTTGTTCCCATTCAAGTCAGATTTATAATACGTGTAACCGGATTCTTCAGAGATAGAACCTAGAAAGACGATTTGGTTGGATTGTGTGTCTCTAAAGTATGTGTAACCTGTGGAATGAATGTGTCCTGCTTGACCCGAATAATTAAAAAAATCATAGTCTCTAGAAAACGTTTTTAGCTAAAGTACTATAGTCCTTACTTCCTTCTCTTACCCTTGTAGGTTGAATTGAGTAAACCAAGAGACTACTCCGGGAATAGAAGATATCTTGCTGTATCTGTCCATTTCTTTAGTTGTACTCCAACATTGAAATCCCTCTGCCATCATAACCTGCTTGTCTAGATTGACATCCATTTGAATTTCCAAATGGTTCAGTACTATAGGTTGTTCTCCTTCTGCTGTAAATTCGTATTGCAGTTCAAAATGATCGGGATCCAGTAAATTGACAGACCTCTTGATATCGACATGGCCAACTGTATTTGTTAACGGAACGGAAGCAAACTGAAACTGCTTGTGGTCGATTGTGTATTTCAAATGGACACAAGAAGAGGTATCCGCCAAAAGAAGCGTGTCATAGGGTGACATGGCAAATAGAAAGTGAAATAGATTAGAGAGTAGTATCAAAAAAAGAAACATGAGACCCCTCTTATTTTATGTGTGAGTCTGGTGACAAAACAGTCTGTTAAATGATTTGCTCGATACCACCAAGAGAAAGGGCGCCTTATTTATTTAATGTCCGTAAAAAAAAGTGTTGTTCATGCATTAGACTGAAGGTCCATGGAATGGTTGTGTTTTGTAAGTACCAATAGCTGATTAAATAAGCAAGCAATTCTCTTGTCTTGACAAGTGACTTTTAGCAGTACTTGCCTCAAACTGAAACGATTTCTTGGATTGTGAAACTTGAAATCATTGATAGAAACCTTGTTTCCTACCGGAAAGACGTAATATGACAGTGAATTATGTGGTATTGGCTGTGCAATGGATGACATTGTTACAACCAAAAAAATTTACTTGATTTATTTTTAAATGGGAAAAGAAAAAATACGGGAGGGCGAAACAGATGTTATCATGCACACTATTCATTTAAGCACTTTCAGTTTAAACAGTGAAGGCAGCAGATGGAGGAGGAGGCTCGGGGATATCATCAACAATGGACGTAGGTTTTTCAGTGGCGATTGCACCATCTTCATGTTCGTCGGCGTGCTTTTTATTTTGAGTTTTGGCTTCGACGGCATCAGCATCAGCAGCAGTAACATCTCCATTTGCAGTAGCAGCAGCGGTAGTAGCAGTAGCGTCAGTAGTGTTGTGAGCGGGATGGGAAGTGTCATGAGGAGGAGCATCGGCCACAGGTTTACGTGCAGAGGAAGGCTTATATGGGTTTCCACAACGGTCCTTACCATAATTCAAAGTGTAGCCTGAATAATCTGGATTTGAACGCATGGTATGGATAGCCAAGACAGCATTTTCGATACATACAAAGTTGACAAAGGCGCATCTTTTTTCCATGAAAGCGTTGACTAATTCTATTTCACCAAACGAACTGAAATCCTCCTTCAACTTTTCGACGGTAAGAGAATTAGGGATGTTACCGATGTAAACATTACGTGTAGCGCCTTGTTGGATTGCACGAGCAACGTGAGTGGAGATACTGGAAGGTTTACCAAAGCCAACACGTAACTTGCGACCACGGATGACGAGACCTGTGTCTCGTGCATAGTTGTATACAGACATAGCTGTCATAGCGTCCATAAAGGTGACAAAGGCTATATGTTTATCCTGTATAAACTTCATCTTTACTAAATTGCCACCTCGAATAATGTTGCATAAATCTTCTGTTTTGGCATCAGGATGGATATTGCCCAAGTACAAGGTACGGCGGGAAGCGGTGTCTGCACCGATGACAGGACCAGCGATGGGTTCCTGGGGAATGTAAGGGTAAAAAGAATCATAAGCCAAGTGTTGCTGTTGTTGCTGTTGTTGCGTTTGTTGCAAACTTTGGAAACCATAAGGATTGCTGTAATCAAAATAATTGGCGCAACGATCTTTACCGTAATTGACTTTGACACCTTCCCATCCAGGTTCTTTTGATAGTGCGCCCACACATTTAGTAGCTGCCATGATACTCAAGAAGTGTACAAAGGCGATATTTTTTTCAGCAAGGATCTTGACTTGTTCCAAGGGTCCATATTGGGAAGCAGCCTCACGAATGAATTCTTCTGTATGTGTATCATTGATACGACCGAGGTAAACACATCGTGTGGCACCACCTTGAATTTGTATTTTAAGCGTGATTGGGATGGTGGTTGGTTTACCCCAGCCTAATTTGATATTCATATTGTTTACAGTGATCTTCTTGGTCAAGTATTCTTGAAAGAATTTTTGTGCTTGGCCGGGTTCAACAAAGGCTAAAAAAGCACAATTTTTTTCATAACAGGTACGGAAGGATTCAACAACACCATGTCGGACATAGTTAAAAATATCCTGAAGTTTCATATCTTCAGTGACATTACCAAGGTAGATGGTACGTGTTGCTTCGCCAGCCATGATGCTAGCAGTTGCAGGGTGACTAGCACCGTACATACTATACAGGGGATGACCATAGCTGTTTTCAGGTAGAGGAGGCTGTCCAAACGGACTACCTTGAGCGTATTGAGACATGATGGCGTATTGCGACTGAGGTGTAGGCTGAGAAAATGAACTACCTTGAGCGATTTGAGCCATCATACCATATTGAGTATACACATCACTAAGATACTTTTTTAGTTTCCATTACAATGTATTTCTATTTTTATTCTCATTACCCATAACCTGATGGAGCGTAACGTGGTCTTTTGTTTTCGACAGTTGGTTCAGTTAAAGCAGCCTGCGAGATGTCGCTGTGACGTTTCATCTTTGTTGTTCTTCATAGTCTATAATCGGAAAAAAAAAGGGTGATGAGTAACATGTTTCAAGATATATTTTTTTGTTCGTATAGAAAAGAAAAGGGAGTGTATAAATAAATAAAAAAAGGAGAACTAACATTGTTCAAAAAGAGATAATAGAATAAATAATAATCAGCACCAAAATTGATAGATAAAGAGAGAGAGCAGTGTTAGAAGAAAATAAAAATAAAAGAAAATAAACGCGCGTTGTGCCTATAGGTTGCCATCATGCTGCTTTTACTTACAAGAATTAAGAAAAAGTATTAAAAAAAAAAAAAGGTACGAATAGGTGGTTTTTTTTTAAAAAAAATATGAATCTGAATGTCCATTGAAATAATAAAAAGCAAGGGTTATAAGAAAACAACAATCAAATATAGGGCTATATGAAAGAGAAGAAAAGAGAAAAGAAAAACTGTTGCTACTTGTACTTACCGACTACTGTTTCAGTTAAAAAGAGTAATCAAACTGTTTTTTTTAAAGAAAAAATAAGCTGAAAAGAAAATAGAAAGAAAAAGAATTTTTCTTCTTTGCCTTGCTTTGAATTGTCGTGACGTCGCTTTTTTTTTTAATATAGGAGAAGAGTGATACATTACAAAGACAAACATTGTGCATACAAAATAAAGCATTTATTTTCGAGTTGTCAAATATATATATACAGAAGAATAGGGTAATACGCAATGATATAATCTGTTATATATAAAAAAAGTGATATATTCATGCCATAAGAACCTTACAGAGAATTAATCAATTTGGATAGACTTGGGAGCATTTTCCTTGACCTTGGGGACGACAACCTTGAGAATACCATTGTCATAAGAGGCCTTGATAGTGTCAGCATTGACAGTAGTAGGGAAACTGAAGGAGCGAGTGAAGGATCCAACGACACGCTCATTGACCCACCATTGGGGAGCTTCACCACGAGTGGCTACTTGGCTATCACTATCCTTCTTGGTGGTCAATTCTTGAGATTGCTTCTTGTCACCAGAGGAGGCGGCCTTGTCCTTCTTGGGTACCTTGGGCTTTTCTTCATGGACCTTCTCGACGTTACCGGAAACAACCAAGGTGCGGCCATCTTCACCTACTTCGATCTTGATGTCCTTCTTGTCATAACCAGGTAATTCAGCTTGTAACTCGTAAGAGTCTTCGGTTTCATGGATATCAGTAGCGGGATATCTGAGCAAGTTGCTGTTTTGGGAACCCAATAAGCGACCCGTGTTGATTAAAGGCTGTTCCAAAGCAGACATGGCACGTTGCATGTCGTGGAAAGCATCAGAGAAAAGACGTTGTGTAAGAGACATTTTTTTTACTGTTAATTTGAAAAATAATGATGAACAAAGAGGGCTGAGTTGTTGCGCTCTATATATCTTTCTGACTTACAATTTCGAGAAATTTCCGTTCAATTTTATTGGCAGACATGTTTCATGCAGATCCATGACTTCATAATTTCTGGAAATTTCGAGATGTGAGACGAACAGGAGAAACACGTTTTTTAATTGCAAAGGAGAGAGTGAGTATAAGTGAAGAAATGTGTATGAATACATTTAGATCTTCTCTCTTTTCTTTTTCTTTTTATCCTTTCAAATAATCAATGTTGGCACCTACAGATTTACCTGCTTCACCTACCTCGTTGAATAACAAAGTCATTTTTGAATATAACGATGACATGGGTGACGATGATGTTTCATCGGTCTCTTACAGGGCTTTACCCACGGGCAGTGATACCAGCAGCATATTTGATGACCACAATGAAACCAAGGTGGTTTTACCCGCCATGGAAATAGTCATACGAAACCTGGGTTTAATCCAACAACAACAGCAGCAGCAGCAGCAGCAGCATCAGAGGACTGTCACAAATCATGTGAAATCAGATGATGGCGCCATTCACTCTTTGGATATGGAAACAAATGCATCAAGTATCAGTCAGATTGTCAATATCAAACACGTACCTATCAACCATCTAGGTCCTCGTGAACAAGAAGAAGCTGGTAAACAAGGATCATGATGGAAAAGCAATTACACTTACTGACAATCTCGATTAGATGAGCCTGTGAGAAAGGGTATGAGGTACATGTTCGACAATAAATTCACAAAGGCCAAAGCTCTCTTCCAAACCAAATCAAAGAGGTATTTCAGTGCCTGATTAAAAAAAAACAAGGAGAAAATATAATTATTATTTTTTTAATCTGACTCCCTAATGTAATATATTTCCTTTTCATAGTGATCCGTTGTATGCCTTGGGATTGGGTGCCATGACATTTATCAAAGCTATGATGGTATTTACACACACACACACACACACACACACACACACACACACAAACACACATTTATTATAAGGATAATAATAACTCAACTATTCATAGACTTATAATGCGGACGACATACAATTAGCCATGGATACCCTGTCTACAACGTGTCAAATTGCAAAATGTCAAATCGATCCCGTTGGTATCAAGAAGCCATTTAAAAATTCATTTTCATCCTATCTTTCCATCTTTGCATCCAACCAAACCGGACTACCTTTAAACCCACCTGCAATCACACACATTGTAGGAGACGGCCCTCAATATATACCTAACGGCGTTTTACGCGCCAACGTAGTGAAAGCTGAATGCTGTTTATTAATGGGTATGTTACAAATGACCCAGGAGAGTGTGGTGGGCTATCTTAAGTGTGGTCTTAATTTGAGACGCGCTTATAATTGCTACACCATTGTTTGGCAAGAATATAAACGCATGGGACAGACTTACACAAGGCATATGGATCGTGATACGGTGTCGGCTGTTCAGTTTGGAATCGGTACAGTACATCTCTTACTATCTTCTTTACCACCCAAGATCCTGAAGATATTTTCAACCCTGGGGTTTAAAAGTGATAAACAGTTGGGATTTGCATTGTTGAAGCTATGTCTTGAAGGAAAAGGCATTCGATCCCCTTTAGCTTCCCTTGTGTAAGAGATTAAACAAGAAGAAAGGAAATGTAAACTAACCCTAAATTTAGACTACTGACCTATTACTCCATCTTGTCTGCCTTTGCACCTCAACTTTACGCAAAAGAACTGATGGGTCCAGCTGTAGAATGCTTACTCGATGCACAAAAGAAACACCCTAGTTCATGCTTCTTCTTGTTTTACGCAGGTCGTATTTCACGTATTGCACGCAATTTGCCATTATCTACACAATCGTTTACATTTGCTGTAGACTCTAGTAAAAATGAATGGGCAGAAACCGCCATGACGCAGATGGGCAACTATGAAATGGGTTTTAATTCAGCACTTGAACTTGACTGGATAGCTGCTGAAGGATACTTTCAAAAGCTAAGTCAAGATAAATATTATTGGTCACCAGCTTTTTGTCAATACTTTATTGGGGCATGTCGTGGTATGCTGGGTCAACGAACCGAAAGTATTCTAGCGTTTGCAGAGGTGCCCATCTTGGCAAAAGAACAAGCAAAGAGATCTTACGTTGATACATACGTGCAACAAAAGGTGGATTTCTTTCAGAGGAGCGGGTATCAAGATATGGAATTTAGTTTACCCGGATTAGAAATCTTGTTGGTTTGGAACATGTTTGACCAAATGTCAAGACCTGCTTTGGAATGTTGTTTACTCATTGTCCAGAGTACTCTGGAATTGATTTATGAACGAGAGAGGCTAGAATACAACATCAGGTTAACGGATTTGGTACCAAACACAAATCCACCGGACTATTATGACCAGCGTGCCATTTTGCTTTTGATTAAAGCATCCGTCTTGAACGCTCTGGAACGACACAGCGATAGTATTGCGCATCTCAATTGGATCATGGATCATAAGCATCTAATTAAATCAGAGACATGGATTGTTCCTTTTACTTATTGGGGTAAGTACACAATACAACTGAATAGGTCTGCGCCTGACACTCATTTTGTTTCAATTTATTATAGAGGCAGGTGTCACTAGTTGGGGTTTAGGTGATTTAGCAAAGAGCCGTAAACTTTGGGAGTCGGCATTATCCTGCACGAAGTACCCCTTTGAATACCGTATGGCTGTCAGGCTTAGTTTAGCACTAAGTAAATGCGATGAGGCAGGAGTGACATTAACTAATACAAAGAAACAAACAGGCATATCTACCAACGGTCGAAAAAGAATGCCCATTGCCCCCTTAAAATAACTTATAAAAAAAATATAGATTGTTATTTTGGGTCTCCGCGATAAAATCAAAGGGCTACAAGAGAAAAAGATTTTCCTTGTTTTTATCTTTTTTTTTTTTTAATTAAACATTTTTTCTTTCCTAATAATTGTGTGTATGTCAGACACAGAGGTGACACCATTAATTCCCAAGAGAGGAAGAAAATGGGTCCATGTTTATGCCATTATTGCGGCTATTGGAGGGTTTATTTGTGGTTATGATACAGGGTCTATCTCTAGTATCGTAGCACTTCCGGTATTTCAAGAACGTTTCTTTCTTGACGGTTCAGTAGCTTATTATCAAAGTATCTTGTTGGCTTCTTATCTCGTGACCTCTATGCTTGGAGCCTTCTTCTCGGGTTATTTCTGCGGTAAATTCTGTATATTCCGCTATTTCTACATTTCAAAACTAAATATACATTTCGTCATAATTTTAGATGGCATTGGCAGAAAAAGGTCTATGCTGGTCTCATGTGGTTTATTGTCACTAGGTATTAGTTTCCAATTAATTGGAATAGACGCCATGACACTTTTTCTAGGTCGGCTGATGGGCGGTATTGGTACGGGTCTGATGACCAATGCCATCCCTCTTTACCAGTCCGAGATTGCACCACCGGATATACGAGGTCGACTGATTAGTATATTTTCATTATTGTGTTCATTTGGTCAGATGGTAGGTTATTTCATCACATTTGGGACGAGTTATTTATCCACTAGTGATTGGAGCTGGCGGTTACCATGGTTATTTCAATTGATATGTTGTTTCCTTTATGCCATTAGTCTGACTTTCCTACCTTACTCACCGCGATGGCTGATTGATCAGGGGAGAGAAACCGAAGCAATTGAGATCTTAACGGACCTGCATAATTCATCTCTGGTAGCTCACCGAGATTATTTAGAAATCAAGACAAGTCCACAACAAAAGGACTGTGATTTCATAGAGTTATTTCAGGGGTCGAATCGAAAGCGAACACTGTATGCGTTCTTTATCTCGGTCGCCACTTGTTTCACGGGCAATGTTGTGATTAGTTATTATGCACCCGAGATATTCAAGGATGCAGGCCTGGATGATGTTTCTATCTCATTGGCATTGACGGGTGGGATTGGTTTACTTTCGTTGGTGTTTACAGCATGCTCCTTGCGCTGGTGGATTGATCGGTGGGGACGTAAAGTCTTATTTATGACAGGCTCAGTCATTTCAGGAGTATGCATGCTGGTGGTCGGACTCATGTTTGAATACAGACATTTAAAGGGGACACAGCCTGTAATTATTGTCTGTATATATGTGTTTTCTGCTTCCTTTGCTGGTACATGGGGAGTAGCAAATTATGTTTACACGGCCGAAGTCTTTAGTACAGCTTGCCGAGCTAAAGGACTTTCACTGACCTATGCCATTAGTTGGGCATGCAGCATTACCATCACTTACTGCACGCCTTACGCTTTGTCTTATACCATCTCCGGTGTATACTTCTTTTTGGCGGCATGTTCTATTCTAACCGTGATAGGTATTACATGGATTCCGGAACTCAAGGGTAAAACATTAGAACAAATTGATTACATGCTTTCTCAATAATAATAATAAAAATCACTTTTAAATTTATTTATGACTGACAATGTGAATACCGAGAGGAGCAATAATACCGGATTCCACGGCCCGTACTTCTTGTTTGTAGAATTCTTGTAAAACAGGAATATTTTTCAAGCTAAATAGATATGAAAACAGTTAGAAGTGATAGAGAATAACAAAGGTCTGATCATTTAAAACTTACCCGCAAAAGGCAAGGAATTGGTAAAAGTAAGGGACTTTGGTCAATGTGATGTTTTGTTGACCAAATTGGGCAGTAATGGCATCAATCACAGCAGAAGAACCAACGATCTCAGAAAGATAATCCTTTTTTTCGTGTTCTCCATGCTCTTTGTGTTCTTGATGAGGATGGTGTTGGTGCGTGTGTCCTTCTTCGTGGTTGTGTTGTTCATGCTTGTGCTCAGCGTGCTTATGCTCAGCATGCTTATGTTCGCTGTGCTTATGCTCGCCATGGTGATGCTCACCGTGATGATGATGATGGTGAGGTCGGAACCAGCGCTCCTCGATGGGCAAGCTGGAGTTCAATAATTTTGCAACCATAGGTTTATACGAAGGTTGATTCTTGGCAGCAGCTTCTTCCAACGAGGTCATACATTCGGTTTTTAAAAGCAAATCCAAACGATCAAAAAACCAACGCGTATCCTTTGTTTGCATGCGATCCAAATAAATTTCTTCGGCCAAAAAGATGCCATCGTCCGAAAGTAAATTGTACGCATTTTTGACAGCCTTTCAAAGCGGAAATAAAAAGAAAGTCAGTCAGAAAAAACAATAAGAAAAGATGGATACTATTTGTTTTTTTTTTTTTTTTTTTTTTTTTTTTTTTTTTTTTTTACTTGGTCAACAGGGATACAGTGATGAAGCGACTTTGTAAACAAGACGAGGTCGTATCGTGTTGTGGATGAAAACTTGAAGATGTCGGATTGTTGGAAATCGACAGATGCATCAACGTTCTTTTCCTTTGCAGCAGCAAGATCTGTTTCAGAAGGGTCGATGGCAGTAACTTGCACTTTATCTTTAAACTTGTCTTTTAAAATTAAAGTGAAATCACCAGAGCTAGATAAAAAATATTATTTTTAACTTGGGGGTAAAAAAACAATAGATGAAACCATTACCCACACCCAATCTCGATGACTTTAAGCACTCTGTCACTGGAAGAAATTGAAAACTTGTCTTCAAGGAGTTGCTATGTGTGGAATATATTAGTAATCGTTGCGCTTTTGGAATGAAAGACAAGGTACCTCGATATAAGTCAGCAAGGGCTGGTTCTGCTCGAATTTAATCTTTTCAATGTTTGCCATGATGTATGAATTTTGAAAAGAAAAAACTTTCACAAACGCGTAGCCAATTTATAGTCTGGTCGTACACTGAGAGTTAAAAAATTTCCTGCAAATACCTTTGTGTCAGGAGAGAAATTTATCTATTTATGTATTCCAGCCAAGCGCAGTCATGTAGATAAGGAAAATTCATTCAAGCATGTGCACAGATGTTTCATGACTGATTGAAATGATGCATCACAGCTTTTTTCTGTTAAGGATGTATAATGTTTCTGTCTACCTGTCCTACTGTCCTATTACCAAAGGAAGTGTAGTATCGCGAAAAATTACACTGATAGACTGTCAACATTTTATTGCCAAACAAATATAATCTTGATATCTTTATTATCAATGATTAGTAAGTACCAGACTGCAATTTCTCAAAATTTAATATTATCAATAATGATATTCTGCGAAACTTATATTAAAGAAAAGCTATCTGCTTTGGGAAATTAAATATAGTATGATTTACTAGGCTGATTTAGTTCTGCAACTGAGAACTAAAGCCTTTGGTGCTAGAAAAATTCTACGGAAAGAGACACTGCAAAAAAAAAACCTTTTCTAAATGTACAACCACAAGGGCAATTTTAACTAAAATCAGAAGAAATAAGTTTGTCCAAATTAATTAAGGCAACAGCTCAACCATCTCATTCGGTTTTAAAATACGATTGAGGCCAACGCTTAAATACTCGGCCAAAGGGATTAGGCCTACCTTGACTCATGGGATAAAAAATAGGGTTTAACATGATAAAGAATCCTGCATTGACTGAACTGAAGGTCCATCATACTGTATGGCGCCTATGCTCTCTCTTGTCAACTGCTTCTCGATATCTTGTGCTAATCGTACACTTTCCTATAGAAAAAAAACAGTTATAATGCTTACATATGCTCCTGATGACAAGTTGGTTAAACATACAATAACAACGTCGCCAACAGCTCAACATATGGCACCACACAGATATGATCATCCCATGTGGTAGGAAGTTTGACTGTTCTTTTTTCGATGTATTTCCAACTGCTTTCATTAAAACAGGACATCTCGGAAAGAGTGACTTGAGTAGCAATAAAAAGAATCGTGAAAACCTTGGGCTTCTTGAAGGTCTTTGTGTCACGAATTCGTTTTTATCGTAACATACTCTTAATACACTGCAGCCCCGCTAAATACAGTGAGATCGGCCTGATTTGAAGCATCTTTAAATTGTGCAGCTTCTTTTCTTAATGCCGACACACTGCACTCAATCAACTTCCAAGAGTTTTCGATAGAATTTGTCATGTGTTTCTTGAGACTGTTACTATAGAATGAATCGCTAAGAATGAAGGTATCTATAATTTATACGATTGATAGTACTTAGAAACTTCGACAATGATCAATTCCATATTATTTGAGGCCTTAAAGATGACAGGTGCATCAGCGAGAATTCGCATTTACCCTTAAATGAACCATTCTATTTTCTTCTTCTTGATAAATAGATGAAGACAAATCACGAGTCAACGTTTTTGCAATTTACATTACCGTTTTTAAAAATTAGACATATATTAAAATTGGCTTTCTGCATGTTTTTCATTATCACATACTTTTCCTTGAGGGATGTCTTATTTTTTATTTCTTTTTGTGCCGGCAAGCTTGTTCGGCGGAGCAGAACGGTAATCATAGTTGAATTCATGTTGGTTGATCAAACGTGAAGACATGAATGGGGATTTACACCTATAATAAAGATATCAATAAAAAAACTCCTTCTTAAAATATTGCTCTTGTATTTTTCTCACCACTTAAAGTCTACAAGACCGGTAAGCTTCTCTAACGCGAACAATGATGGTATAACTCTTTCAACAAAATGAGTTCTCTCATGGTTTTGGGCGAATACGTGTACCGATCTGCATAAAAAATGGAACAAGCAAAGTATGTATTTGATTATCTCCAAAAATAAATGTGCTAAGCTTGTTGAAGTGGAATCAGGCTTTTATGACCAAGGTATTTCATTAGAATCGTCACATCGTAAATCCTCAAGCAAATGTACAAGACTATCAAACAATAGCTAAGAGAGACCGGAGTGGATTGTTATGCCTTTGTTCAGACAAAGAATCTTGGTATTTTTTTAGGGCTTAATCATTCGAAAAAAAAGGAGTACATTTTTCAAGGCTTCCGGTTGCGTCTTTCTAATCTTTGGCATGTGGGGTCTTTGGGTGGGGTTTGAGGGTGGCTCAAAAAGGTAATTGTTTTCCCCTTCTGTGACTTTTAAGGGCTACAGTAGTATACATTATTTAGAAGAAGAAGAAAAACTATACCATTTTTTGGTAAATCTTGAGATTGGCGTTTTCTTTCGCCCTATCAAAAGAAAATTAGATTGAAGTAAAAAAAACTGCTCGCATTATCTTACGGTATCATATATAAAACGACATATATAAAACGACACCACTTCCTGTAGCAATGAGTAAACTACGGCTCATGTTCAATTCGCCGCAGTTTATTTTTTGTAGACGGCCAAGCTCTAAGCCAAACTTTAAAATAGACCCAGGCAAAACTCACTACGGCCTTAACTAAAAAATATGACTTTTATGTTAGTAAAAGGCGACCATAATTTATTGAATGGCATGTAACTTATGTCGATCCCAGACTAAAGCTGGATATACGTCTTAAAGACTCCGCCATACAACAGCAATAACCCGTAGCTGTACCCGTGTCCCATGAAATTTTGGGCACGGCTTTTCATATACTATTATGAATCTTTGTCGTGTTTTAGTATTTGATTAAAAAATAAAAACTCTTGTTAACTAACCTTTTCATGTGAACTGGCCTTTTTGTTGTAAAATGGCGTCGCGAAGAAAAGGAAAGGTAAAGAGAAAGTTTTATTGGCGACGAGAATGATAAACAAGGCTTATGCCAGCTGAGATAATTGCTTATTCATAAACAAGGAATGGCTCCACTCACAAGCATTGATAAATTGTATATTCTTTCTTTGAGTGGTGTCAAGTGCAAAAGTGTACTTGTTTGTAATAAGCATGTGATATACCATGACGGAGCGATTCCGATACGACAAAGAACATGATTAAAATTTCATTAGCAATGTGCGAAGATTTAGATTGAACTCATATGTATTCAAATCACTAATCACAATCGCCTACTAAAAACGGTTTCCCTTTGTAATATTTAATTTATCACAGGTAAGCCTTCTATTCTATTCTATTCTATTCTAACCGTACAAATCAAGAGTGGAATGCTATGTTTAAAAGGCAAAATCAGCAAACAAATCAAGCATGGTCGGAGGTGACGGTTTTGCATTGGAAAAACTAATATACCGAAAATCACGCTTTTTACCCACACACCCTCCCATACAAACGAGGGGGAGTTCGGATTAAAACTTGGTTGTATCCTCTGAGTGTTTTTCCTTTTTACAAATGTCAGATTACGAATTATATACTGTAGGCAAAGAATTTACTACCGACCATCGTGTGTACATTGGTAAATGAAGGACACTGACAGCAATTAGAAATGACAGAGTTTAACTTGGACGATTGAATTTAGAACAAAATGGAAAGATAATTTCACCTTTTCATGACATTCCACTTTATGCCGATGCGGAAAAAAAGATTGTTAATATGGTGGTAGAGATTCCTCGTTGGAGTAACGCTAAACTAGAAATTGCGACAGGAGAAAAGTATAATCCTATCAAGCAAGATGTCAAAAAGGGTAAGGTGAGATTTGTACGCAATTGTTTCCCTTATAAGGGCTATATTTGGAACTATGGCGCATTACCCCAAGTAAAGTATAATAATAGGCTGGTGATAATGATGATGATGACAATTAACCAAGTCGAACGTGACGATAGACTTGGGAAGACCCCACTGTGGTTACAGAGGATACAGGTGCCAAGGGAGACAATGACCCGATTGACGTGTGTGAGATTGGGCAAGAAATTGCACATGTGGGCCAAGTAAAACAAGTCAAGATTCTTGGCGTCATGGCTTTATTAGATGAAGGAGAAACCGATTGGAAATTAATTGCCATCGATATTCGTGACCCAATGGCGGACAAATTAAACGGTATATGCCTATTGAATTACGTAATGTGAATATTGTTATTAATATCCACTATGCATAGACATTAATGACGTTGAAAAACACTTTCCTGACTTGATTAAAGCAACGCATCACTGGTTCGAAATTTACAAAATCCCTGACGGCAAACGGCCAAATGAATTTGCATTTGGTGGACAATGCAAAGGTAAATTGTATGCCGAGTCTATTGTGAATGAAACGCATGAGGCATGGAAAAGGTTAATCGAAGGCAAGATACCTTCCAAAGGCGACTCCTACGATATTAGTGTGTAAAGTATATATATTTTCGTTCGTTACACAAAATAGAAATCTTAATAGAGTAAAAATAATAATAGGGCTAATGTAACCGTCGAAAATTCACCATACAAGACGTTACACAAGGATAACAAGGTATGCTTTTAGTTTATATTTCCCTAGAGACCGTTTCCATGACCAACTTTATTTTTATAATAGTCATTGAGCAAGTTTAAAAAGCCTGTCGTGATGAATGAAAGGGATGACAAGTGGTATTTCTTGAAGGCAAATCTATAAAAAAGATACAATAAAACTTTAAAATAAATGATTGGAACACAAAATGTATTAAACGCTCCTTACCATTTTTTGGGCTCCCCTTTTTTTTTTTTTTTTTTTTTTTTTTTTTTCCCTCCCTTATTTACCAATTTTTTTTTTATTATCTCTTTTTGTATCGTTTCTCTTCTTTTCTTCTTTTTTTTTAGAATCCTTTTTTTTTTTTTTATTATTTGTCTTGTTTTTCCCAATTTTTTTTTTTTTTTTTTTTTTAAAAAAACGATACAATCAATTATCAAATAAATAATAAAAAAAAAAAAAAAAAAAAAAAAAAGACTAGATTTAAAATAACCCATTCCTTTCCTTTATATTAAATAATAAAAAATAAAAATAAAAAATGAGCCTGAACACAGTGATTGCATTTGCACTCTTGTTGAAAAAGGTAAATAGTACATGATAATAAAAATGAAACGAAGAAGAATAACTGATTGGGGAAATTGTTGTGTGATAATAATAGATTACTCGCAAGGGATCAATGGGAAAGAAACATTTCCGCAATAAATTCAACAAGAAAGATAGTTCATGTTCAAGTAGTGAAGATGAAGAGGACGACAATAATATCATTGTGGTTGAATACGATAATAATGACGATTATCACTTGATGAACAAGGATAACAAGACCAATTCCTCCATCATATCTCCTCCCTCCATCAAATCCATACAAAAACATGTCTCTTTAAAGCCTTTGGAGATTACCGCCGCCTCCATCATTGTCTTACCCCAAGAAGAGGTAAGCTCTTCTTTTTAGCTTAGCCCACATACATACTAAACCTTATATTTATAGTCTGTGGTGGTCATCCGAGACTTTGCGTATCCCATCGATCACCCATATCACCATGGAAAAGCCATCAAACACCAATCTTCGTCAATGTCTCTATCTTCGCCTGATTTCAACGGTAGAGATGCTCGAGCCCTCTTTGACTTTACACCAGAAACTGAGTATGAACTCCCATTGAAGCAGGGACAGACATTATGGGTCCAATACCGTCAATGCCCGGTAAGTCTATAAGTTCTTTCTGTTTTTACTTTTACTTACCTCTTTTTTTAATTAGGGTTGGTTAGTTGCTGATGTACAAGATGAAACTGGTTTAATTCCTGAAACATATGTTGAATTCATCTAAACACAAATATTTTTTATCCCTCTCCACATTATTATTATTTCCCTCCCCATTACATATCTTTACCTTCCTTTCTTTAACCCTCACTTTTTTTTTCCACTTTTTTTTTGGCGCATTTACTTTTTTTTTTCAATTTTTATCCTCTTTTTTTTTTTTTTTTTTATACATATATTTTTAAATATGCATGTCTTTCTTTTTTCTCTTGTGTGCGTCTTTTCTGTTCTCCCACAAAGTGTGTAACCCGCATTGTAAATATTTATTTGAGACCAAGACCGTGCCTCGGTAGATCTGTCCCACAAGAACTATTTTCTGTATTGCCATGGAAACACGCATTGCAAATACCTTTTTCAGAACAGGAATCGGTGCCAAGGTTACCCCGCCGCTAAGCAAAATTAAAACTCAGTGCCAAAAAGGGGCCCTGTCAACACACACAAGGGTACAAACAAGACGAAAAGTATAAGTTTTTGATACGCTTTTTTTATTTAACTATATTAAAAAAAAAGAAGAAAAACCTACTTCTTTTTTTAAACAAAAATGAATTTTTTATATGTGGGGATGTTTATAAGAACAAAGGGGGTAGAGATAAAAGGTACAAATGGAAAGAAGTGATTTAACGACGTTGAGAGTAAACGTGAGCGAAAGCACGAGTGGTAACACGCTTAAGCTTGGATTGAGCAGACTTGAGCTCATCAGCGTTAGCATCTTCAGCAGAGATTTCCATAAGTTCCATGGCCTCAGCGAGAGCAGTCTCGATGGACTCACGGTCACCACGACGGAGCTTCATGCTGACGTTAGGGTCAGAGATGTTGTTCTCGACTTGGTAAACATAAGATTCAAGATCTTGCTTGGCTTGGACAACGGCTTCACGCTCCTTATCGGCATCAGCGTTCTTGGCAGCATCTTCAACCATACGGTCAATATCGGCAGCAGAGAGACGAGTGGAGTTGGAGATGGTAACATCAGCCTTGCGACCAGTGGTCTTATCTTGAGCAGTAACCTTAAGAATACCATTGGCATCTAAATCGAAGGTACAGAGGAGCTCAGGAGAACCACGGGGAGCGGGGATCAAACCGGAGAGAGAGAACTCACCCAAAAGGTTGTTCTCCTTGGTCATCAAACGCTCACCTTCGTAGACAGGGAAGGTAACAGTGGTTTGGTTATCAGAAGCAGTGGTGAAAACCTTGGACTTTTGACAAGGGATAGGGGTGTTACGGGGAACGACAACAGCCATGATACCACCTTGCATCTCAACACCGAGGGAGAGAGGGACAACATCCAACAAGAGGAGATCTTGGGTCTTCTCGTTACCGGCTTGGTTGGTAAGGACAGCAGCTTGGACAGCGGCACCATAGGCAACAGCCTCATCGGGGTTGATGGACTTGTTTAACTCCTTACCGTCAAAGAGGTCTTGGAGAAGAGCTTGGATCTTGGGGATACGAGTAGAACCACCAACGAGGACAATCTCGTCAACCTTCTTCTTATCGATCTTGGCATCCTTGAGGACACGCTCGACGGGCTCGACGGTACCGTTGAAAGCAACAGAGTTGATTTCCTCGAACTTGGCACGAGTGATGTTGGATTGGAAATCAACACCTTCGAAGAGAGAGTCAACTTCGACAGTGGTTTGAGTCAAAGAAGAAAGAGTACGCTTAGCACGCTCGGAAGCAGAACGGAGACGACGGAGAGCACGAGCATCACCGGTGATATCCTTCTTGTGCTTACGCTTGATTTCTTGGACGAAATGGTTGACAAGAGTGTTATCGAAATCCTCACCACCCAAATGGGTGTTACCAGCAGTGGCCTTGACAGCAAAGACACCACCAGAGATGGTCAAGAGAGAAACATCGAAGGTTCCTCCACCCAAATCGAAAATGAGAACGTTACGTTCCTTCTTGTCATTGGCATCCAAACCGTAGGCAATGGCTAAAAGAGGTTTATGTTAGATTCTAACTAATGAAAATAATTTTGTTTGAGCGTTCTTACCAGCAGCGGTGGGTTCGTTAATGATACGGAGAACATCGAGACCAGAAATGGTACCGGCATCCTTGGTAGCTTGACGTTGACCTTTAAGAGAAGGCATGTTAGAAATATGTCGTCTTTGCACTCTATGTCGCACTTTTTAATTTATACTTACTGTCATTGAAATAGGCAGGGACGGTGACAACGGCCTTGGAGACCTTCTTACCGAGCTTGGCCTCAGCAATTTCCTTCATCTTGATCAAAACCATGGAGGAGATTTCTGTGGAGAAAAAAAATTTTAGTTGAACGGTCACAATTTTTTTTTTCATGGACAAAAAAAAATTTTTTTTTGTCTATTGCTTATATTACCTTGAGGGGAGTAAGAGACGGTCTTACCCTCGAATTCGACTTGAATGAAAGGAGCTTCGTTCTTGTCAACGATGGTGAAAGGCCAGTTCTTCATATCTTCCTTAACCTCAGGGTCATCGAAACGACGACCGATGAGACGCTTGGCATCAAAGACGGTGTTCTTGGGGTTCATAGCAGCTTGGTTCTTAGCGGCATCACCAACGAGACGTTCAGCATCGGAGAAAGCAACGTAAGAAGGAGTAGTACGGTTACCTTGCTCGTTAGCAATGATTTCAACACGCTCGGATTCCCAAACACCAACACAAGAATAGCTGTAATAATTTTATTTGTAGATCTTTAGAAATCAACGTTCTCTTATGTTTATCTCACTCAAAATCATTTCATTAATGATATACTTACGTAGTACCCAAATCAATACCAATAGCACCCTCGTATTCAGCAGACATTTTTTATAAAGTTAGATATAAAAGCTCAAAAGGAAAGAACAAACTGAAAACAATTTCCTATCTCTTTTGTTATACCGCCCAAAAAAAAAAATTTCCAAAAACCTAACAAACCAAAGGTTTTCATAGTCACTTTTTCGACCCGGACTTCAAAGCCACTAAAAAGCCGCAAAAAAAAAAAAAAAAAAAGTCTAGTTACACGGATTGTTTGGGAAGATGGACTCTATCAAGAGTGCACAATAAGTTGATGAGGAGAATATGCTATTGTGCGACTGATATCATTGATATATTGCTATACATAACACATCAAGTGTCCTATTGTTGAGGTTTGAGATAAAATGTCGTGATGCAAAGAAAAAAATGATAGACATGTGATATTTGACAACTATATGTTATTGTGTGTGTTTTTTTCATATGACTCCATATTATGTCAGCGTAATTGTCTTTTTATCAACATTGATATATCTGATACTTTTATGAGGCCTTTCTTTTTTAAAATACCATGTTTGTGGTATATAACGTGAGAAATTTACAGCCATAGTTTATCGCTTAAACGTACAATCAAATGTCATATGCTGATCAACTTTATATATTGAATTCTTGGCAGTAAGAATAAGAATTTCTTTGAAGTTGCATTAGGTAAAAAAGTATTACACCGCCTGGTATGTCATATAATGAAATCAAGAATTGAAGAGAATCAATGACACGAATACTAGTAAGAAAGGTACTATGCTGTGTAACACGATACCTCTGCATAATTGGCTGTAGCAAGGAATGACAGTGTTTACGAGAAAGCTCCTGGGGTTACTTTGCATATCATACGCATTGATACAATTATTTATAGGAACTGGGAGAGAGAACAGAGCTTAGTACAAGTATAGCAACCATGGGCAGACTCCTTTTAATAATACGCCTTTGTTATTCCATTCAAGCGCACAATCAAATGAACGAGATTTAAAATATGCTGCCTAGCGTAGCAAAACGAGCTATTATATAATCGATTGTTTTCAACCAAGGAGACCTAAATGTCATTATGTTACTTGGTGATTCAAATAGAGTTAAGTTTAAGCTAAATGCAATTATTCTTTTGACGATAAACCTCCTTAACATACCTGGGTAATAAATATAATATTCGCGTTTCAAGACTAGAACTGGATGTAATTGTGATAATAAATGATTTAAAAAGGTTAAATTAACCTCAAAAGCGTGGGTCCTTCATTTTAACTAAAACAATAGCCCAAAATATATATTTTGAGACTCCATATAGTTGATTTTCTTTCAAAATAACAACGTAGAAAGTGGTCATGGCTATTTCTGGAAATGGTCCTGTTAGTATTTTTACGCCTCACTACTAGTATCCAGGTTGATTGAGAACTTTCCTCGTCCCAACATACTAGTCATGAAAGGGTTACAGGGAGTTAATATCAACATTTCAAAATGAAGGTTCTACTTTCTGGAGGGCATTCTTGTTTCTGAAATAGGCTTCTTATTGATTGCGTGGCTTGTTCCTGTGTTCTTGTAATTTAGTGAAATGAGGAGGTTGGGAGTTAGCTCCGAGAAAAGTTCTTATAACTGCAAAACCAATGCGTTAAAGTAGGTCTTTTTTTTCTTCGCAGACAGATCATGACTATAGATAGGCTGATAGCTTGTCAGGGCCAGATATACTCATCGGAACAGATGGCGTTGAGAAATAGGAGTAATAAAATATGAACATACAACATCTTTTCAGTATCGATTACAAGTATTGAAGAGTTGCGTGCGATAAATTTAAGTGCTTTATTATTATACTATAAATATAGAGGTAGAATAATATAAATATAAAAAAACAGGATATTTACAAGCATTGTGTGTAAGGTGTATATGCAAACATAACTTGTTAATTAACATATTTGGCTAGTGCTGTTTATATCGATTATTTATTGCTATACAAGATATCGTAATGACCTGGTCTGTAAATTAATTTGATTGGGGTCTTTGATTTATCTTCCTCTTCCGGCCAGAATTCATGAACTGCACATTGATCGTTTGAACCACCGTCCAAGTAAACGACTTGAATGGGCACTTCCAAGGCTTTACTGAGGGCAATAATTTGTAAATGGTCTGATTCTCTTCCAAAGGCCTCGACATGCATCGAACAAAACTCTTGAATTGAAATCATTTCATCTATCAAGAAAGGTTCGTATTCGGCATCATGGATGCGTAGATAGGCAGAAGCAATGAAACGGAAATGCATGACAATAGCGTTACTGGATTCAGCAGATTGAAAGGCGACGAGTAACATATCGGGATCATTGATATTAAGTTGTTCGAATTGTTGTAAAGTGACTTCATAGAAATCCTCGTAGGCTAGTTTTTCAAACCCACTAGATTCTAATAATTCACACGTCTCTTTTAATTTGGAAAGACGAGCGGCATACAAGTCGGTATTCTTTGATGCACTTTCGAACCAAGCAAATGCAAATGCTAAAATAAAATAATTAAAGAAGTGTTAATAGATGAAAGTTTACATTGTATGTATGGAGTTTACCTCGAAAGAAGCAGTTACCTAATCACATCGAATGAGTACACATTGAAACGCTTTAACTCTTTATGTATGACTTACCATCACCGCGACATCTTCGGATTTTATCGTGTTCCTTGCTGAGATTCTATAAAAATTTAGAAATTAGCATGATTTTTTATTTCTGGGTTGCAGGAGGTCTGTTATTCTTACATTGATTTTTTTCAAAAAGGGTTCATTGTCTTTATATTCTTCAACTAATCGACTAATGGGCTCTTCTTGACATACAAGTGGTATCTACGTATACATAATAAAAGAATGATGAGCATGCAAATAAGGGGTACTTCCTTTTTCTTTTATAATTGGAATGAAGTGTACCTTTTGTGCTTCTTCGTCTTTAATTTGTTGTTCAAATTCAAGAATGAGTTCGTCAGAGAGAACAGGTTCTTCAGAGGCTTTAGGTGGTTCTGTTGAGGCAGACATTGTTTTGAGTAGTAAGAGAAAAAAGAACTTGCGAAATATAATTACGTGGCTTTTTTTTTAATAAGAACCAAAGCCCCGCAGGATCGAAATTAAATATTTTTTTTTTTTACCCTTTCCTTATTAACTTTGATGAGTACACCCAGTGTCGATAATACATCCGACGACATGGCTGCCTATGTAAATTTGTTGTACAAGATTGCAAACAAGGAACTCATAATTTGATTGTCATTTTGTAGCTTCTTAGTGTGGCTGATAAGCTTGTAAAATAGACGGCAAAACTAAGTGTGCGCGTAAAAAACTAATGTATACTTTTTTCAAACGTAGCAATCCAAAGTAGATGATGTCAGCAACAATATGAACAAAAAATGTAATGTGCTTCTTGCAGTGTATTCATTGGTTTAACACGCTTTTTTTTTATATATATATTTATACATAGTGGAAGAAATGTCTAAACGAATTGATACTTTAGAACGCAGCGTTAAGCAAATGGAACCACCCAGCGAGCCCGTACAAGAATAAAACAAAAATAAAAAGCATTTATTATTTATAAATTGAAAGATATAATTTAGTTGTCGGATTGAACCCATTCAACGTTGGCAGGAGTCCACTCAATGAGCTCACCAGCCTTACCGAACCACAAACCAATTTCCTTTTCAGCAGCTTCGAAACAATCGGAACCGTGAATAATGTTACGGCCAACAGAGATCTATATATATGCGTGAGTGAGTGAGTGAGTAAAGACATAGGAAGGATATACGATTGAACTTACACAGTATTGACCACGGATGCTACCGGGAGAGGCATCAAGAGGGTTGGTGGCACCAATCATGGCACGACCTTGCTTGATGACATCCTTACCTTCCCAAACCATGGCAATGACGGGAGTACCGCTGGAGATGTACTTGACGAGACCACCGAAGAAAGGACGGGCCTTTAAGTCATCATAATGCTTCTCAGCCATCTCCTTAGAGGGAGCAATGGCCTTTAAACCAACGAGCTTATAACCACGTTCTTCGAAACGAGTGATAACCTTACCGACCAAACCACGTTGAGTACCATCGGGCTTAATAGCAATGAAAGTACGTTCAGAGTTGGTACCCCTAAAAATGACGTGTCAATTTCTATATGACGTAAACCTCCCTCATAAAAGGCACTTACTTGACACCGGCAATAGGCTTGGCATCAGCAGCAACGGGAGCTATGATACCAACATCATTAGTTTTCTATTAAAAACGCGTCTATTCTATAGCAGATACTTACTTTGCATGTAGGCATAAGACATGGCAGTGGCAGAGACAACACCAGCAGTGGCCATCATGGCAACACGAGGAGAAGCAGTGGCACGGGCAGAGGTGGCAAAAGTGCGGGCTAATAAAAGATTAATATATGAAGCACATTTTGAGTTTCATGTCTATATATTACCCTTGATAGAGGCAACAGCGGGTCTAGCAGCTATTATACGAAATGTTAATAAATCAAAAAAAAAATCGCATTTTTTTGTCTCACTTACCGAAACGGATGGCAGTACGGGCGAACATTTTTTATAATTGAAAAAGATAAAGAAAGAAACAAAAAAACTAGTCGCGGATCGCGGTGTTCCTTTTTTATTTCAAGTGTACGGTTCTAAAAATAAACCCTACCCATGCCCAATCAATTCTTAGTTCACTCCCTGGAATAGTATTTTCAAATAATTTTATATTTTGTTGGTAGATGGTAAATGATTTTCCGAAAAAGAGGCTTATCCCACCACAAAATAGCTCATCAAGAAAAATTTGTAAATTGAAGTATAAAACTTTCTAAGCTGAGTATCTGATCTACAGAAGTGCATTTAATACTTGTCTTTTATCTTTTGAGAAAATTGTAGAGTACGTTGCAGGGACTCATGCATTTGCATAGCCACTTCTTCTATCATATACTTTTAAAAGTTGCATGATGAAGTCAGATCGCGAATGATTCAATGTAACTACTGTACAATATCAACAAAATAATGCCTGTATTAGGATTGATTCCTCAAATAAATGATACCAATATCCAATCTAAACCTGATTAAGACAAGCATGTTCACTAGTTGTAGAAGAAATTATCAATAAACCTTTTTGATTATGTATTATCCAATTTATTTATGCCGTGTTCTATGTATTACAGTGTATTCCATAATATCTTTTTATTTTTTTAATAACTAGATAGATTACTTTTCCAACAATCATGAATTATGTGTTTGCATATTGTCTGCACCTACGTCTTTTTTAAATTACATTTATACGTAAGTCTAAAAAAGGGTTCACGTCCACTGACATCCCATATCATGCTTCGCTATTGGCACATGCTATTACTGATACGCTGACAGACAATTGACAAGTTCCGAATTGCTTGGGAGTATTTATAGATATTTCTATTTACAAGTAAAAGCTCAAACATATGATTGATTAAATAAGCAAAAATGAGATCATCCTGACATTTAAACAAGATCTTGTTTAACAGTCTACAAATAAAACCTGTTCACACACACTTTTTCTTTTTTTTTCTTTCTTTCTTAACTTTTTCTTTGCACTATAATATATATATATATTCATGCACAACACCATCTTTTCGAAGACAAGTAATAAATAATATGTAAAGGTTAGTTAATAACGAATGTTGTTTTTATAAGAAACAAATTTTTTTAAAAAAAAAAGACAGCACTTTTAGGCGTGCAGTTTGTATGCCGTAAACTCGAACGACTTCAAGCTTTTGTTTTTGCAACCGACGCGAGCTTACAAAAACTCGGGTGAGTTCAATCTTAAATAAAAGGCATTCGGGTGAGCTTTGACTAAGGCACGATCGTAACTCGTTCTAGAATTTCGATCCTCATTCTGAACACTAATTGTACCTGAAATATTTGAACGCAATTTCAAGTGCATAGTGGAAGAGGATGATATGAATAACATCGTTCTTGAGATCAGTAAAAAAAAAAATTCAATCCGGAAGCAATTGCAAATCAAGCTGAACATGAAAACAAATAAGCCATAGTTATGGATAACCTCAGTCAAATGATTGCTTCTTTCATCGACCGTTTTTTTAACTCCAAAGGATATCGCGTCTAGAAAAACGATTTCAGCGACGATTTATTAATGAATTAGACAAAACAAAAGCCTCAAGGATTGTTAATAAGTGCGGACCTAAGCTTGTCGAATCAGTAGTTGTTATATTAAAAAATTATTGGTTTTTCATGACAAGTTTTCCCTGCTTTATTCACAACAACTGCCAGATAGATGATTGTGCCGACCTATCAAAGATTGAACACCAAGAAAAGACCGGAGCTTTTATCAGAAGAAAAACACAATTCAATCAGAGGAAACAGATTCGCGTTTCTTGAAACAATTTGATCAAAAATGACAATTCGGAAAAGTCTTCTTTAAATTAACCTACAGATTCGGTTATGTTAAGTACTTGCAACAAGTGGTTCTTGAGCTCGGTAGACGGTAGGTTTTCTCTCCGTTCCTTGGGTCATCAGTACAAGAACTTCCAGACAATAAATTCTCGCCAGCGGACCCATTATCCTTCGAAAGTCGGAATATCATGCATCGCTTATAATCATTTATCCTTTGCATGCAAAGAAATACCGCAAGAAAAGATGAGCGGGTTGCTTGTAATAACTTAGCAAGGCTATATCCATATTAGAGCTAACAAAGTCTATCCGTGCAGATACCATTTATGATTAGCTTTTCGCCTTTTGTTGCATTTCTTAGATTTCAACGCACAAAGCAAAAAAAAAAAAAATCCAAAGTTCGACTAATGGTCAATAGTGAAAAAAATAACAACAATGATTATGAACATCCACTATACGATTTCAATTTTTTTTATTTACTTGCCGTTTTGAGGCTTTATATCTACTGATTCAAACTTATACTTCACTAGGAATGGGCAGCTTGTAAATGTGCACGTATTGACTTTACAGAGTTTGGAACATCCGGAACATTAATATTAAAATGTCTTTCAATAGTGTGGACCTACAGCAGCAGTGGAACCGTGAATACGAGTTAAAACAAAGAAGCAACATATAGGTTTTGTAGCCAACATTTAATTCAGATCATAAGCTGTAGTATAAAATATTGCTCAGGAGTCAGTGTTCTAAACAAAGATCGAAATTAGTGGGAAAATTACATGTCTAGTTTTTCTGAAGCTCGCTTGTATTATTGTTGTAAGCCTAATTGGGATCGAGCTCGCCCAAATTACAATAGTGTACACTGTACTTGGATGCACAAAGTACTCTGTTTGAAATTATACAAGTTAGGTTTTTTTTTGTTCGAGTAGATCAAACACTGTGGGCCATGCATGATTTATAAGAGCATTTCGCTTCTTCAAAATAAGATCCCCGCTCTTTTCTTTTCTTCTTCCTTATGAGTTTCGACGAACACGAAATACCATTAATAACAGAGGAGGAAATAGCTTGTTTATTGGAACAGGACGATCTCAGCCCTGAGCTACAAGCGTTAATTCAACAATACCAACAAGCGGTTGCCGTTCAAGAATCAGAGCCAACAGAAGACAACTCCATTGGCACGAAATGTGCCATTGTGTCTAGCTTTCAGAATTACCAACTCGTCCTATTACCCGCCATTATCCTCGACTATCCCTCTGCAGATCAAGCAAACGTTGTCATACTTACACCCGTTACCAATGATACTGTACCGTGTTCCCATTACTTTCGTAATGAAAAGCAATGTACTAGCTGCGCTTATTCGCATGGCCTTGTTGTACCAACCGACCGTATTTTGCCTTTTGAAGCTCTGGAAACAGACACCAAAATGGATGATTTACAATACGGGAAGAAGGTTTGGTGTAAGAAAGAAAGTGAGGATGTATGGAAGTTAGGAAATATTATTGATCAATTGCATGGTCCCAAATGGCGAGTTCGATTGAAGGGGAGCAGAAAGAGAGATATTGTGAATGTGGATATGGAGCACATTATGGCGTTTAAAAGCTTAGATGATCATGACGAGAGTGAAGACGAGGATGAGGAATGGAGCGAGTCCGATGTGGAATCTGTGGATGAAGTCACTACGGTAGTAACTGATAAAAAGTGGGGAGATTGGCTACCTTATACTACTGGATTTGCCGCTAAAATGATGAAAAAAATGGGTTATGTTGAAGTAATTATAAACGGGTAGAAGATTAGAGCAAATCATCTGATTATGTATCATTAGGGAAAGGGATTAGGGAAACAAGGAGAGGGACGTGTTGATCCGATTGATACAAGGCCATATTCAAAGCAGTGGCAAAGAGACGGTCTGGGTCGCAGGAAGAAAAGCCCCAATAAGAAGAAAAAGCCCACCGATAAAAAAAAGACGGTCCAAGACAATACAGATATGTTTGCCATGGTGAATACGCTATTAGACACAAAAGAAACCGGACCATCTGTACCAAAAAATACAGCCACTAGAAGGCAAACAAATCAGACCAAAGCAGAACTTCAATCTAGACTGGATAAGGCAGAGAAGGAATACATTGATGCGACAGAAGCCTATCGTCGGAATAAACAATCTCCGATGAAAGATCAATTTGGAACGAAATTAAAAAATGCTACCAGCAAATTACAAGACTTAAAGAAATTAATGGATGAACTTGATGGTCATGTCAGACGCGAAAAGGAGAAGAAGGATATGTATACATTTTAAGACAGTAGTATGTGTAAAGAGAAAAAAATTGGAATGGTTGTATTACATGTATATATAAATGATGTGGTGAATAAAGAGTGAGGGAAAAAAAGGAAGCTATTTTTTCTTGGGGGGTTTAACGCTTGACTTCCTCGCCAGCAACAAAGACACGCTTGACAACGATCTCTCCTGTAGAGTCATCCAAAAATACGAGATCTGCATCACCACCGACGTTTAAAGTACCCTTCTTCTTATCGATACCTAATAAACGTGCAGGGTGAAGGGTGGCTGCTTCAATAGCTTCTACCAAAGGACAGTTTGTGAATTTTTGGAAGTTACGGATACATTGGTCGATGGTGATGGTACTACCAGCTAATGTAGTACTACCCTTGATATAAGCAGCACCATCCTCAACAACCTCTACTTCACTACCTCCGAGTTGATAAATGCCGCTGGGAAGGCCTGCAGCAGATAAAGTATCCGTGACTAAAATAGCTCCAGTGGGATGAGAATAATACGCAATACGAATAGAGTTGGGATGGACATGAACACCATCACAAATAAGGCCATAGAAAGGACGAGGATCGGGTTTTTGACGGTCAGGGGATGTGTTGGAAGCCTCAGGATGGGATGCTCCATTTTTAGGGATAGGTAAATCAGCAGCACCGAGAACACCAATCAATCCAGGATCACGATGATGGAACTAAGAAAAATTATGTCAGCCACTAAATCTTCGTTGTATATATTGTAACTTACTGCTTGCATAGCGTTAAATAGATGGGTGATGCTAGTAGAGCCTTTGGTTACAGCCTCTTCAGCTTCAGCAATACGACAAGCAGAGTGACCCATTGAAACAGTAATACCACGTGCAACAAGGTCAGGAATAGCGTCACAAACACCATCAATCTCAGGAGCCATAGTGATGATACTTACAGCCTGACTACCCTTTAAAAGCTCAGATCCATATACGTCGTCAAAATCCTTGATACCATTCTTTGCGTCCTTAAAGACAGATTGTTTATGAGCTCCCTTCTTTAAAACGGAAATAAAAGGTCCTTCAAGATGTGCACCCAAAATCTCTGCGCCACCTGTAGCAGTACCCTTTCGATGATTTAATAAGGGAAGTACCTGGGGGGGGGGAAAGGCATCATGAATTTTTTTTTCTTTAGTACGAGACATATTTTTGTGTGGGGAAAGTAATATTTTTTTAGCGTTTTACCTTTTCATAAACTTCAGGTGCCGAACTGACGATGGTAGGACAAAAAGCGGTACAACCGTATTGTAAAAGACCCTTAGCAACCTTATCAATATTTTTTTTCAAGACGTCGACAGGTTCTTCATGATCAGCGAAATCAATACCATAAGAGCCATTAATCTGGGTATCAATAAAACCTGGTACGACCAAAAGACCCTTTGCGTCAATGATCTCATCAGCATCACGACGAGCAGAAAAGAACAGGTTTTGAGGGTGGATGATTTTTCCATTTTGAAACCACAAGTATGAATTCTCTACAATCTTATGTTCAAGTAAAAGCCTTGCGTTAACAATCTTGTAGATTTTATCGGATTCGGTAATTTCTAAAGCAGGCATATTTATGAAAAAAGTTTTTTTTTATGTATATGAAAAGGGAAGAAAGGAAAAAAAAAAAAAACGGGTGTGAGTTCTTTTTATAATCATATCATACCGGGCTTACTTAATAAAATAATGTTTCATTGTCCGTCCAAGGGTCCAATTGGTACGCTAGATTATGTAATACACCCTTTTTAAATTTAACCCCAATCAAAAATCATTTGTTCAAGGGTCCAAAAGGGGTAGGATGACGGGAAACTTTTTTAGTCAGTTTAAATGAAACATGCTTTACCTTTCATTCTCGTGTTTCCAACCGTATCATAAAAATAAGAAATGTTATTGGGGGTTTCCTGATAGTTTCATCCTATGAATAGTTAATTTATAATATCAAAAGCTACTAGGGTAAAAGTTAAACTGACGGTAAATGTGACTAACGATTAAAGTTCACAGGAACCCGTCTTGGGAATAACAAATCGTGTGTGTCTTCTCTTATCCCATTTGTTGACGTTATCTGATCTTTTTTTATTCCAGCATGTATGGATCTTTCTTCACTTGCGTATCTTTCCTTATCCGTTCATCGGTTGAAAATCAAACTTCATTATATCACCGTCATCATCCTCAAAAAAAAAAAAAAAAAAACCTAGTACCAGTTATGTGTCACTTTGTATCTGTACCCTTTAATTTTTTTTGCGTCGGGATACACAGACCCTTCTTTTTTTGCTCAGGTTTCTGGGCTTTTGTCAGCAAAAAAAAAAAAAAAAAAGTAATTGTCGGCTGCTGAAAGTTGTTGTGGATTAAGGGCTGATATTTCCAGAGTAAAATAATTTTCTTATTTTGGTTTTCCAACATCCATCATAATTTTACAAGTGGTAATGTGAGCTTTACATATGTTCTTAAGCTAATTTGGAAGTTAAGGCTAAAAGTTTATTGGCTCAAATCTTAGGAACTACGAGCAAGATATTGTAGCCATGTTAAAGAGGAAGTCTCTTATAAATATGTGTGCAGAATATACCTGAAAACCGTGAAGAAGAACTTCACCACTCTTAAAAAACTAAAATTAAAAGATCAAATGATCCAAAATTTTATCATGCATACAGGCAATAGCCATAAGTAATCCGACGCTGACTTTTGATTACAAAGTGGTAAGTTATGTTTTAAATCCAGTCAATTCCTGCGATGAGTATTTACAATCCTTCACATTTCACATGGATTTTGGCTCACTATACACGTTTGAAAATTGAATAAATGAAATTGTACAGTGCACATCCTTTCCACATTATATAACACAATATTTGTACTAGGCGATAGTGACCAATTAGAATTGTGTTACCACAATTAAATAAAATCACAGGAGCACCAACTTACCTTATTAGCTTTGAGCATTCTAGTTTTTATTATTTTTCTAGAAAAGCTTGTCGTTTAAATATACAAAATATTAAATCCACAAACCAACAAACAGTAAGCCGATTTGTGCACAAAAAAAATCATTCCGTAATTGAGCTTTTATATAATAATGTCAATGGTTAACAAGTACTTTTTGGTAGTGGATGTTTCTATCTACACTTTCGACCTCAAGTTTTGACTAATAGAAATGTTTTAATTTTATTTTTTAACCATGCTCAGGACTTAATTTGAACACACTACATCTCTTCTTCTTCACAATTACTAATCAAGAAAAAAAAAAAAAAAAACCAGGTTATGCTCTCGTGTAACACGACAACTCTGCAAAATTCGCTTTGCTATCCGTGCAAGTAACTTAGCCAGACATAGTCATGATTATAAAATGTAAGATATAATTATCTTCATATTAATTTTATTTACCAATAAATAATATAGTGATATACAAAATGTATAAAAATTATTACATGATGTTTGTAGGTAGTTATTAGCAATACTTTAATAAAAAAAACTATTGTGTTAAAATTACGTACGGCACCGTTTGCGAGGCGTAGATAGTACCTGGTAGATACTTATATTAGCTGAGCACTTTATTTTCATCAGGTTATTAATTGAAGTCCACAAGTAGCGACTTCAACATTGTTTAGCAGCAATTTATCTCACTAAAAAAATTCGTCTAGTTGCATTTACTTCCAAGCGCACTTTGAGAGGCATAATTCTGAATGAATTGCTATTTTCTTAAGGTATGGAATAGGTTTGGCAATTTTGATAGTTTTAAATCTTTATTGGAATAATCATGACTATACAATTTCTTATTATAATTCTTCCCAACATTTATTACACTGATCGGGCTCCTACTTTATTTATCCTAATTCAAACTTGCACCGATTTGCATAAATCTCGCACGAGCAGGAGGCTATTTTATAAATCTCACAAGTATCGTATGTGAATTGCCGTTTATCATTTTGAAAATGGCTACTTCAAGATTAAAGTCTTACATAAACTAGCAATGTAGTATTTTTTTTGGAAAGCTTAGAGAGCTTGTAGAAATGGGTTAGCTTTGGCCCAAAGATTAATGCTAACCAAGCTGTATTATAATCTTAAAAAAATGATTTAAATGACTACGCTTTCAAATTTAAGATACACTGATCACAAATCGTGACATCCATATCCTGATTGTTCAGGCAAGAACTTTCAAGCTGACAGAAACCGTGACGCTGCTAGCCTTTTCAAGATTGCGCCATTTAAAAGAAGCCTAAACCGGATTGATACTTTAGTTTCTTTGGGTGGGGGGTTTGTTGAACAACAAGAAAAATCTAACATCATAAATAAATGAGGTCGGAGTGCTTGGGAGTAGATAATGCACGATTCATGTTTTGTTTATGAGCTGTATTGGTGTCATACAAGTCGCACACATGTCATTTATCATTGGTCTAAACATGACACTGTCATTGTGCCCATCACCCCATACAATGATTCCTGAAAAATCAACCAATCAGAAAACTGAAAATATTATTAGGGAATTAATTTTCTGTGGGCCCTGATGGTTCAGTTTTAGCTTGTCACGGTCAATTACATAATTGAGGAGGTATAAAAACCGACAATTTTTAGGTCTCGGTTTCTTTTTTTTTTTTTACTTCAACTAATTTATAAAAAATGGAACAACCTACTGAATATTTCTCTCAAGAGGAAATTGATGAAAGAATTAATGTCACTGATTTTAGTCAAACACATCAAGAACCTTTACAAAGTCCTGATCTATTAAAGTACTTTATTTCACAGTTGCTGCATTCTAGAAATAGTCCTGGTAGTAATAGCCTTAATGAAGATTCGATGTTCAAAGAACAAGTTATTGCTTCATATCAAAAAGACTTTTAACCCCGCGCTCTTTTACTATTTTTTTTTCGTTCTATTTGTCGTTATCTCACTTCCTTTTCTTTTTTTAATTACTCCCTATTGCATTACTATTCAATAAAAATATAAATATTCTTTTTTTCCCCCTCGTATACGCGTTGCAGCATGAAAATAAAATTGTGGGCTGCTTTCATATCGCCCTGCTAAAAACGAAGCTAATCAAATATAATAAAAGTCACGTAACAAAGGTCTTTGTGTTGTACAGAACCGATAAGTTACAAATGTCTTTTAATGGAAATAAAAAACTAACTCAACTCGAATCCAGTGTTGGAATTAATTGCTAAAAGGATACAATTAGCACATGACATTCTAAGTATCCATGCATTTTTGTATCTTTACCGTATAACAGCTTTTCTTTTAAAAGAGATTTCTTGGTATAGGCTAGATGCATTTTAAAAAGTTAAATGATAATTAACCTTAATTTCACGGATATAAGTTACCTGGCAATTTTAAAAGGTTGAAGCTACGAAAGAAACGGCTTTTAGATATTTGCTATTGTGTTATCTTTGTTTATTCCCTTACCATGTTGAGCTTGAAGGAAGTCGGCCAGATCGATTTGTGTTCAATTTAAAAAAAGATTTCACCAATTTAGCGCTTTCAGCTGCGTCTGTTGATACCATCCTGACTGTAAATGGTGGTTGAAGATACTCGAATCCACCCAATGGGGGCTTGGGGCAACCCGTAGCAAATTTTAAAAAAGATCGTTTCTCGTTGGAGGAGAATTCAGCAATAATTTGCCACAAGAGCCTGATCACTGGGTGAAGGTCAAAATACCCATCCTGATATTCTGTGTGCCTGCGTAAATCAGAGATATCTAAAGTATACAAAAAAAAAAAAAAAAAAAAAAAAAAAAAAAAAAAAATGAGCACACTTTTTCGTTAGCGTGGTAATTAACACAAAGGAATATACCGAAATCCGTATCTTCACCCGATAATACTCGTTGTAATTCAGGAGGAGAAAATAATTTAATCCAACCTTCCGAGATTACTGTTCGAAAACCATTGATAAATGCTTTGGTTTGTTCTTTTGCACGTTGATTTAATTTATAATCTGCCATCAAATATACGTACTCCACCTTATTATTGTTAGTGACCGACGTATGTTTCCCTCTCTAAAGCAACAAAAACAAAACAAAAAAAAGAAAACAAAAAAATTAATACTAGGCCTTTTTGGGATTGCTATGATTTCATCTTACATATTTCAGCTCGTGAGACTCAATTTTTCCAAAAATATTCTCATCCGCTTCGAATGATAACCCAAGCTCCTCTACATCTCCTTCATAGTGCTTGATAAATGTCAAATTTCTCCAAACTTCTTCATCCAATTCTTTGAGCTCTTCCAAAAATACATTACGCCCTAATAATCTGGCTAACAAAAATCCTGCAAACTTGACATCCAACAAAATTCCTTCATATAATGCTTTTCCAATGGCCTACAAGAAAGAAGCACGTTTCATGTCGTCAATTCAGACCAGAATGATCACGCCTCACCTTACTTGATTTCTTACCTTTCCAATAAATTCAAATAATTGGATATGGTTACGACCATGAACACTTGATGTTGCACTTGGATAGAAACTATTTAATTTGGTGGATGTAAACAATCCATAATTGGGTTCAAAAGCCTCTGATATCATCATTGTAAGGAAATCTATAGTTCAAAAAGTGTGTTCAATATGACAAAAGTACAATTTCGTAATAATTGTTTTACCTTTAAATGGGCCACCTTGATCAATACCAGCTTCTCCTACACCCAATTCATTTACAAATGCGACACGAATATTTCCTTTCCATGCTGAAGGGGCCAAACCCGATAATCCATGAAACCCATCTTCCAACACCTGACCTCTTCTGACCGTGACCACCTTTCCATTGTTCTTGTTAATGATGGTGGATCTATCCAACGCTACCCAATCACGAAAGATCTTGAGCCGCATGTCAAATGATACAGTATGAGGCATTAATTGCAGGATACGAAGTGGCACTGGATCACCTTGTTTCAGATTGGATAAGAACAATGATGCTGAACCATTGCTCGCTTCGCTAAATATGGAAGAAAAGAAGGATTTCATACCTTTGGACATGGATATTAGCAACCAATGGTTTGGTGGGCAGAATGGATGGTGTAAGTCTAAATCATAAATTTGTAGCAGCAAACGTCTAGCGGATTTAAAAGAGTCAGCGGAAGGTGGAAGTTCAGTTGGTATGTCTGTCTGCTGCTGGATCAACGAAAAGTAGAATGTATTAAGAAATGAGCTGATTTGTATCAAGTCATTGGGAGAGAAAGGCTTTTGACGAGTAAAAATATCTACATCATCTAGTGTTCTAATTAGCAAAAGAAAAACAGAAAATGTTAGCACTCGTTTTAATCTGTATCTATGGTTACCTACAAAAACACAATTGAGCATGCTTCACAAAAAACTTTTAGGATTTGTACGAGAGGTTCCTTATCTATATCTTTCCGTTTGGCAGCATCTAGATAGATGACCATACTTCCTTTAGGGCCAAACTGATTCATGAGTTTCCAAAGTTGAGGCATCAATTGCGTAGTGAAGGCAATACGGTAAAATATGACTTTTCTGTGTGCTTTAAATATTCTTGTTAATTGAATATACATGGAGAAAATCGATTCGACTTCAATGGAAAACAAGGCAAGATCATTCCCTCCTCTTTTGAATAAATTCTTTTTTACTCGTTGTTGTTCGAACAGGATAATGTCCGCAAAGACTTGATCCATAAAAGCTCTTGACCAAATATACTCCATCTGTTTCATCACTTTGTCAAAAACAAGCGAAGGCAACGTATTCCCCCAAACTGCTTTAGACCATTTAAAAATTGGATGGTAGTATGGATATGAGGGCGTCTGTCTATCCGAGAAGTACGGTTCGATATAATTTAGTAGGGAGGTCGTTAATTCTACCAGTTGCATTTCTTGCTCAGCCCTCAATGTATTTTTACTATTGTTCCAAAGTTCAATCACATTAGCCAGCAGAAATAAGAACCCATTCCCGCTCAACTCTTGTGTTACGGAATCTGATTGTTGAAGAAAGAGAACGATAGCATTCAGCGCCCATTGACGAAGCCTATCAGCCATCGCGTCATTGATTAATGCAGTGATATTAGGTACCGCCATGGTATTGGTCCAAAGAAATCTAGAAGCGGTTGCCATATCTAATGCATCACAAGACAAACCAGCATGTTCAATTGGGTAAAGAGTTAACCTAGTTATGGTAGTTAACCATAACTTCATTGCCTTGACACGGGCTATGTCCTGCGGAGATAGTTTAAATGATCTGTCTTCTAATTTGATAATTTGCTGTACACAAAGGGTCAATGCATCACGCAAGTTAAACTGACAGAGGGTATTTTTTAAAACGGTTTGAGCAGTACTGGATAGGATCTTATCCGGTATATCAATGACATGATAAGGGTCGTATATATGCTTTGTTTGGTATGTTTTTGGGTTGAGGTATTGGAGCAGAAAGGTCAATTCAGGTCCAAACATGGTCGTATCATTGGAGCAGGTGCATGTCTGAATACATTGCATAATGACCTGTTCTAAGTAAATCCGCGCCCGACTCATGTATCTCATATCGATCAGTAACGTATAAAAAGGTATTTTTGTCTTGCCGAATTTGTTGTTCGTGAAGTATTTCACAAGACATTTTAGGCGAGTTTTGTCAGGTTGTGTGTGGCGGGTTAAAAAACAGTAGAGTCCAACAAGTTGTAAAAAGTCTATAATATCTAATTCTGTTTTACAATGGACATCCCACCAAGCCCAAGATTCTATTTTGGCTTGTTTAACTCTGTCTCTTCTTTTCCACCATTGCTGAATTACTTGTGCAGCTGCATTCTTTTTCTCTAACTCTAACTTTTCCACTCGATCCTTTTCCCGCTTTTCTCGTTCGAGCCTTGTGGTTTCAAGAAATTTCTTTTTGGAGGAATCGGTGGATGTGAACATGAAGAAAGAAAGGACTGGGAAAACCTGGTCATGGTAGCCATAAATTAAAGTTTTAAACCCAGGTTACTATCACCCATTGTGGATATGCTGATGTTTGATGAATGTTAGCAAGAGCAGTGTATGTTTTTTTGGTCTTGACTTTTTCTTGGCTCTAAATAAAAAGAAAACAAACAACTAGCCTTGCATGAAGAATTAACGATTAACTTTTATAGAGAAAGATGTGTTTATATCTGTATAAAAGTGCGACACATTACAGTTTTCACACTTTAAATTCAGAATAGAGATCATTCTTTTTGCGTACCGACTGAAAGTTTCTCATTGTTATTAATTATACGCATTACTACCATTCTCATACTTCAAATGCTTTTGATTCGGTGGCTGCCACATGTGTCTACTTCCCAGCCTCCCGTACTGAAACATATCTTTTTCTTGTTGATATTACACATTCTGCTTGTCCTTCACGTACTATTTTGGCTGGTGATTTAATTACTCATGTTCAGGGCAATTTTCTCCTCGAATCTGTCGAGCACCATCCATTTGGCTTCATTATATTAATTCTTCGTTTACTGATAAAATCACTCCCCCTGATCAATCAGCTTCTGTTACAATTTATCGCGGTGTTTTACAGTCATGTATAGACTGCGTTTTTGAATTTAATGATCTTGCTTCTTCAGTTCATTACGATGATTATACCATCACTTATGTCCAACCACAATGGTCTGAATATCTTTTGCTAAAAATTCAACTTTGATTTCTTCCTCTCATTAATGATAACAATTCTGTCTTTTCAATAGATAAGGGTCTTTGGCGAGCTCACCCTCGACTAACATCCAATCCACAATTTGTTAAGCAACTTAACAGGATACTATACAAACGTGTTTATCAATTCGGAACATCCATGTCCTCCGCCAAAAAAATGGGAATCTCTCAAGATATTCACTGCAGCATTTTGTAAGTCACATAGCGTACAAAAGGCCTTTACTCTTTCTTGTACCGAAGATTTACTTCATCAAAAACGTGCTAGTATAAACAAGAAACATCTTTAGTTCCTTTGGTATAAGGTGTTGTGAAATAGGTGAGCTGTCCGCTGGCTATATAAAACGTACTATTTCCTAATGACATTCTCGTCCAAACATCCCTCCTCTTATCCATCTAAGCTCATTATCATTATGTTCTTGGCTATACAAATAGGAAATAAAGAGAATCCTTGAAAGGTATAAGATTCGATCTTTTGCTTGGCCAAATCACCGAATTCAACACCATTAGCACCATAAAATTTCATAGCAAGTAGCCTCGATGGGGAGTTCGTGGTCATAACAGCTTGCAAACTATCACCGAATGTTGTAACAACTGGATTTGACACTTTATGATTGATTGGGATAAATGCCATAAAACCAGTTTAAACTTTTGGTCTGAATTTAAAGTAATTTCATGGCAAAAAGTATATTTCTGCAGTTTTTCTTTTTTTAGTTTTATTCGAAACCATGTTGAGAGACTCACGGCCTATTGCTTTACGCAAATTGATGCCTTTCTCTAACCGTTCCGATGCTAGAAAACATAGGACTTCAGACTCAATACATAGTGATGAAGATCCATTGTTAGATGAGGAGGCTGCTGTACGTAATAAGCACATGTTTCAAGAGAGATAAATTAACGTTTTTTTTTTCGGTCTCATAGCTAAATCTTATTGATTCACCTTCATCACCTTCTTCTAGTGCACCTTTAAACGGACGAACTACAAAGGTTGACAAGAAAAAGAAACAGCAGCAGTCAGGATTCTTTTCACGGTTTAGTAAAAAGAAAATATCCCAACCTAGAACGATTTCACTCCAAGCAGACGGTAAAAAGAGAAACATGCTCGATAATCTATAGTTAACAATGTTCTTAATTAGACAAGGAAAAGAAAAAGTATGCAGCCAACGTCATTATTAATCAAAAATACAACATTATCACCTTTATTCCTATTGTGCTATTCGAACAAGTAAGCTAATTACGTCTGCGTTAAAACCTCCTTGTCTAACTCAATTTCGTTATCCCAGTTTGCCATATTTTTCAACATGTACTTCTTACTTGTTGCTTTATCCCAGTTTGTACCGGCCTTAAAGATCGGTAAAGGATATAAAAATGCCAAGTGATTTATTTTCTAACAACGCTTAATGGGTTTGTAGGATATATCCTTACCTACTTTGGACCATTATGTTTCGTTTTATTAATCACAATCAGCAAAGAAGCATTAGACGATTATCAACGTTACAAACGTGATAAGGAAGCCAACTCACAGCTTTACCGTCGACTTACATCCTCTGGAAATCAAAATATTCCAAGTTCTAAAATTAGAGTGGGTGATTTGATTCACATCATGAAGGATCAAAGAGTACGTTACACACGTGGAATAAGAGATAATTCAGTGACTGATTAAGGAAAATAAAATAGATTCCCGCTGATATGATCTTGTTAAGAACGACAGAGGAAAGTGGCGCAAGTTTTATTAGAACAGATCAATTGGATGGTGAGACGGATTGGAAGTTGCGTTTAGCAATTCCTCATTTGCAAAAATTACATTCGGACGGTGATTTGTTGGATGTGAAGGGACATGTCTATGGTAACACACAAATGCTTGGAATATTCACCTTTTTCTGGCTCTGATTAGTTTTTTTTTTTTTAGCGGATGCACCTCATATGGATATTCATAACTTTGTGGGAACTATTTCAATTGTAGATCATACAACAGGAGCAGAACGAATCGAACCTTTAGGCGTAGAGAATACAATGTGGACAAACACCGTGTTAGCTTCAGGGTCAGCCATCGGATTTGTGATTTATACCGGTAAAGATACCCGAGCTGTAATGAATACCAGTCACCCCAAAACAAAGGTTGGTTTGATTGATAAGGAAATCAATCAACTTGCAAAGATTTTATTTATTGTGACTCTGGGACTTTCTGTCATCATGGTTGGGTTTAATGGTTTCCGTGGTGTTTGGTATATCTATGTCTTTAGATTTTTAATTCTATTTTCTTCGATTATTCCTATTGGGTAAAAACCTGCGATTTTTTCTCGTTCACATTAATCACATTTGACTAACATTTTTCCAGTTTACGTGTCAATCTGGATATGGGGAAAACAGTTTATGCGCATCAAATCGAAAACGACCAAGAGATTATGGGAACAATTGTACGTACAAGTACTCTACCGGAAGAATTAGGCCGCGTTGAGTACTTATTGACTGATAAAACCGGCACCCTGACACAAAATGACATGGAGTTGAAGAAGTTGCATATGGGTACAATGTCTTATAGTTTGGATACCATGGATGAAATCCAAACCCATTTAGCAACTGCTTTTGGACCCCAGGATTTATTAACAGCAAAAGGCCGTCGAAATATATCTGTACGTGTACGTGATATCGTACAAGCATTGGCGCTTTGTCATAATGTTACACCCGTGGTAAGCATTGATGGCGATATCACTTATCAAGCATCAAGTCCCGATGAAGTGGCTATTGTAAAATGGACAGAGCATATGGGCTTGACATTGGTGAACCGTGATGTTAATTCAATTCAGTTACGTGTCGATGCAACAGGCGAAATTCTTTATTTTGATGTTTTGAATATCTTTCCATTCACTAGTGAAACCAAACGTATGGGTATTATCGTTCGTAACAGACAAACTCAAGAAATCGTGTTTTTTGAAAAGGGTGCAGATGCAGTGATGGCACGCATTGTACAATATAATGATTGGCTAAACGAAGAGTGTGATAACATGGCAAGAGAAGGTCTTCGTACACTTGTTGTTGCTAAAAAAAGTTTATCAGAGGAGTCCTACCAGGAATTTACATCCAGGTATCATGATGCTGAAGTAGCACTTCATGATAGAAATATGTTGAAACAATCCGTGGTAGAAACTTTGCTGGAGTCGAATTTAGAATTATTGGGATTGACGGGTGTTGAAGATAAATTGCAAGAAGGTGTCAAGAACACCTTGGAGCAAATGAGAAATGCGGGTCTGAAAATTTGGATGTTGACGGGTGATAAAATCGAAACAGCCACATGTATTGCTATTTCTTCTAAACTGGTGTCTCGTAATCAAGGCATCCATACCATATCCAAATGTAAGTATTTTTTAAGTGTGATAAAAAAAAAAAGAAAAAAATCTGTACTCATATTCAATTAGTAAAAACGGCAATGGAAGCGATTGACGAAATTGACAATTTACGTACAAAAACTGATAATTGCCTTGTCATCGACGGCGAGTCGTTACAACTCTGTTTGGATCATTGTATCGATGAATTTATAGAGATGGTTACTATGCTACCCGTGGTTGTTTGCTGCCGTTGTTCTCCCACTCAAAAGGTAATACAACGAAATATAGACATGTCTATAACATCTAATGTATACTTTAATAGGCTGATATCACTCGTTTGATCAAAGAATATACCAAAAAGAGAGTGCTTTGTATCGGCGATGGAGGTAACGATGTAAGTATGATCCAAGCTGCTGATGTTGGTGTAGGTATCGTTGGCAAAGAAGGAAAACAAGCATCCTTAGCTGCTGATTTTTCCATCACACAATTTAGTCACTTAACCAAGCTGCTTTGTAAGTGCACATAGATAGGATTATGCATTAGATTCTTATATATTTCTTTGTGTAGTATGGCACGGAAGAAACAGTTACAAAAGATCCGCCAAACTTTCCCAATTTGTTATTCATCGTGGTTTAATTATCTCGGTTATGCAAGCTGTATTTTCAGCATTATTTTATTTCGCCCCTATTGCCTTATATCAGGGTATGCTGATCGTGGGTTACGCCACGCTGTATACAAATGCGCCAGTATTTTCTCTTGTATTGGATCAGGACGTGAGCGAGGAGATTGCCATGATGTATCCTGAGTTATATAAGGACTTGACAAAGGTAATTGAGTACACAATGTATCAATATTTAAACTAACTGTTACTTGTAGGGACGTTCATTATCGTACCGTACTTTCTTTACTTGGTTGTTGATTAGTGTGTATCAGGGTGGTGCTATCATGATCTTGTCTATCATTCTCTTTGAGGACGAGTTTATTCACATTGTTGCCATCTCTTTTACGGCACTAATCTTTAATGAATTATTAATGGTGGCGCTGGAGATTAACACATGGCATAAATTCATGATTTTAGCTGAACTTATTACGCTGCTTATTTATTTCGGATCCATGTGGCTATTACCTACTTACTTTGGTATGTTCGATTTACGAAAATATATGAAATGAAACTAAATTTTATAAATCTTTTTAAAATAGATATGCAATTTATTTTAACAAGTAGGTTTGTATGGAAGGTTGCTGTTATCACAGCAGTAAGTAGCTGTCCATTATATATTGTTAAGATGATCAGGAGAAGAATTGCACCACCGAGCTATACAAAATTAACTTAATCGTAAACATAATAAAATATATAATGAGGGTATTTCTCTTTTATTCTCTTCTCAAATTGTCTAATCTTGCCTGTAAAGCAGCATCATCGGCAGACAAACCACCTTCTGCCTGTGCAACTCTTTCAGCAGGTGCAGCAGCTGGTGCCTCGGTTTGTCTGATACCTGTTGGAACTTCAGAGAGCTACCGGAAAAAAAAGGTAAGTCGACCGAAATACTAGATAATCAAAATCCATAATAAGAGCTTACCTCTTGGTTGAAGCTGATTCCAATTTCGTCCAAAACTTTGTTAACAATCTCGTCTGATTCTTCTTCATCTTCATCTTCTTCGAAAGCATCATCAATGGCGTCTCCCATCATTTCATCCTTCATATCCATCATTTCACTTTCTCTTTCGAATTCCATCATAATTTGTTGAATCTTGGGTAAGTTCATTTGTTTATTCATAGAGCCCATGGCCTTTGTAGCGCCCTTCATAGCCTCAGCCATTTGTTGACTAGATCGAAGAGTTTGAATACGCAACCCAACTGCTTGTAACTGAGTCTTCATTTGATAAAACTTTTGTACATTACGTCTTGTACGCACTAAATCTTTGGCCATGACTTTACATGCGCCCATCTGATTTGCTTTAGCGGATTTTTTGATATCTGCAATCAGTTTTTTCTCTTGGCGTTCCAATTTTTCCCTTTCACGGTCTAATTCTCGTTGAGCTTTGGTGATGGCTCGTTGGTGTTGACGTAGAACTTCTGCAGGTGTTTTTCTTTTTCCAAATAAAAATTCCTGTTCATTGAAGGAATTAGTAAATGTGAATTAGGTATCAAAGACACTAAGGGGTGGGGGTAACTTTACCATTTTTCGTCTTGTTTATACTTTTGCGCAAAAAAAGAAAAAAAGGGCAAAAAGGTAAATCATGATTTACGCCCAGAATAATCCCGTGTAACTCTCAGCACTAAAAATCATTATTGCATTATAATCGCCATCTTAACAGTTAATACAATATTTTTCTTTTATTTTAGAAAAGGATATCTACATCAAGTATACGTATTATTACCGAGCATTTCGCAGGCTGGTCGGAATGCATATGACACACATTGTTTTCATATTACTATTCTCATTGACTTGCTGACTTTAGAAGTAACCATAAAAGTTGGAACTTCTAATCAGCATTCACGAAACGCTACAAAACTTATGGTTTTAAGATCACACAATTATTTCAACCGATAATGGTATATCTGAAAGACCATTTTTGAGCTGGTGATTCCTTCTCTTTTTGAAAAAGTTTACCACATTTAGGTTAAATATGATTACTGAGCAAGTTACTTGATGTAAATCTTTCGGTGTTGGCCTTCGAGTATGTAGTACAACCAACAACGAGTGACACCATCGCAAAATATAAAAGAACAATGATATGCGGTAACAGCATGAAATACCGGAAAGGCGAAATTTTAAAAAGAGTTAGGACTATACTTGACAAATAAAACATAACAATATTCCATTACCGATTAAAAAGGCGTCGTTGAGATATACGATTATTCGTGCTTTGTATGTATTTAATGTGTCAACTGCAATTGTTAAAGTGGGATAAACACGAGAACAAAGGCACAAACCCCCTTTATACCGAATCCAATGGCTTAACAGGAGTTATGTTTCGGTACGCATTTTTCTGGTTACTAAGTCATGATTATTACTAGCAATGAGGTTTGATAACATTTGCTATGAGAAGGCTGCGGCCAGATAGAAGTGGCAAAATCTGAAATAAAAAAAAATTAGGGTATGACGTACACTAGGCCGTGGAAGTTTTTAAAAAAGGATGCATTGTTGTGCATATTTGGTAAGTAAAATTAATGTGTAGACACGGACAACAAAACAAAAAAGAGCTTTTGGGTAGCTCCGTCTATACATGGAAATGTACATTTTAGTGTGCATAATCGGTATGCTATGAGCAATTTTTAAAATGTACTTAATCGACGGGCCGAATCTTATTTTTGGTTGCCGCAGAAGGATTAATGAAGAAACAGCTGGATTTTGTTGACATCAGAAAAGTATCGAGACCTGCATGACATGTGCGTGTAGCCCAAATCACATCTACTGATTAAAATTTATGACTGAGTGAGCGGCCCTAACATTTGATCTTCTTTTCTTTTTTTTCTTCTTTATTTTTCTTAATTTATAAACCAGAATGTCAAATGAGGAACAAGGAGTTATTGGTATTGTGGGTGCGGGTTTAGTTGGCGCCTTAAATGCCATTTACTTTGCACAAAGGGGATGGAAAGTTGCACTTTATGAACTTCGACCGGGTAAATATATAAAACGTATCTGTCCTTTATGACCTTTTTTTCTCACAGTGTTTTTTCCCACGATCATAAAAGATATGAGACTTCCTGTTCATAGAGAGAGTAGACGTGGTAAATCGATCAATCTTGCACTGTCAGAAAGAGGATTGAGTGCTTTAAGAGCAACTGGGTTGGATCTTGAAAAAACAATTTTGGAAGCCTCTGTGCCAATGAAAGCAAGAATGGTTCATATTAATGGAACTCAGATGTCTCAAGCATATTCTGTTAATGGCAAGGTAAAAACTGTAATAAAAGAGACAGCATTATTACAAAGATATTTAAAACCAATTTTAGCATATTAATGCTGTAGATAGAGCTAGATTGAATGAACTTTTATTAGATGCGGCAGAGGAGATGAAAAATGTCACAGTCTATTTCGAGCACAGACTTTTGCAAGCGGACATGGACAATAATAATCTTGAATTTATGGTTGCGAATGAAGAAAAACGAGTTTACCACCACGATTTGGTTATTGGAGCAGATGGTGCTTACTCCAAGATGCGATCCCAAATGATGCGTCGTATGAGAATGGATTATAACCAAGAGTATATTGATACAGGCTATTGTGAATTATCTATGCCTCCCGCTACAGGCCCTGATGGAAAACCTACATTCGCATTGGATCCAAATCATCTCCATATTTGGCCAAGACATACTTTTATGTTGATTGCTCTTCCTAACCCCGATTACTCTTTTACATGTACGCTCTTCATGCCATTCCAAATGTTTGAGGATATAAAGACAGAGGAGCAGCTGATTCAATTCTTCACCGAGAACTTTTTAGACTCTATTCCATTGATTGGAGAAGAATCTTTAAAAAAGGATTTCTTTGCAAATCCTCGTGGTTCCCTCGTAACAGTCAAGGCATCGCCTCACAATTATGAAGATAAAGCACTTATTATTGGTGATGCAGCCCACGCCATGGTTCCATTTTATGGCCAAGGAATGAACTGTGGATTTCAAGATGTAGAGGTACTTCATCAAATTTTGGACCGTCATCATATCAAACCTGTTTCCAAGAGCAACAAGATCGAAGGATTAAAGGAAGCATTGGATGATTATTCAAAGACGCGTGTCAAGGATGCGCATGCTATATGTGATTTAGCCCTCTACAATTATTACGAGATGAGCCATGCTGTGACTTCTATAAAGTTTTTGGCAAGAAAAAAATTGGAGGGCGTGATTCATTATTGGTTCCCTAGCTTAATTATTCCATTGTACACTATGGTCAGTTTTTCGACATTGCCTTATTCTCGCGCTATTGAACGTTGGCATCGTCAGTCTCATTGGCTGAATGTAGCCATGATTTCTACCACATTGGCTACAGCTTCGCTTGTAGCCTCGGTCGGATTCAAATATCGTGACCAGTTTTTGCCAACTGTCAGATCAGCTATTGATACAATGAAGCATCTTTTTTAGTAATAAAGATGATTAAAAAAAATGTTTTTATCCAGAAAAAAGAGTTTGGAAGTGTATCATAGATAATTTATCATTGTGGAGACGTTTCCAAGAAGTGATTGTACTTCCGAAATCACTAATTTTAAACACACGAGATCGTCTCGGCCAGCCCATGTGTTCAGCGCCATAACCACCAACACCACCACCACCACCGTAACATAGCTGAATATTATCCTTTTCCATGCAAAAGTCATTCACATGGTCATGTCCGCTACAAAAAAGTGTCAGTTCAATAGGCCGTCAATTACTACAAAATTATTTTTTACCATGATGTTACTTTAATATCGCCAGCTGGATAAAGGAAATAAAGATTGATTAAACAAACATGTTAGTATTTTGTTACTGTCATAAACAATTACCAATTTTAAATGCTTCCAATGCAGAAACCTTGTTTTTCTTGGGACTTGAAATGCCTTCTCGTGCGTCGCCTAGTTTTCCATTAAATCCGTTTATCTCGTCATTGTATTCCCTGTTTTTTTTTTAAAAAAAAAGGATATATAAGGGCCCAGAAAAGTGCTATATTGGTAATTTCATACATACCAAATAGGTATATGGAAAAACGCAGCAGCATTGGGCTTAGACTTAAATGACTTTGCTGATTTGATAACCCAATCCAATTGCTCTGGTTTAATGAAATCGTATAACTCTTCTTCTTCACTCTCAATATATGCATGTGAATCCAAGAAGTACAGGGTAAATTCATGTGACCTATCATCCACCATCTATGAGTATAAAGAAAATTCCATTTTACACTTATCCTAGATTACCCTAATGTTGAAGCGTCTGAAAAGATCTTCAGGATATAGTTTCCTATACCAGGAATATCTAACGGGCCACGCTCAGTTAAAGAAAAAGGCATGCGACGCATGACCTCAATCAGTTCCTCTCTTGTCAAATCATTCTCGTCGTCGTGGTTACCAAACACAGCGGCCCATGGGATATTTCGCTTTATAACGGGGTCTGCAAATTTAAAAGTAGCTGCCCTAGCATCACTGACGAGACCCCCATTAATATTATCACCTGAAAATACAACAAGGTTGGGTTTTTCCAAATCAAGCAACTTCTCTATATATTTGATGGTGGTTTCATCACCTATACACTCTGTCTTCAAATTAATAGTTTTTTTTTTAAAAAAAAAAATGTGAGATAATAAAATTTCATTTTTTTTTAATGGCATACTTCGGTAGGGACATCACGACAAGCACCCTCTTCGTTTGTAAAATGTAAATCAGCCAATTGTAATATCTTAAAATTACCAAATCCATCAAATGCTAAAGGTGGAGTGGTTGGCAATTCTTTTAAAAAAAGTAAGTCGCTGCTTGTATAACCCACTTTCTAAGTAGAGTCTGATTACCTTTATGTCCTTTTTTAAAAAATAAGTAGGTAGGTTCACCAAATCCTCCTTTTCCTTCTTTTTCACTATTTAAATCTACATTGATTTTATTCCATCCATATGGTGTCACGGGATGTTTTCCAAATTCAATCGCTAGTTCTTGAATGCCATCCTTCAGTGTATCTGGATTTTTGGGTGATGTTCTATACCATAGGAAAATGTTGTCACCACGAAGTACAGAATTTAGGTTAACATCAACTTTGTTGTATCCTTGAGGTGGGGTTTGATCGTTTAAAATAACGACAACGCTATGCAGCTGTGAATACAGATATATAGGGTACTTTAATGTAATCTTACTCTGTCACAGGATCTTCGTTACGTTCTCTTTTATAAAACATGTACACACTCATACCAACTACAATGCCTCTATTCAAATCCTTTTCTACTCTATCCCAGCCCTAGATAAAATGTGGTCAATGACACCTAAAGATAACAGAGGGAAAAAAAAGCAACTCACATCAATATAGCAATTGCTTGTGAAACATTGTTTAGCAGTAATTGCGGTGATTGGATCTAATTTAAAATGATGGCTTTCAAAATTAAATATTTCTAGTTTTTTTAATGCCATTGCCCTCACCTTTGGAACCGGATTGACTATAATACATAAACAAATGAAATCCACCTACATCTCTATTAAGATCTACGGGGATGCGTTTATACTCTGCACCTATTGCAGGACTAATTCCTTGCTTGACAATGATGGAAGTGACAGGATTTTTGGAAACAGACTTATCTTTAGTGTAGTACAACCATAAAGAACTAGGTTTCTCGTCGTCGCTTTGTCCAAATTGGTTCAAGTCAACATTTATTCTTGTCCATTTTGAAGACATTGTCTCGTTAAACCCACGGATGGTTAGGTCGGTGATGGGATCATCAGAAGGATCTTGCTTTACGTGTAAAAATATCGATGCTGCATCATTCACGCCTTGATTGAGATCGGTTGGGATTTTGTGGTAACCTGGGTAATTCGCACACGCGTGGTTGGCATCGCATGAAACTACCTTCAGGTCTGTGATGTAAGCATGCGTAGCAACTGTTAGAAATAAAGTTGCTAATATAGTTTTCAATAGTAGCATAAGCGTCCACTGTTCTTTGGGATGGATAATAATAATAAAAACTGATAGGGGCAGAGATAGGGTTGACAAATAAAAAGAGCCAATTAATTAAATATGGCGAAAAATGCAAATTTTAAAAATCTACAAATTCTTGACAACTTGAGGGAAAACAGGTTTTATTTAGTCGTATTACTAGAGCGAAGAAGCCTCAACCAATATCTTAATGACATCAATTGAAATCATTGGTCAGCCAACTCGCACAAGTATTTAAGTGAGCCAGAGCATTCGATGTTGATTTATAAACTAGTTCAAGTCTTACAAACCGTGTTTACAAACTTAGTCTTAAACAGCCATTAATTGTGACAGCTCCATTCAAGATCATTACGATACAAAGCATGTATGGAATAATTGGAAGTCGCACTATTGGTTCGGATGCACCATGATAAATTTATAAAAGGTAGTATCGTTATCCTTCGAATATCGTATCTAGCGACAATAACTGCCCTCACCATGGTAACGTCTACTCTCAAATACGAGTTTTTATTCGTTTTTATAAAAAAAAATAAAAAAAAAAGAAAAAAAAAAAGAAAAAAAAAGAGAGAGAGAGGACAGTGCATGTATTTATATGGTATGCAAAAAAGTCTACTTACATCTGGATTTATTCCGGCTTCATAAATCCTATAACTTTAGACTTTTTCGTGGATACATCAGCATCTTTGTCTGACTTTCTCTTTTTAGATTTTTTGGACACAGATCTGATTGTTTGCATTTGTTCTCCAAATTCTTTATCTGACAGCTTATTGGCATTCTCAATCTTTTCCTCACGAGCTAAACGTTGGCTCTTTGCATCGTCATCGACCTTTGCCTAAACTCTTGTTTTAGCAATATTTCTATATTTAGTGCATGTTGACTTACTTCAACAGATTTGTTAAAACTATTGAATGATCTTCTACCTGCTGTTGTGTCAACAGCGAAAGGAAGGAAACTAGGCTGGTACTCGATTTGAATTTTACTAAATATTGTTGCATTAGTATCCAATTGGTCCACTTATTCTCATGCATATACTTTACGGCTTTTCGGCTTTGATTTCTTTGGTATCTAACACCCATTCAGCCTCGGATATAACGCGTTTACGTTCTTTCTCTAACTGCTCTTGCATTTCTTTTTCCATGGAACGTTGCATGAACTATTAATCTCGACTTAATCACAATTACAATGCTTATTTTCTAAAACTCCACTACCTTCATGCCCAACAATCTGCTGGAGGCCTTCTTTCCGTCTTTCTTAGGGTCTGACATTGTAGTTTATTGTATTAATGAAAGAACAAAACATAATCTGGTTTTACTTTTTTTTAAATAATTTTTTTATACTGTGACGGTTTTAACTAATGCATTGCTTTGTACATCGGCAGCATTATTCATCGAAAAACGACTCTCTTTCAAGCCCTGATTCGTCATAGAAATTGCTCATAATGGTTATATCATTTTCCTCACTTCCCTCATCAGAGTCTTCGTCATCCTCCAAGTTTAAACATTCAGATTCTTCCTCATCTTGCGCTGCCTCTTCCTCAGATACCTCATCTTGCACTGCCTCTTCCTCAGATACCTCTTCTTGCGCTGCCTCTTCCTCAGATACCTCTTCTTGCACTGCCTCTTCCTCAGATGCCTCTTCTTGCGCTGCCTCTTCCTCAGATACCTCTTCTTGCACTGTATCCTCGAGTTTATTTTGGTATTTAAGCATGATATTTTTAATATTGTTTGCTTGCTTGTTCATATCCATGTCCATCTTTCTTGCAATGGCCTGAGACCTCAATAACGTGTCCAATTGGTAGTTTTGATAGACTTGTAGAATCTTACCACTTGATAAAACATTGGTAACAGATAACATTGAATTTTATCGCACGTTTTTACCTCATCCTATACTTTAGTATTTTCATCATACGTTTTTGGAACCAGGCTTCAGGATTGACAGATTCAAAGCGAAGTACGTACAGTTTAAAGATTCGGGTAGCTAATTCTTCGGCCTCCTTAACTTGTTCAACAGACGCAGTTCTTTTTTTAGCGCGTTCTACATAATTGAATCAATACCATGAAGATGCAACTGTCAATATCGTCTTACTTATTTCTGAACATGCTTCTTTACAAAAAGATACAAGTCCCAATTCAGCGTCCATAAATGGGTCCAGTTCAAATAATTGTAAAATATAATCACTACTTTCAAAGTAATCTTTACCAGCGTTCAATTTAAGTAAAGTGCTAGTTTTCATTAAATAGGTTCAGTATAGCTTGTCATTGCGAGTTTCTATACATACGTTAAGATGTGACTCTCAGGGCGTGCCTCGCTTTCCTTTAATGACGTCAAAATAACATCTTTTATTGTATCCTCTTCTTCCAACAGGGTTAGATACTATGACAACAATTAGTCAATTTCCTTGTTGATATTTCTAAACCTACATCATAATAAATTAATAAGAGTTCTGGATCACCTGAATATGTTTTATGAGCTTCACTCAAATATCTAGCAGCGAATCTTAAATGCTTCTCGTAGCGTATAATTCTCAAATCGTTTTCGTTGCGTTCACCATCCTCCAAGTATTCCTCCGGCAAGTTGTTTCTAGCGGATTTCCACAAGTTGTAGCAACAAATAGCCATTTTTCGCAACAAGATAGGATGGTGGAATATGGGCGTATCGTAACGACTATAGAAAATATAAGAATAAGGATTAAAATAAGTACGTTGAAAGCATTTACGGTTGTATTTCATCTAAAGCTAGTTCCCAACTGTTTTCTGCAATCAAGTAGTCGATGTACACGTTAAAAGTTTCGGCAGACTGAAAAATAAAAACGTTAGTAAAACAGATAGAATCGCATAACATTTTCCTACATGTTTGACGGGTGAACTAATGAAGACTGCTTTGAGGTAACCTGTCAGGTCCTTTGGAGAGGTTTTGCCAATGATCTCAACTCCAATCTATAGTAATAGGAAATAAGCATGATTCCGTGTGATCTCGATAACCTTTATTTTACCTTCCACAAATGTTGGAAATGGAATCTATTACTTTTAACTAATTCGATGAACAATTTTTTTGCTTGTTCATACTTTTCTTCATTCATTAAACTTCTTAATTTCTCATTGGATCTGTACAGATCTGTCTGTGCATTGAGCATTGGCCTCTTGGTACTGAGAACAGGAACCTCAGCAACATCATAAGTAATGGGGTTTTTTCTTTTTCTGATTCTAATCATGATCGAGTTGAAGCTTAAACAACCAGTTTTAAAAAAATCAAGGCGCCGCTAAACAAAAAAAATCATGTCGATCACCCGGACAACGCATTGAAAGTAATAGTTATTTGACTCGGTATTTTTCAACTTTATCTTTAAAGCGCTTCTCGCTACCGTGCATCCTCAAAAACACATAGTGATAAAAGGCTTGATTAATTGGACGGAGGATTGCTGACAAAATTTACCGGCACTGATTAAAACAGTTAGCAACCTTATCATATATGAGGTCAACATACGATTATAAACGGCTATATACGATCATGAGAGATCTATGTTTTAATTGTCAATAAGAAACAAATATTAGATATTTACATCACATATATTTCCTCACTCTAGACTTATCACAATCAATTTAAATGCAAATAATGTTATGGTGATTCAAAAAATATGACGTGTAGATATAAAGATAAATCCTAGTTTAAATGGTCGGGAGTTCCTGTGTACATACGGTCATCAGGATAGCTAGTTTGATTGTCTTAGCTAAACGGAGCGGTTGTAGATTATAACCCCCCCTTTTTTTTAAAAAAAAGTATATTGTCAAACAGATGTAATATTATTTAAATAATATATATTAATTTATGATTTATGATTATGATTATGATTAAATGGCCTCATTAATGTGGGTTTGACTAAGAGCGGATGGCCTCAAGGGAGCTGTGACATTCAAAGATCCTGGCTCTGAAGCATCACTCGCCATACCAGCAACACTTCCAGAAGAGCGGCTTGCTGGTAATCTTGCTACAACAGAGGCGACTACACCCAAAAAACTATTTGGCCTCCACCGTGTACTAATGTCGTTTGAAGAAGTTAATGAACTTGGTTTTTCAGCAGAGAAGAAATTACTAGTAGCGTCGGTTGGACTATGGTGACTTATTCTTTGTTTCTTTTTATAGTTTTGTAAGAATAGTACGACCAGTCCAAGAATGGCGAGACATCCAAAACCTACACCAAGTCCTATAGCAAGTTTATGTGTAGTTGTTAAAGATTTGTATCCTTCTTTGGTATGAAAATGATTTTCAGGTAATCCAGCACCATGGTCTGCAGCCGGTGTTACTGAAGGGTGCCGTATGCTTTCGGATTGAATGGACAAAATTGTATGGATAGAAGTGGCTGTCGATAAACGTCTGTATGCAGTGTCGTGTCCAACTGCGGTGGGTATTGCTTTTATAGGCACGGTTGGTATTGGTGCTAATACTTTTGTTGACGTCGGGAGTGGATCAGACAGTGTGGTTATATAACGTGTGTCTTTTCCATCACGCGTGACATTTTTAGTTATTTGCACAATGTTTGTGTTTATTGACAGTGTTTTGATCATGTTTTTATTTTTAGCAGTGTATTTACTATACTTGGTGGTATTTTTTATATGATTAGCTTCAGATTTTTTCTTTTTCTTTTGCTTTCTACTCTTTCTTTTATGCTGATTTTTATTCTTTTGAAGAAGATGAAAGCTTTTGCGGCTATTTCTAATCTTCTCTAAGCTTCTGTTGTAAAAAGTGTATGGTATAGGTATGTACTCATCTAAAAAAAATATTGGTAAATTATCAATTGGTATGACATTAATAATTGTGTGCTTACTTGTAGAGCAAATGGCAAACGGCACCAATAAACAGATTCCAGTAATAGCTCTGACGTAATTTAACATATGTACAGTAAAATGAGATATCTAGTAAAAAGGAAGAGCAATAAAAATGAAACCCAAAAAAAAAAAAAAAAAAAAAAAGTTTGTTGTAATTGTTTGCCCAAAATTTGCTTTTCATTATGTTAATTTTTTCTTTTTCGTAAGGGGCAGAATTACGGTGATCAAAACATTTCGTTCTTAAAAAGGACATTTTTACCTCCCTTCTGTGAGTGTTGTGCCTATTCATCCTATTCCTCCTTCTTTTTTTATAAAAAAAAAAAAATAGACTTGTTTTATTGTGCAATTTTTTGATATGACAAACAATGCTATATTTCCTTTTCCAGTTTCCAAGTAAGTACAATCATTCCTTTTTTAATGACTCTAGACAATCATACTCCATGTATTCCAATTACCCCGGGTTATTTTCCTCTTTTGACACTACCGGTTTTATTCTTTGATGTATGTGTTCGTTCAATAGTGCTTTTAGGATAGGCTTCTTTTTTTTTAATAAATTTAGCTTTAGCAGTCTGTTTGGTGGTTTTGATAGACTTGATTGAACCAGCATGAACACCTTGGTTAGGGTTAACCTTTCCAGGGGTATAAACACCGATACAGAACGAATAATTAACTGTAGACCAGCTAGCAGGAGAAGGATCCGATCCCTGATCAAAGAGATATTCGAAAGCGGGAACGCTGAGCTAATTAATTGCGTTAATACAGATTTATACGTTTCATTTTTTGTTATTTACGTCTAGTCCGTTTCCTCCAAGGTCAACAGCTAGTACATAGATAAACTTGGTTGTTTCCATGGAATTCACAATTTTGAGACACAAATTACAAGTGGACCCTGTGTTCATATTTTGAACAGCTGTTATTCTAGCCAGGTTCAGTTGGTTGTAAGGCATTCCACAGGCCGGAGGACTGTTTGCAAGAGCAGCAGCAGCTATTAAAGTATGAGTTAATAGTTTGTTTTTCTTCTTAAAATAAGGAACATACGAAGGCCATAATAGTCTTGGGGAGTAATAATATGTGAGCCCTGAAGACTGGAAGTCGTTACAGTAGCGATAACATAAATTATAACTACTACAAAGTAAAGAAGCATAATATTGTCTGTAAATATATGAGGGATTTTTGACGTCAAAAGATGCTCTTTATATTCGATTTATTGATAACTAAGGACCCACATTTTGTACCACAACAAAGCTCCTTAATTTGCACAAGATGATCGGTGTTGTGTGATATAATATGTATTTAATTACCAAAGTTAATCATACAGATCAGTGTCTTACAGAATATATGATTTTATTTTATACAGTAATCAGGGTGTGTAAAAATAATAGTTAGTTGGAAACGGTAATTGGGAGGGTGAGTGGGGGGAATAATATAAAAAAAAAAGGTTTAAAAACCACAACATGATGATTTCGGAGTTTGAGGTTCTTCATCCAATGGTAAATAGGTGATTGGTTTTCTTACGGGAATGTATTGTTTACGGTCAACCAAAATCCGGCCAATATGTACGAAAATCTCTTCGATTGTACCTAAAATGAAGCGTTTAATTTACATGCATGTCAAGGATATAAGGTTTGCACTCACCATTATCTTCTTTTGCGGAAACTTCATATAATAGTGTTTCTGGACCTAATGCGCGCGTGATGAATTGTTGGGCATCGTCATATGGCACCTCTCTTCTAACCTGCGCCAGATCCAATTTATTCGCAACAACGACAATAACTAAATCTTCGGTCATGTTTCTTTTAAGCTCTAGTTTTTCATCGTCAGTGATTAAATAATAACTCAAATCTACTTTGGTCGGATACTAACCTTCAATCCATGATGTCAGTTCTTCAAAACTCTCTTGCGATGTAATGTCATATACCAAGAGAGCTGCATGGGCGCCTCTATAATACATTGGAGCCATTGCCCGAAATCTTTCTATACTCGCAGACTTTTTCAATTACTAACCCAAATACGGATTCCCCTTGGCTTCAAAGATTGCACAAAAAAGATATATGCTACGCACACCCTCCCACTCACACAAAAAAAAACCTATTTTATTATATGATTACCTTGTCCTGCTGTATCCCAAATTTGCAGCCTGACTTTACAATCATCAACTGTTCTAGATAACAATTTGGAAACCAGTCAGATTGATTTTTCCCCTGTCATGTCAGTATGCAAACTTACAGTTTTTTGGTCATGAATGAAGCTCCAATAGTTGAGGTTGAATTAGGTGAAAAGGTCTTGTTAATGTAGCGTACAACAATTGAGGTTTTGCCAACACCTATAAAAAGTTAGAAAAAAAAAGGGTCTCATCCTAAATGTGTGCATTGGCTTGTTCTCAGTACCTTGACTACCCAAGATGACTACTTTTGCCTCTAATGTAGATGCCGAAGTACCATACATTGAATTTGTTTATTAAGTTGGGGTAAATTTATTATATATGTAAAAAGTGCGTGAAAAAGAGAGAGAGAGAGAGAGAGAGAGAAAAGAGAAACAAAAAAGTTTTTTAAAAGAAGAAAGGGATAAAAGGGAGAGAAAATTAAACTTTTTTCTTATTCCGCCTTGATGTAACTTTTTCTCATCGACATTGTTTGATCACTAGGCCTAAGTCCTGCTTTAAGCTCTCTTAATACTTGCTCAAACCCTTCTTCTGCTGGCCTCATAAAATTTGATTCCATGATTGGGGAAGAGAGTGACAATTCACTCGATGATGTAATGGCTGCTGTTTGTCGTTTCTTTATGAAATAAAGGGTCAGTTTATATTATGATCTTATAAACAAGAAAAAAAAAACTCACTTTAAGCTGCATTTCTTGTTGACGTTGTCTTTTCAATGCTCTTTCTCTTGCTTCATGGATCTCAATTTGTGCTTTCTATTAGGTTCCATAGTCAGTTTAGAACTTGTATCAGCCCAAATATCTTACCTCAAATGAGTTTGAAAACGTCGAAATAATGTCAAAAAACTCTTCGGATTTAATTGTATTCGGATCTTCACCATAATACACAATCAATTCTTTCAGTTTTTCTTCAATATCTTTGGTCATACACTTGAGATCATTTACAATAGGCTCAGCTTCAGATAAAAACTCTTCCATAGCCTCTGCAAATCGGTCAATCTGAAGTTCAGATGTCTTTCTTCTTCGGTTTGTATGTAATTCTTCCTTAATTTGTGTTAAACTGCCATTTAATGAATTGACACAAGCAAATAATGTGGGTGGAGACACTATTCAAAACATTGGTTTATATTAGTCATTTTGTATCAATTGGGCTTAGTTGTACTACTATACGTTTGGCTGCTGCTTGCAAGTGCGAAATGTCCTGTCGAAAATTCACAACATCGTCATCGGACTTTGATAAAAAGTAGACTAAATAATGCAGCAAAGTAGGAACGTTACTGATTCCTTCACCTTCCGCTCGCGTGTCTCTCATCTTTTTTTATTTTTTTATTTTTTTATTTCTTTAGTATCACCAATGTACATTTTTTTTTTAATATAATCTTACCTTTAAAAGTGCATCCAAGTGGAAACCACAAGCATTACCTCGAACTGTTTGGCCATTCAAATGATTACCAATAGCTAACACGGTCTATATGGATACATATTTAAGTACAGGACGTAATTCAGGCACCGTTATTTTCTTACCTTGAGCACTTGTTTAAATCTAGTGCTTTCTCTTAGCTCTGTCATAGCCATCTGAATAGTATCTAATTCGGGCAAAATTTCCTCCAATTCATGCTTGAAACGACGACGAAAGATCATACAACTAACTCGATCAGCCAGTCTTGGAATATACATGATCTATACAAAACGTGTAAGTTTATAATGTGCCAATTATACAATGCTTTTTTTTTACTAACCGAACGATAATATCTTTCTGCGTTTCCTAAAAGATCAATATCACCATTATACTCCTTGACAATTTCGATTTCCTCCTTGGTTGGGATATATTGTCGTATTGCCATCAAATTATCTGTAGTAAGACTGTGATCATCAATATTCCAAATGGCATCCCGAATATCAGGATAAGGCAGTCTAATTTTAGCCAACATAATTGCAATGTTGTTTGCTCGATTAAATTCCAATAATGTAACTAAATTTTGTTTTCGGACGGCCACAGCATCAGTTACATTTCGATTAGCACTATTGTTGCTTTTCTTTTTGAACAATTTTTCCAGCTCGACAGTATCTAGTTCGTGTAACGTAGGTGTACTAAGCATATCATCCTCATCATCGTCACTGGAGCTAGAGCTTTCACTGCTAAAGTCTAATGGTTTTTGAGTGGATAATTCATTCCAAACTGTATTTCCAATTTTATCCATGGGTAACTTGGACCAAAAGAATTGCTTCATTACAAGTGTTGGCGCTGGCTTTTTAAACAGCTCTTCGGTGTCTGCTATTCTAAAACTGCCTTCTGTAGGTGAAACAACATGGGTTGGTGCAGTTGCACTACTTTCATGTAACGATTTGAGGTTAGGAAAACAGAGATTGAGGGCCAGAGGATGCAAATAACGGGATGAGCGATGAGAGTCGCTACGCTTCACCAAGTTTTTTCTCTTTACAACTGGATAAAAATCTACTTGCTGAGCTGGCGGAGCTGGCGGTGGTGGTGGTGGCGGTGGTGGAGGAGGTGGCGGTGGTGGTGCTGAATCAGGTACCATCATGGGTCCTTTGACCTCAGGTGATATTACTGTTGTCACTTGATCTTTCTGCATTCTTGCAATTTGATCATCTTTTTCTTGGATATCTGCAAGGGCCTTGTTCATTTTCATTAACAATTCGTTCTTTTCCCTACGTATTTTTGCAGTTGCTTCTTGACTTTTTTGGAAGCTATCCTTTAATTCTTCGACCATGTTTCTTAGTCCTTCAACGTCCTCCAGGTTATTGGTAGGCGCTGGTGCACTATTGATTTCGGTAGACGTACGACTGGGTAGAAATTCGTCTCCGCCTTCATCAACAGGCACAAGCTTACCAACAATGGGTTGTATAGAAACCATAAATTGTTGAAGTGCCATTTGAAAGTCGCCTAATAAAATATTGTTTTAGTGAGGTTAAAAAAAATGGGCATTTTTTAGATCTCACTTACTATTTGTTCCGATGGGCTTCAAATGTTTAGCAAAGATATGAATGACACTCCAGATATCTTGCACGAATCGTTTGTTAGTGGATAGTTGGCTTGTTCCTACAGTAATTAATTCGCTTATACTATCTACCACCAGATAGTAAATTTCGGGGTCACTATAGAAAACCTTTAGTGCAGATGCAACCATGTCATCTGGTTGACTATAAAGAAGGGGCGAAATGTTAGAATGATATCATTGTATACGAATAAATATGCATTACAGTTGTAAGATACTCTGTCTCTTTGTGCTTTCCAAAGCTCGAATTTTGTCTTGATCAAACTTCTTTTGCTTCACATAAGTATCGATTTGTCTTCTTAAGGAGTCAGGCAATACATTTCTCTTAATATCCAATCTTTTCAAAAAATCCTCAAAACCTCGACGTTCCAATTCTATACGCAAAGAATCTCTTTTTTCGATAGATTCGGGCGTTTGCACAAGCGCATTCAAAAAGCTTAATGCTGATGCCACACAATCATATACCATCGATTCCTGTTGATCTTCAACCATAGATGAGAATTTACTGACGATGGTTTTTTGACTTTGATGGTAATAATGTACACCAAGATCGTGTAGACTTTGCACAAGTCTCTCAAATCGATACTGTTCACCTTTAACTTCAGACACTACGGAGAGCATGGTATCATAGCACCCTCCAGACAATAAGCAAAGCGAAGTAAAAATTTCAAAAATAAGAGAACACATTTTATAAGCCATGGTAGAGGCCGACGGACTTGAAGTGCTGATATTGCTGTCTTTTGCAGACGCGGTTGATCTTGATGGGGAAGGAACGTTGTTACAACTGTTTGTTGAAAAGGATGGCAAAAGTTGTGAACCGATAGATGTGATGGATGGTGATCGTCTAAAAACTGAAGAAGAAATAGAAGTAGAGGGAGCTGGGCTAGCTGCTGAAATATTTGCTAGGCAAGAGAAAAGAGCAACCATCAAATGATGTAACACTACTGGGCGCATCAATACTTGTTGAAGACCAGGCTAAAAAAAATAAGAAAAATGGTGAGTTTGATGGGTATTTCATGCAATAAGTAAAGTTCGTTTTCCTTTTTTTTTTTACGCATCAGATACATAAAAAAAAAAAGGGAGACGATCCCCTTTTTAAGCTAAAGAATTGCTACTTACTTTTGTATTCAGTAGAACACGTATACATTTTATACATTCAAACAAGCATTGCTCTTCATTATCACTCAATTTGTTCCCGTTTTTCTTCCTTTGTTTAAAATTAATACATGATATTTTAGCAGCAAACGTACACACATACTTTGATTTTTTTGTCACAAATTTTTCCAGTACGTTTTCCAGCGCCGTGAGACCACCGTGACGCCTGGACAGGAATTCGTTAATCCATGATACATTACCTGTGGCTAATGTAATTCTTAGCGAGGTCAAATGCTTGGTCAACCCATCAACAGTGGTATTTCTTTTTTAGGAGGAACAAAGGGAGTAAGAATGAGTTTTTTTTTTTAGGAGCTGGTTTTTTGTTATTACCTGCTTCGAAGTCTTTCAACGTAATAATATGGGCTATTACGATCTCGACCACGCTTGATGCTTTCTTCTGGCGTAGTTGTGGGAACCAACGAAGCTAAGCGAGATCCGTCTTTTCTAGATAAGCTACGATACGCAAGGCTGTTTGCAACCAAAGAGGAGGACGAGTTATCTGGCGCGGTTTTAGCTGCATTGTTTGTCTGAGGAAACAAGTGACTGACGGAGGGGTGATGATGAGTATTGAGTTGCTGGATCGAATTATTATAATGACGTGGTAAGGTGTTATTGTCTAATAATAACCAAGTAGCTGACTCATCTGCTGTCTTGTCTTCAAGCTTATGAGCAATGGCATCAAACTCAAGAATCATAGAACCGACTTTGGAACGGTTATTATTAATGGTTTCGGATAGATTTCTGCGGGCGAATTTGTAAGTCGCGGCTCGTTTATCTACTGAGGGTGCTTCCTTGTCTTCTTCGGGAAGGGCAGAAGCTGGCTCAGCTGGTATATTCAATGCAGATCTTTTCTTACTCATTTTTGGCATCACAAGTTCTGACTCCTCCTTTTGCGGGTTGCTATTTTGACTATCAGATGAATTAGGAGTAGAGTCTTCGACTGAATAAATACTGCTAACATCCTCTGAACTGCTATTAAAAGAGGAAGAAAGCGATTGATGGCTGGTGGAAGTGTCCAGTTGTTTGATGGCTTTGCCATTGCTATTGAATAAAAGTCGTGAAGACGTCTCGCTGCGTTTCATCGCAGCTTTTTGTCGAAGTGCTTTAGGAGGAAACAAAGAACTGCTGGAATTGGATGTTGGGATACTTTTTCGAAGAGAACCATCAGCGGAACGATTTTCTTTAATATGCTGGTTCTGTTGTAACAAATAGAGCTTACGCTCTCGAGGTAATTGTCGCAACTTTTCTCGATGGGCATCCTTCATATTCAATTCATCCTATTAAAAACAAATGTTGTTAGTGACATGTAAATAGTTTCTTGCTTTATAAAATTTACAAGAAGAGTTTCAAAAGTGTTTTGAAGTTCAATTGAGTCAAAATCTTCATTTGATGCGTTTGTGGAGGTTGAAGTACTTGATCCAGGTGTGGTTGGACTGTTTGGGCTTTGGCTGCCGTCTTCGGTTGAATGGCCTCCTAACCAAGTTGGTAACAGGTTTTTACCGAACCTAGAGGACGCACTCATGCGTAAATTGGGTCGTTCGTGAGTGCTCGTCGTTGTAGCGGATGAAAGATGGTGATTATTATCTGAGTGTTTAGCAGTATTTAAACGAATTGGGTGATGACCGTTTCCCTTTTTGTTTCTATTGGGACTAGGTGGGATCGGTATGGATTCTTTTTTAGGAAGTTCTGAAGTAGAAGGTAGCATGGTTGGATCTGGTGCTTTTGGGACGCCAGGGCCGCTTGTGGGAGATGAGAGTGATTTACGGATCTGGACTTTAGCTGCCTTGGAAGAAAATGTCGTGACGGGTGGGGTTTTAGAATTGTTTAGGCCATGATTGGGTTTCATAATTTAGAAAATTTGCATGCAATTGGTTTTTTATCGGCTGATATATTTTCGGCTTGATCACAGACTCGGAATGATTTTTTTATTTTTATGTGTACTGGAACGAGTGACGGATTAAATGAGATAAAAAGAGTGTATAGAAAAAATAAAAAAATAAAAAATAAATAAAAAATAGTTAGGAAGGAGAGGAAAGAATAAGGAAACAAAAAAGAAAAAAGAAAATATTTAACGTATAGGCAACAGTGATAATATAAGAATAGCAACGTTTTTTACTCGAAATATGGTAGTGGTAACTGTTATGACAAGAAAAAAAAATATAGGAGATGTCCTGTGAAGAGACAAAAAATAGCTATAAAGGAGAAAGAGGTACCCTCCCTAGTATATTTATACCAAGTGTAGACATTTTGATGATGGGCAGCTCCTTTTCCAAATAGGAGTACCTGGACCATCAACATGAAAGTCCATCATTGGACATTGGCCGTCAGTTCAACCGAAAAGTAAATAATCTTTTTTTTTCAACTTCCGCGTCAATAAGCTCTCAGGAAATGTAATGCAAGGTTTTAGGATTTCAATTTTATCGATCTACAATCAAAGAGGTTGGTAATCAAATAGTAATTTGTCTAAATGTAAACAGCCGTCATTTCTATTATATCAGCCACATTGTAACTAATACAGAATACAATGCGCTTAGACATTCTCGGGGAGGGGGGAGCCACAATGAGAAAAAGGAGGAGTAACCATGTATTATAATTACAAATTGGTAGTGCTTACATTTAAAATACATTTTTATTAATCGAGTAATATACAGGTTCTAAAAGGCCTATACTTGTTCAACTGGATATCCATGACCGATCCAGTCTAAAATACCGCCCTTCACATTGTACACATTTGTAAATCCGAGTTTGGACACAACGTATTCAGCAGCGAATCCGCTTCTTCTACCGGATCTACAAGAAATAACAAGCTTCAAATGAAAACGTTTTAGCCCAAAATTCACCAATTATTTTACTAAGTGTTTACCTGCTCGTCCTTGTCAATGGCAGAGAATTTTTGGTCGAATAATTCAGAGTTGGTGTTCGTTAAGAACCAGGGAATATTTCCATCGTATCCACTTATCACCCCCTGCTCTTCGAGTTCAGCATATTCACGAACGTCAATGAAGGTTGCATGAGCAGGTTTATCTTGCAGCCATGTTGCGAGCTCCTCAACTGTCATGTTGTGAATGCCGATTGTCATTTTTTCGTTAAAAAAAAGATAGTAAAGAGTAATACATATTATCGCTACCGAGAAAATGGGGTTAAACATGATGTTGCAATCCCGTGAAAAGATTGCGGGTAACCCGCTACATTGTGCCTGGAGAGATATAATCAAGTCGGTTACATAAATATCAGCCAATCAAAATTTTGGAATATTGCAACTTATAAATTAGGTCGCCCATTGCTTTTTTATAGGCAAAAATGTCTCAATAAAGTAACATTTGCATTGTTAAAGGTATAAGTATACCCGACTTTTTGCCATGTCATTCGATAATTATTTCTAGTTTATGATAACTCTCCTTTAGGCTATGGTTACGTTGCTTTTATTAATAGTGGTCGCCTTGTGCTTCATGTTTATTTAGAGATATTTCCTGTACAATTTAGAATAACCTCACATAAAAAAAATATCTATCTGATTGATTTAATGTCGTGATTGATAACATCTTCGACTAGAAGTTTTATCAGTGATGCTTGGGATCATGAATTTAATAGTGGCTTAGCATGCGGCCGAAATTAATTGTATTCGAAAATTGCAGTAACACATCATAGATTTCAGGAAAGAAAGTGGTGTCAATTACTCATCGTCATGAGAGACGTTGGTATCGACTTTCTTGTCTTGAGCGGCTTTGGGTGCCAAGTAGGTATGACTGGCATGCGATGAGCAGCGAGAAGAGCTTGTTGGTGCTGTTAATGCTGGCATTGATTGGCTAATCTCTTTTTTAAACAGATCACGTTTAAGGGTATCAATGGTTTTGAGCAAAAATGTCTTAAAGAAAAAAGAGTAAGTACCACGTTATTTGCATGCAAAAAAAGAAAAAAAAATTACCTTCATTTTAAGAAGACAGTTTAATGTATCTTTTACCATACCAAGATTACATAAATCTTTGGGGACAACAAGCCTAGAAAGCAGAGCCGCGACATAGGCACCTTCCTCGGTTAACTTCAATAATAGCCAACATTAAAAGTCAGTCATTGATTATCATTGTGTCCACCAAAACATTTATTTTACCAATACTTCACTGATGTCCGTGGAACATTGACTATTGATATGGTGGAGGATCGCTGCGTTTGTGCGCGTTTTTTGACTGTTGCTTAAACTTTAAATCCTCCTGAACCTTTGACCGTTTCCATTCGTTGGAAGACAATTCGATCTGTGTATTCCCATCTTATCTTAGCATGAGATCGATCTTCTTTCCATAAACGGGCGCTGTCTGATCCCAGCCAATTACAGCCTAACCACAGCCAATTACAGCCTGACCACAGCCATTTACAGTCTGATCCGAGCCATTTACAGTCTGGTCCGAGCCATTTACAGCCTGACCACAGCTATTTACAGTGTAGCTGTAATATTTAAACTCCGTGTGGTTTTGTGGTGGGCTCCAGAAAAAAAAAGATGTATTGGGATAAAGATCGCCTTGTTCAAATGAGCCACATTCTTTGTAGCTTCACAAGAGATTTCACCGTCCACCAAAGCCACATCTGTGCTATCAAAAATGAACTCCAAAATGGTGGCAAATCTTCTATAGAAAGTCATTTCGGATTCATCTGCTTTCTGGGACCAACGTTGCAAATTTAGAACGATGTGCTCTATAATGAGTAGCATGAAATATGGCTGACTTTGTTGCAGGTGTCTTGTTTTAGATATTTGATGTTTTCTCTCATCAATAAAGGCAATGACATCATAGATATCACCATTTACACGAACAATGGCGTCGAATAATGCACTTGACTCATGACACAAACCATCATAGCCATCCAAGTTCATTGTTGATACGACATCTTGAATATGGGACCACTGGTTTTGTGAGAAAAATAGGCGATAAGTATCTTGCATTACAATGTTCATCATATTAATCATCCTTGAAATTGGTAGCTCCAACAAGGTCTCTTCTACCGTTGATAGCGTAACTTTTGACAATTGCTTCATTAAAAGATGGGCGCCCACTTTCATCATTGTTGATATCATGCCTGTATTGGTCGCGCCTTTAATTTGTTCCGAGCATTGAATCACCACCATGAACCCCTATTTGCGCTTTTTTTATTGGTTAATTTGTGGTTTCTTTGATTCTCAATTTACGGGTTTACCAGGTCTAATTCGCGTTTTTTTTTAACAGAGATAGACTGAAGAATTAAAACTAAAATTAGTGAACCGTACAATGCTAACTCTTTTTACTATATTGAAGGCTCTTACAGATATTGTTATAATATTGGAACAAAGGAATTTATACAGAAAAAAAAGGTTAAAAAAAAAATTAAAAGTGTTTTCAATTGCAATCCGGGCTACCAGGTGCACTCATGGGCCCTTCTTCTGCGACAACGTTCATATGTTTTCCTTCGTTTAGCCTGATTATGCTTGGATTGACAATGCTTAACAAATTTAGTCTAGAATCCTGATTTCCATTTGCCGTCGCTGCATTCACCGTCATTTTGTGTTCTTTTTTTAGCTGCTTGATTACTTCCAAGGTTTCTTCACACCCAGTCTACAATTGAAAATAAGATTTTTGTATGTTTTTTAATTATTCTACTTTTTTGCACCGTTTACATACCGCTACAGTCAAATAAAATTGAATGAAAGGAATCATGGATATATCCTTTTCTTTAAAGTCAACCGGGACTACCGCCTTCTGCTCCTTATTCATCAGGAAGACCCCTTGTGTTTGCATAGACATACGGAAATGTCTAGACCTCCGTATTTTTTTCAAACGTATTTTTTTTATACCACTTACAGGAATTCCGGCCAGAAGACCAGCAGACCAGTATAATTGCACCTATTTACAGTGCAATCACAGCCATTCACGGTTCGTGAGTTCCAAAAACTCAAGAACTCTGCCCTCCTATAGCAAAGACTAGCCGCAGCCGCATTATCACAATTATATATCTTTTTCAATTTAGCTTCTTTTCAAAGAAACAAGAGTCACTACTAAACAAACCTTTTTACGTGATCGGTTACTTTCATACATTAAAAGAAGTATGTCAAGGGAAAAGAAAAGGAGAAGAATAAAGTGTGTGAACCAGCTTTATTTATAGATAAACAAGCTTATGTCAGGATAATTTCATTTGTCTATTTTATCATCCATAATGTTTGAGCCTTTACTTAAAATAGAAACACTTACAAAAACCTCCCAAGCAAGTCAGAGCTTGGTAATTGTCTATCTGCATTCCAGTAGTAGCTTGTAATGACAGCGAAGCAGATTTTATGGAAAACAGAAAACGATCATTCTATGAAGTTTAGATGATATGGCATGTCGACCAACGCGTAATTCTAAAAAATACGTTTATTTGAAAAAAATACGTTTATTTGAAAAAAATACGTTTAAAAAAAATACGGAGTTCTAGACATTTCCTAGACATACTCCAGTGTCGTATAGCATCGCCTTATAAAATTAATCAATTAAGTTGCAGAAAAAAAATAGTAATATTGTTGCCTACCATGGCCATGAAGGAGGTGAATTTTCAACTTTCTAAACGTGTCAATTGTGCCTTTGTTGTATGTTTGTGCAATGGTTCGCATCATGGAAAGCATACCAAACATTCCCTTGTAATGGTCAAAACTGACCTTGCTGCTGTCGCTACTGCCATATCCAGAAGAAACTTCTGTTAGCAAAATTTCCAGACTAGAAAAATCGTTCGCACAAACCAGGCCATCAGCCTTATACTTGTATCGACCATCGGTCATCCCCTTGTCCTTCAGCTGGATGGTCATCGCCTCCAAGTCAATTTCTCCTGGTAAAAAAGTAACATCGTATCCTTTGTCTCTCAGATAATGTGTACAGCTTTTAAGACTTGCGTCGAAAACATAAGATCGGTAGCACATTTCGGACTTTGCTAGAACCCCCTTGTGGATATTGTCGTAGATTTCTCGTTGGCTAAAATAAATTACTCAGTATTACATTTCTTTATCATTTCATTCCCTTATTTATACTAACAAATTTCCTAAGATGATGGTGAGTAGCTTCTTCTCAGCGACCAAACTTTGGCCTTCTACTGAGATGTTATCCAAATCGTCTATTCTGAGTGCCATACCATCTCGAGACGCCTAATAGTGAAATTAGTTGTGGCTTTATATAAAAAAATTAATAACGACGTACCGCCTCTACAACTGCCATGGTTCCAACGAAAAAAAACGGATTAATAAACTTAGCCTCGATAAAAGAAACCTCTCCTTTAAGCCTCGAATAAAGATCCCAGGGTAAGCAGCTTCTTCGACGTAGAAGTCTGCCGTACCAGATTACACGATGTTTTTCGGGACTACACAGAAATGTTAATTAATAGTTAAACGTGACAGTATTGATCTTGCAACTTTACCTTAACTGCATTAGATTTTGGGAGTTCACTGGGTCATCCAAAAACTCCTTCCACTTCATCCAAATGTCCTCTTCTTCTTTGTCTTCCTCTTCCTCCTCTTCCTCCTCTTCCCCCTCCTCATCATCGCATTCTTCATCAATGCTACTCTTGAGTTTTTTTTTTTGAGAACTAGATCCCTCTCCATTGGATACTAGTCCTCTTTTTTGGTTTGTTCTTTCTTCCTCGTCAGCAACTTGCTGAGCCATTAAGCTCCTTAATCGATCCTATAAACTGCTTAGATAACATGAACACGAGACAATCAGAATGTGGGTTACCTTTTGTGTATTATAATTTAGTGAGTTATTTGCTATCACTTCAGCGTGATTATGGAAAAAAGTCGAAAAGGCTTTTTTCGCTCTGATGTTCTACAAAAATACGATTAATACTTTGGGACAATGAAGACAAAACGCGAACTAACTGGCAGAATCAGCGGGGAAAGAAGACCCTGTTGAGCTTGACTCTAGTTTGACATTGTGAAAAGACATAGAGGGTGTAGCATAAGTGGGAGCTTCGGCGCCAGTGAAATACCACTACCTTTATCGTTTTTTTACTTAAATAATTAAGTGGGATTGAGCCGCAAGGCTCACCTTCTAGTATTAAGCATTCCTTCGGGGATGTGACCCACGTTATTGACATTGTCAAGTGGGGAGTTTGGCTGGGGCGGCACATCTGTTAAAAGATAACGCAGGTGTCCTAAGGGGGACTCAACGAGAACAGAAATCTCGTGTAGAATAAAAGGGTAAAAGTCCCCTTGATTTTGATTTTCAGTGTGAATACAAACCATGAAAGTGTGGCCTACTTTTGTGTAATTCAGCATAGCGTTGACTTTGGTCTCGGCAACGGTGCCAGCAACCACGTTTTCTTTTATGATCTTTGCATCAGCAAGCAAGGCAAGGGATGCTTTTCTTCGCGATGTTGTCGGATCTTTTTTTATTATCGTTTGGAGATAATTTAGGATAGTCCAATAGCATGGATTCTCTTTGATCCAGAAATCTAAGAAATAGAAGTTTTGGTAAGTCTTGGAAAGTTTAAGCAAATACAACTTCTTGGTCCAACCTTCCAGTATCAATTTTTTTCTGATTGCTTTGTTAAATGAAGACAAAAAATGCAAAGGAGTGTTCATAGTTTGGTGTCAGAGCTGCAGTATGGTAAAGAAGAAAAATCCAGGGGATTAAAAGTTGTCGTCCTTATTTACCAATTGGATTAAATGTCTGAGTTTAAAACCAATTGGACTCAACTTGCTAAAACCGCGATAATATAAAACTAAGAGAGTCTGGAAACTTGAAGAGAAGGAAAGTAGTAGGGGCTACAAAAAGAAAGGCACTTGAAGATAAATTGTCTGTTCCTAAGGGTACTACAGGTGAACACTATCTTCAGTTTATTAATGATATCATGGATATCATGGATGAGTTTCCGAAATGAAAGGTTACTTTATTATTATGAACAATGCTCCAATTCATGTTCCTGAAATGATTGACCCCATTATCATGCAGCGAGGTTACACCCCAGTGTATCTTCCACCTTACTCGCCAGAATCAAATCCAATTGAACAATCCTGGTCCATTATAAAGGCTAAAGTAAGACGCACCAAGCTCAATGATGTAGAAAGCCTCACTACTAGAATAACCGAGGCCAGTGAATCTGTACCAATTGTTCATCTTGAAAACATTATTCAGCATTCAGTAAATTGGTTTGAAAAGTGTCAAAACAAGATGCCCATATAAACTTTTTCTTTTTTTTTTGTAGAAGGTATATAAACTTAAAAAAAAAAGTCCAAATAAAAATTTATTAAAAACCAACCAATGATTTCAAAAAGTGTCCAAATGAGAGTGGAAGCACTGTAACATCATGATTAAACAATTCAGTATCAAATGCTTCATCGTCATCATCGCCGTTTGTTGTTGGATGGGCAGAAGAGTCAGATTCATATTTAGGCTGATTCATGCTGGAGGACGCTGCTGGTGATGATGATGTTGAGGCAGACGGAATTCGATTTACCAATTCGCTTGATACGGCTTTGTTGAAGGTGCATTCGGTCAAAGCTGCGATAGACTGCAATGATTTCATTCCTAAAATTTCGTATGTGCGCCGTGTTTCAATCTGATTAATTTTGAAGTACTCAGCATTAACGAGGCCAAGTTATATTATCATAAGACTTTTTTTTTTTCTTTCTTATGATTGAGTCAACCATTTTTTTTTTGATGTCCCTCCAAAAGTTGTCAGAGGACCCTTTGAAGCTGAAATAAGCAAAGTCAGTGACAGCAACAAAAGTAGCTTTAAGTATACATTACGTGTCAGGGTTGGGAAGCTTGTCGTTTTCTTTGAAGCTTAATGCGAACCGCGTTTTCCAGAGTGAAAATAGTTCATGTGATTCTCGGCTCTCTTCTAAGGACCATTGGACCAGATTCGACACATTCTTGGCCACAAATTCGTTAAACCTTGAGAACTTTGAAGACTAAAGTGGAGAAAGGTTTCCTGGAGAACATTATTTGGTCCAGGGTTGGTTTATTTGTACTTTTCTAATTCTATAAGAAAACACTCTGTAAAACTTTCTACTTTTAAAAAATGAAATTGTACCTTCTTGTCCTTCAAACTTCTTATAAGCTCGTTTTTTTCCTTTGTCGAAATTCATTGCATTCAATAAATAGGGCGATGCGATGATAGTGGGGAAAAAAGGGTGGTGAGAAAAAAAGTTGTTTTATTAATGATACATCTAGTCGGTAAGATAAATATTAGCCAATTAAAATTTCGGAATATTACAACTTATCAATTGGATCGTCCATTGCTTTTTTACAGGCAAAAATGTCTGAATGAAGTAACATTTGCATTGTTAAAGGTATAAGTATACCCAAATTTTTGCCATGTCATTCGATATTTATTTCTAGTTTATGATAACTCTCCTTTAGGCTATGTTTACGTTGCTTTTATTAATAGTGTTCGTCTTGTGCTTCATGTTTAGTTAAAGATATTTCCTGTATAATTTAGCATAAGCTTATATGAAAAAATTGTCTATCCGATTGATTTAATGTCGTGGTTGATAACATCTTCGACTAGAAGTTTTACCAGTGATGCTTGGGATCATGAATTCAATAGTGGCTTAGCATGCGGCCGAAATTAATTGTATTCGAAAACTGCAGTAACACATCATGGATTCCGCTTTGTACACACATTTTAGCTGTAAAGGGACTGATGGAACCATTTTTCTATTCCGGTAATAAGGTACGATCGATTATATAGGCCACTAGGTAAAAATGTCAATAGATATGCGATAACACCGAAAAAGTACTTGGCCAGTTAACTATTTGACATATACATATGCATTTATACATGATTTTTATCCAAATATGTGTAGGTCATAAGCTTGGATTTTCAACTCCTCCAACAAAACAACAATAAGATTTGAATACTCTGAGATTAACATGATCACATGCCCTGACAGATTGTTCAAAGGACAAGGGACCTTTATTCATATATTACCTGGCAAGGTACTGTACTTGATTGGATAATGTCACCAAATAGTTCTCCCAACCAATCAGATTAAACTACCCAAGTTTTTGGTTTCGGCCACTGTTTATAAAGCATGTAACATGAAATAAATATGTGTGCCATCATCAGGAGCACATTATGTAAAGTTTTAGCTTGCATGTGATGATGGTAAAGAAAAAATTTTGTGTGGTGCTCACTAGAACCATTTGTGAAACCAGACAAAATATATCAAGTATTTTGTTTTACTCTACTCCCAAATGACACCTGTCAGTACGACAAATATTCGCACTAGTAGCCCATTTTACGCTGCTGCAATAATAATAAAAAAAAAAAGGGAAGCTAGATTTGATTAAGGATAAACTTTTTCAGTGTATGGTCGATGGAGATTCAAACAAACAAAAAACCTGTTTAAATATGTATAGCCGCTCGTTTTTTTATTCTGATAATGGGCAATAGGACAGTCTTAAACAGCTTCCTTTTATTTGTACATAAAATGAACTTTATTCTATAAATCCAGCATATATGCGCATTACTAATTAGCTAAAGGTGCATGGGGTTGTGTGGGTATATATACAAAAATTGAGTTTTGATTCAACTCTTTTTTAAGTCTTGGAATATATAATGGCTAGTACTATAATGGCAGTAATCAATAACGTACTAAAACCTAATGAAAAGAAACGATTTAACAGTCTCCAGCGGATGGCCATTTTCACATTTTCATCCATAGAATACATGACTTCTTTCTTTGCACGTGTTGGATAAAACGAGCCTACCCACCAGCATGGAGGAAATATAAAGCCAAATAGGAATAAATAGGCTCCAGGAGAAAAAAATTCGAATGTTGTGGTGATGAGAGAAGTCTTTTCACTAATGATGGACTCGTATTCATGGCTAGGCTCGAGTTTGATAGAAGACGTCGATTCTAAATCTTTGGTTAAATATCCCCAAGGTGTTGAGACTTTGTCTTGTTTTGTATATCCGGGAGGCCGTAAATAATTAGATGGTTCCTTCGCTTGAGAGCCTGGATAGCCATTGAAGGATGCGTCAGACTCTTTGTTATGTAGAACCGTAGTATATGACGGCGAATGTGCAATAATTCTAGGTGCTGTTTGGTGAGGCAATAATGACAATGTGCTATTACATGTTTGAGACAATAAACTCTCGGTTAGACGATATTGAAAGTCATTATCTGGGGATGTAGTCATATTTGTAGAAAGAAAATAAAGAAGGTGGAAAAAGGGGAGACCATTTTTTTTTGAAAATGTTGTGTTTCAACTTTATTTTTTTTACAGGTCACACACACAATTGTCTAGATACGAGTCAATTGGCTGGAGTTGGATTTGACAGAGGTAAAAAAAGAAAAAAGGTAATTGGTAGCATGTGTTCGGGGAATAACTGGGCAATGCGTAACTGATACAATCTTTTTTTTTTTTTTTTTGTGAATCATTACATGTTATTTCTTTGCTTTCCCTGCTACATCACCAAACTTAATATTTCCTTCTTGTCCTTTGATATGCAATTCTACGTATAACGAGGGATTAACAATTTATCTCGGAGATTTAAGTATATTACTTACTCAGAGTGCTTCCTTCATCTTCTCTTACTGCCTTTACACCATTTTGTCTTAATAAAGAAGACACTTGATCAGCCAGCTCGAGTTTCTAATAAAAAAGTATATCTTTAGTCTGGTTATATCTGTATCTGATATATGTATCTTTTACCTCTTCTAAAACATCTACGTTCGATTCGTTTTTGTATTGCATAAATCTCGAGTATGTTTCTTTTCTGGCAGCTGTATCCAATATATAAGTGAGTGCTAACTTTTTTTTTAGCTATTTAGTTTACCTTGAATAGCCTTCGAATCACCTTTATAAAATAAAATACAAGATTAGTTTTGGAATGGAGAATGAAGTTACAAAAAATATCACCTGTGAACACCTCTCGTTGAGTCTTTAATAGGTTACGATAAGCAGAAATAGCTGCTTGTTTTGACGGCGAGATTGACATTTTATATATTTATATATATGTATAAAGGGGGGAAAAGAGGGATAATATGTATGGCACCATGCTCATGTATTGCAGGCGGAAAAAATAGTGACTGGTTTAAGCCAATCATTTTTGTTTGTCAAGCAGAACGGCATTATACAAAGTTCCCCTTGTAACTCAGGAGATTATATGAAAAAGGAGCCTTCATATGTTAAAAAGAATGTATTATTGAATTTCTCTTTTGGTTAAAGCAAAGCACTGATTGTTATTTAATATAATTCTAGTATTTTTTTTTTCTGCTCGATACACAAGGGTTAAATTATAATAAATAAGCTTTTAGTAATAAAGGGATGGGCTATTATTTCTGTAACCTACGTTATAATTTGGCAGATTACATATTTTAATATTTTATCCAATTGTTTTACTATTTTTTTTATTTTTTTTTATTTTTTTTTATTTTATTTTTTTGAATTATCATTAAATAAAGAAGGGATAATGTACTTAATTCTGCTAATAAGGTTAAAAATAACATTTATTTCTTTTTTTTGTTTTGTTTCTCTTTTTTATTATTATATACTTTATACATTTCTTAAATTATGATGACAAGGGCTCGAAAAGAGTCAGCATTCCACTTATCGTTGTTAGTTTTAGTCCAATGGATTAGCTTAGCTGTTGTCATTCTAAATGCAACAGCGTTGTTTCTTTTAAGAGATTCACAACACACTGGCCTAGTAAATGTTCACTCAAGTCCAGCTGACTACATGTTACTTATCTTGGGCTCACTATCTTTTGTCGGCTCTTCTATTCTATTACTACTTCATTTACATTTTCATTTCCGGATTATGGATGATGGCTCTTTCACCCCACCGAGAGCACTATCGGCAGCTGAGGTTATTATGTCAGTGATTTCCATAGCACTTTGGACTGTGGCCACATCCCTCATATTAACCCATTCACAAGGTAAATTTTAAATTCTATCCCAGTACTTGGAAATTTACACATTTTTTTAGAAGAGTCCTCACCGTGTCGGTTCACGAATTCTCTTTATACTAGAAACCATAGTGATATCTGTGAACTGTTTGATACGACGCTTATGCTTGGTAAGAATAAAAAACTTGTCTTTGTACAAAAATTTAAGGGGCGTATTAAAAGTCAATTTATATAATTTTAGCATTTGCAGCAGTTGGCAGTTGGGTTTTAGTCTTGTTAGCCACACTATTTATTTTAATTCGTTCTCCTATTCCACCTACTACTATCTTTACTATTGAAGCGCCTCCACAACGCTTCTCACAGCCAATGTCTGTTTCACTTCCGGACGAAATTTATTCTCAGGCTCAGGAGCCGTCTACTAGACCATATTATTTAGGTCATCACGGCAATAGGGTGAGACCATTGAATCAGAACGATGCACCACCCATCCTAGTGACAGTTGACAAAGAACGATCTAATACCACCGGAAGTAGTAGTTCATCTACGGCTACAAGACAGACAATCATGATGCTGGCAGATCAGCAAGAGAATCCTTCGCGCTATTATTACTATCAACCTCAACGAAATCTTGTATTATCGTCACCCTCTGTCAATAATACATCCGCAGAAGAATCATCTTCTTCCTATTATTCTTCCAGGTGCCAAATACCTCACGTAGAAAGCCAAAGAACAATATCCACCATGGATTCTATTTTTACGGGGTATCCACCAATTCAGTTTGATCTACCTATTATTCAACTGGGAGGTATTTCCCAAATGGATATCTCTTTTCTCAAAAAAAGAGACAGTTAAACCAGAGATTTTTCTACAGTATCATCTCATATCTCCATTGGCTTATACTAGCCAAACATTCTCATACATAATTATATAATATAGCATAATAAATAATAACTTCGATTTTATTTATATGTCACTTTCTAATAATTGAAGATCATTTCAACAGAGACGGGGGGATAAATCCCAAAAATCGCGAATCTTCTTTCCCTCCCCCTCCCCCTCTTCCCTATAGCCGATATTATATCAGATTTACCGAGCTAATCAATTTTTTGAGGGACCATATTGTTCATAGATAGTTAGCTACTGCTATTTTCTAGTTGGCAACACTTATCAGTTGCAACAGGAAGATTATCAACGAACGAGTGCCGTAATATAATATTGAGGCGACACTGTTAAACTAGAGTTTTTCTTATAAAAAAAAAAAAGGTGACTATTGTAAAATAGTGTTTTTCTCATTATATTATGAGCTTAATAACATATATCTGTGTGTGTGGATACCTGCAAGACTCTCATTTTGCTTCGCTGGACCACCAACAATGCATTTTAAGAATACTGACTATTGATCATTACATCGTTATCAAAACTCTACATCAGATTTATCTATTGGAAACTATGCATCATCTAATCAAATGTCTCTAAATTTGGAAATTTGCCCTTGTGGGGTGAGTCTGACTGTGAGTACTTGACTATTATGCAAGACATAAATATAGGGGTGTGGCAAATATTTGCACTTATTTATTTGCCTTTCCTTTCTTTTTCTTTCTTCTCAAAAAACAAAAAGCCTCATCCCTTTTTTTTGCATCTCCATTGCAATGTCCTCAAGTAAATTACCTGTTGAAATTTTAGAAAAAATATTTCGAAATGTCAAAAGTCAAGACGAAGACCAACTCATTCATTGCACATTGGTCTGCAAATCTTGGCACGAACCAGCTCTTAGACTCTATTATGAAACTCTTATATTATCAGGCGATCCACGCAAACTACTTTTTCGACTTTCAAACCAACCTCAGGGAAAAAATCTTGGTGATTGGGTCAAGCAGCTCTCAGCTGTCTGTGACCTTGAACATCTCAGCCAACACGGATACTTTCAATTGTTGTCGTATTTACCGCATTTGAACGTGATTAATGTAGAGCAGAGTTTTAGCAAAAGTTTCCATCTGACTTGGTTGTTGAATCGAAACGATGATTCATGCGTCAAGAACTTGCATACAATCGTTGCAGGGGCTAATGGCATGACCCAATATGAATATAGAATTTATTTCGCTTGTGCCTATAGCTTTCGTCTATCACTAAGATACCTAGAACTAGTCTATGTAGGTGGTACCATAAATAATATGGGCGGGCTATCGGGAACACATGTATCGTTTTTAAAAGACTTTAAATATCTTACCAAACTTTCCGTAAGCAATCTCTCTTTTAAAAGAGGTGATCGAACTCTCAAAATGCTTTCTATCCTTCAATACTGCCCCAGACTTACCAGTCTTTCGTTTGTGAGCGATTATTTTGACCCTCAAGAACAAGTACCAAGTCTAAATCCTGGGTTTCGCTTAGCACTGAAAGATGTGAGTCTTTGCATTCCGAATTTAAGCAGGTCTCAAATCAATTATATTGCATCAAATTTTCCTGCCTTGGATAAATTTGATGTGGTCTTAACTAACACTGAAACAGATGAATGGTTAGAAACCAATGGAGAAGCATGTATCCAGCTATTAGGAGAATACTTGGGTAGTGTCAGGGAGGTCTGTTTTAATATCTCGCGTTTTATGCCTAATCGATACCCACCCTTATCTATACTTACCTCACAAACTCTTTCTAATTATTGGCCATTTATCTTTGCAATGATTGGACACCACAGACAACTCAGCTGTCACATATCCGTTCGGCTGGACGAAAGGTCGAGTTATAAATGCAGTAATGCTAACAATCTCTTAATTAAAAGAAATGACAGGAGTATGTACCTTACGTATATTTTGGACACAACAGACCTTATTTCGCAGCATTATTTTGAAATCCCTAATTCAATACAATCACTTATACCTTTACCGTCAGAGAACAGTTCATTGGGTAACCAACATATTATATCGGTGGAAGTGGCTGTGGGTACACCTGACGGTTTATCCTTTGTCATGCCTATCTCAAAGTGTTTTCGATTACTTCGATCCATTATAAAAGAATACTCACGCTTGAATTTGATCATGTTCTCCACATACACTCCCCACCACGAAATGTACAACTTAAAATTTGGATCCAGTATAAGAGATTGCCTATTAAGCACAAAACAGGGGCATGAATTTTTCAAGATGGATCCTCAAAGATATAAAGCCGTAACAACTCCTACTGTAGAGAATCTAACACATGTGCTCTTAAAAAGTACGACGTTAGAACAGTTTGATTTTCATGTCATGGCAAATCTACTTGAATATATCCACTATTTAAAAATTGTAGATTGTCATATCTCAACTGATGAAAATGGTAACACGACTGTGGATTTGAGCTATATGAAAAGCCTAAAGCAACTAGTTTTTGACGTTGGATTTTTGAAACATGACCGATGCAGTCAAATAAATATTCAAGTGGAATACCTGAAAGAAAATTTTGTAAAGTCATTCAAATGGAGAAGGGCGTTTATTCGTGGGAAAGAATCGGAATTTTCAGAATCTACATCAGCACGTTATCATATCCACAAATGGTTACATGCTACTAAAAACTCAAACACAAGTCTTCTTTTTATAAAGTGTTATAACATTGACCAAATCGATATTTGTTTACACAAAGATCATGTCGCTGCTACCTTTCTTCACCCGAAACTATCCATGTAAACCAATTGTAATAAACGATAGATTAATTGAAACTTTATTTGTTTAATCGACTGTTAAGACAATTTTCCCTACAGTATGGTTTGTAGAAAGTAATTCTTGTGCTTTAATAGCCTCCTTTAGCGGCATAATACTATCACTGTCAACAATGGGAGCTCGGATCTTTCCGTTTTCGAACAATGGAGCGATTTTCGATTCAAAAATGGCATACGAACAAAAGAAAGTGTTAACTACAGAATACCGATGTGTCGCAAAAACATTTCTGTACGTATTTGTACAAAAAAGCGAAAATTCTGCAAACGAGGACCCAAAGTATGGCAAGTCAATGTTTTCCGTTGCCCCTACAATGAAGGAATAGACGCTGTCTTTTTTTTTCAAGAGCGAACTAAGTTTTTGGTAGTGGTAATCTTCTCCTACAATGCAATTAAAAATGATGTCGAAAGTCCCCTTGACGCTGTGATCCACAAATGCATCATAGGCTTTTTTATCTTTGTAATCAATCACCTTGTCTGCTCCCAATGACTTTACAAACCCCGCATTTTTACCACTGCAGATTCCAATAACGAGGTTTTCAGGGTTTATAGCCTTGGCGATTTGAATACTATAGCTTCCCACACCACCCGATGCACCTACAATGATAATTTTTCGTCTTGCTCGCATTGTAGCAGGCACAATCAACCCATTGTCTACAATTCCCCTATAAGCAGTTGTTACCGCCATTCCGGCTGAAGCTGCTTGTTCAAAGGAAAGATGTTTTGGCTTGATTGCAATAGCAGCCTCGCTGGTGTCAACCACAGTATACTGGGCGTACGTACCATACACACAAAAAGGAAACGGTTGTGTTCCAAACACTTGATCACCGATATTGAATTTTACGTCTTTACCTTTGTCGACAATGACACCCGAAAAATCTGCGCCTATAATGTGCGGAAGAGGAGAAAAACACGATGTGAAAATTTTGATATTTTCGCTTGGTTCTTTTGTTTCGTTCGGGTTCACGCCAGCTGCTTTGATACGGATCAAAGCCTCAGTGGATCTTGTCATTTCGGGAACAGGAAGGTCTTTGTTGTAATAAATTGAGGATGGTTGAGGGGGACCATAATTTAATAGTTGGATTCCACTCATTGTTGAAGGTATTGTTGCCTGTGACATTGTTTTTTGCTATACAATAATTAAGGGGAAGAAAAAAGGAAGTGGGAAATTTACAATTTACGAGACCTCTATCATCAGTTGCATCATTAAAAAACACATGATAGAATACCTGTAAATATAGCTCCTACTTCCTATTTACTGGTGATGATACAACTATGATCCTTTGTTTATCCGGAACTCTTGTTTATATTACGAGTTTTTTTATGAGTATCAAATAGTTTAGTTTATCAGCCTATCAACACATGGTCAATAAGTGGTATTAATTGGATCTAAAATGCCGCCTCGTTTGTCTTAATTATCCAGTTACATAAGCAAATATATAAATTTATAGAGTGTGTTTGCATTTGTTTGATAAAGCTCTCATGAAAAGGATACATTTTATTTGTTAATACTGATTTCGCTAAAACTCCCTTGCAAATCGCCTACCATGCCATCAATCACAGAATGAATGTATCCATCTGTCGGAGGCATGTTATGAATAAATTCATCTAACACACATGAAATTTCTTTCTTGGACATCGTTTCTGGGCTGTTTTCATTACTTTTAATACTTTCTGTGTCACTACTCGTAACTTCTTCTTCGGTTTCAAAATCGTTCGTAAAGACATAGATTGGACGGAATTTTGGTTGTGTCTTCAAGTAAGACTTCTGACTTAATTAAGAATTATTAGCGCTATTCATTAAATATGTAGAAAACAAGAAAAAATCCACTTACTATGGCTGACTAGCTAACCAAATATTTCGAACGTACGCTTGGTAATTAACGAGATAAAAACCGTTTATTCCAGATGCTGGGAAATTGCTATAAGGGTTGCTTGACATTGCTGTAGTTATTGGCTAATAAAAAGAGATGTAGAAAGGAAATATAAAAAAGAACGATCGCATATGCTTTATATACCCAAACAGCCAAATATGGTTCATCGCCAGACAATTGATGACACCAAAGTTGTCTTTGTCTTGTTTTTTAACTCTTTGTGATTCGGTTGGGAAACTTGACATGCCATTCAAGACAAATATTTGTACAATGTTTCAACTTGTTTTTTCTGATTTCGAATTGTAAACACTTTTTATTTAATCTTTTAAATGTAAGTAAAGCCTGCCAGTTATAAATCTTGCTTCAAATAAATAAAATAAAGAGTAGACGAGATTCTATTGTTTCTTTCTTTTCTTCATTGTATCTTTTTAAAATATATATTAAAAGGGAAGATATTTAAGCTTATATAATCTATTATTAATGCAAGCAAAGTGAATGTGCAATACAATTAAGTTGAGATGAGCCTTACTAAACATGATCTTGTACCTTCATAAGCATATCTACACTTGGGTTTACCTTTAAATTATACATGATATTGCACATATAATAAATTAATAGCAATTGGTGCTGTTACATTATTCAACAGAGCATACGATATCATGAAGGAATGGTATTCAATGTTTGTCTTACACAACGTGCTGATGTGAGCATTTCATAGTCAGCCGTCCGGCTAACATAGAAATTGGGCGATTTTATTGGCTCTGCTACATGCGTAGTGTCTGGCAATGTTGTAAAAGTACGAGTACGTGTTATATTTTATTTCTTTACTTTCTTTTCTATACATAAAATGGATCTTGTTGCACGCAAAAAATTAAACTTGGAAGTATTAAAAAGGCACGACACCAATATCTGCGATATTTTAGATCAATCGGCGCATGCTGTGGTTTACAAATTCGATACAGAGAAGACCAGTTGGGTAAAGTTTACGAACCATCTCTTCATCAGGTTGATTTTAATAATGCTTCAATAGGAAAAACTTGGATATGAAGGTGTTATTTTTCTTACACAAGGGTACATTTATTATTGCTTCACAAGAAATTAGTCGTCATGTATACTCATCTTCAAATAATACAGAAAAAGCGCTCCCTATTTTGGCTTATACGTCTTGAACAGATTATCCATAGAGAATTTTTCTTTACACCTGACAGATTTCGAAGAGATAAACCTGACAGATGAATTTATTATTTACCAGACAAGCGAAGGTAGGTTAAAAGTAGGGACACCAAAATCTGATAATAATGTTTACCTCACAGGCGAGGCATGTGCATTATGGCTATTCGAAAAGAAGGATCGTGAGCGAATTTTAGCGAAGATTTTAAAGTAAAACATATGGATTTTAAAGGGGAAGAAGGTATGCTAACTAGCATACTTAGATTACACGAAGGAATGAAAGCTTTACCATCAGCACAAATTACTAAGCCTGCAGAATCAAAGGTTGATATTTTACAAATGTTAAAAAAGGCTTCAGACACAAGTCCATTGGAAACCGTCGGAACAGATTTATTGAAAGCATTGGGCGGATCCCAAACCCAACCTCAACAACAAAGACAAGCTCAGCAGCAGCATCAAATAAAGAAGCATCAAAAACAGCAACAGCAGCAGCAACAGCAGCAGCAACAGCAACAGCAACAGCAACATCAACAGCAACATCAACAACAACAGCAACAGCAACAGCAGCAGCAGCAGCCTCAAAAACAACCTCAAGAGCAAGGTCAGGGTCAAGCTCAGGCCCAAGCCCAAACTCAACAGCAAACTCAAGTGCAAGCGCAAGCTCAGCAACCACAACCACAACAATATCAACAGCAACAGCAACAGCAACAGCAACAGCAGCAGCAACAGCAGCAGCAGCAACAGCAGCAGCAACAACAACAACAACAACAACAACATCAGCAACAGCAACATCAGCAACAACATATACAACATCAACAACAGAATTATCAACAACAGTTTCCTATTCATCAGCAACATAATGCTCTCACGCCATCTATGCAACACTCTAATATGATAGCGCCTTTTACGATACCTACATCTGATTCTGCGGAAAGACCAGGAAATAGACTACAGGAAATTTTTGATAGTACAAACAATGTCCATAACAACAACAATAAGATGCCAGATAATTTGTCTAGAAGAGCGATGGCAAGCGGAGAGTTAACAAAGCCGTTTTATCCACCTTTTATGAATATGTCGCCTGCTGCATCTCCTAGAAATCCCGGTACTTTATTACAAGCGTTGCATGGTGGGATTCTCCCTCCACCTCCAACACAACAAAATGTGCCTATGGGGATGCCGTTAATGCCACAGCAGGTTATGGGTTTAATGAGACCTGAAGTAGCCAGAAGGTTTGGCGGTAGACCCCCATTATCTAAACCAGAATTTATTCAACAATTGTTAAACATGATTCAGGTATGTTTTCTATCCACCTATTATATAACTGTACTAAATTTCTTTTATTTTAGTGTGATCCTACCTTTTTTGATATTCTTTACGAGACGTATCAAGGTCAAATGGGACATTCTCAAATCTAAATAAATTTAATTGGCTTGTTTTACCGTGACGGTCTATATATTTCTCTACCATTTTTTTCTCGTTATGTTATTTAGGGCAGACAGAGAAAGCCTTAAGAAATCTACCTTTTTTTCTTATTAATTAAACATGGACGGTAGCTCATATGGACTCGGAGGTCCTAATATTACTATTAGAGAGCTTACTAAGGACCGCATTAACTTTGTTCTTAGTGATACTGACTTAAGGTATATACTTTATACAATTGTTCTAAAAGTTTTTTTGTTTATCTATTACGTGTATTTGTAGTGTTGCAAACTCTCTTCGCCGAGTTATGATTGCGGAAGTCCCAACTGTTGGTAAAAGCAGGAGAGTCGAATAAATAACAACCATCGTACTAAACCTCATTTTGCATCATTAGCAATCGACATGGTTGAGATTGAAACCAACACGACTGTTCTTGCTGATGAATTCTTGGCCCATCGTCTGGGCATGGTTGCCATCGATAGTAGGGATGTTGACAAATTACGTTACACCAGAGTAGGAAATTCTCTCGTTGTCATGTCAATGCGTTTGAGTTTAATCCTATTTTCTTTTGTAGGATTGTACTTGCTCCCAGTATTGTCCTGAATGTTCAGTTGAGTTGACACTTCACGTCAAATGCACTGATGATAGAACCAAAGATGTCACAACCAGAGATTTATCTTCGTCGAATCCTTCTTATTTGCCTGTTCTACAAGGTTAGTACAGACACCGTGTACTTATACTTATGCTTTCTTATTGACATGTCCCGTTCAGACAAGGACGATTCCGGTGTTCTTTTGGTCAAATTACGTAAAGGCCACGAGTTGAAGTTAAAATGTATTGCTAAAAAGGTAAATTAAAGAGGAAAAAAAAAGTGTGGTGCATGCTGATTAATAGTTGTACACAGGGCGTTGCTAAAGAACATGCTAAATGGAGTCCTGTCAGTGGCGTTTCCTTTGAATACGATCCTTACAACAAATTAAGACATACTACATACTGGTTTGAGGAAAGTGAGGATGAGTGGTAAGATATATATTTGCTTACCGTGTATTTTTGTGTGTGGAACAACTGACTATGGGTTACCTCATTCTTTAGGCCATTGAGTAAAAATGCTCAATTCGAAACACCTCCTGATAAAGATGCTCGTAAGTTAAAGTTTTTTTTTAACGAATTGCATACTTTAACACGACTTTATTGTAGCTTTTGATTATAATGCAAAGCCCGATAAATTTTATTTTGAGGCCGAGGTAAAGATGAGAGAAATGCAGCTAAATCATAGAATTAAAAAAAAAAAATCTGTCAAAAAAAAAATTGTAGACTGTTGGATCATTAGCACCAGAAGAGGTCGTTACTATGGCCATGAAAACATTAGTCGACAAACTTGCATATGTCCAGATGCAAATTCAAGAGGAAGTAGACACAAAGGAACAGGATGCCAGCTCTTGGAGTAACTACTAACCATATAATATATTATAAGAGAGAAGGAGAAAAAAAAAAAAGAAAAAAAAGAAATCAAATACTGTAATTAAAAAAGATACATAAATTATTAATTTTTTTATTATTACAATGTGTATTGTTTTTATTTCTTGGGCTGGTTTGCTTTGTAAAACTATGGAAGGGAACTACAATTAGGGATTTGCCAATAAAAATAGAGAAAATTACACTTACAGCAACACTTAATTTGATACCTTCATCAAGACCAACTTGAGGTTCATAACCCAAGATTGTCTTTGCTTTGGTGATATTAAAGTAACGAGATGACATGGCTTGCTTAATTCTAGAACGAGATAATCCTTCTTTGAGTTGACTTCTATCCCAGAATAGTTCCTTGATACTAAAGATAGTCTCACTGATGAGAGCGATGACCAAACTGGCATTATAGGAAAGGACAATCTTCTTATTATTGGGCATATAATAGCCGTTTTCAGCCCAGACTTTGGAAGCAAAATCCCAGAAGGGAACTGGTGTACCGTTAGTCAAATTGAATGCCTGACCTGCTGCACCAGAGTTAGGGATAGCAAGTTTCTCGGCAGCCAGAACATGAGCGTAGGCTACGTTGCCAACATAGGTGAAATCCATTAATGATTGATTGTTGCCAATTTGGAAACGATGTTGACCGCGTTCACATACTTCAAGCATACCAGGAATTAATTGTCTATCACCGGGACCAAAAATGGCTGAAGGACGGATTGTACATGTTAATAAACCCTTATCACCATTGGCCTTTAATACCTCTTGTTCACAAACCATCTAATAATAACTGTTAATAAGAATTCAATGTATACCAAATCTTGGTCAACATGCCTTGGATTCGGTGTATACATCGATAGGAACAGCAGGATAGGGAGTACTTTCATCAATGTTGACCATAGGTTCACCGTTTGAAATGACACTTCCAGAAGAGGTTACAACTAAAACCTTAATACCCCGTTCTTGACAAGCTTTGATGACATTGAGTGTACCGTCGACATTAATAGAAAAATAAAGATCACGGGGGGGATTGCTTGTATTGACATGAGGAGGTGAAGCAGTATGAATAACAGCAGTAATACCCTCGAGAGCATTGTAAACATCATCAAACTTTCGAAGATCGCCTGTATAATACTTTACATCGGCTTTGGGTTCTCTAGGTTCAGCCATGTCAAAAACCGCAATGGAGGACCCATCTTTGCGAAGACGAATTTGCTCTTGGACGTGTTGACCCAAAAAGCCGTTACCACCAATAACAAGGTAAGAGGCCATAGTTTAAATTTATTTGTATAACCAGGAGAAAAGGGAACAAAAAGCGCCTGCAAAATTATACTTTTTGGTATAGCCTGTTGAAACTGCGCTACATTGTGATCTGCCTCCGCCCCCGCTTTTTGTGAAGGTCAGGGCTGTTTTATGCAAATAGTCTCGAGAAAAATCAGACACTTTTTATAAGTTCTGTACAGATTGTAGTGATACTTGTTATTCTAATATTTCTTTGGCTAGCGTAGACATGCATAATTCCATTGGAAAAGCTCTCAGTGGTAATACCGCTCTAAGTATCACCTTAACGCGAGCCTTTGACCATGTACGAATTGCGAAGGATGCAGTGGCTATAATGCTTCAGCTCCCTTTGATATGAATGGTATTGATCTAAGAAATAGATACTTGTACAATTACTTATACTCACGAAAATCAATATCCACATTAATATCGTAAAGCCTCCTACTGGTGTCTTCCAGGACTTACTAGATCTATTGTTTAAAAATGTATCATTTTCTGCGCTTTTGAATTGATGACTGAGCCACTAAAAAGTTAAAACTGAGTGTTCAAATGCATCATTTAATTTTCCAATAAAAGTTGTCTTGGAGTCGTTTGTACCACCCCTATTTCACTATCAAATGAGCGTAATAAATGGGAAAAAGTGAATAAAGAGCTACCATTCTATCATGAACAATGAACCTATCCACAAAATCATAAAGACATGTACCGAAAAGAGTAAATATGGCTGCATTATACCCTTTTACGTATATACTTGAATTAACTCCAACCGAGCAGCCTTGGTCAGTTTATAAATAAGTATCAGAGGTGCCTGCAATAGGTAACCCTTTGCAAGTATTCTACCAAGTTTATTTTATTCGTAGACTATGCATTTCGTCGCTGATCTAAATGTATTTCCGGGAGTGCACAATGTATACCGCGTCACAACGGTCTAATTTTTTTCAAAACCACTGGAACCAATATTTATTTAATCTTCTTGCAATAAGAATTCATCTTTTCAATTTTTTAAAAATGGCCACGATCGACCCTAATCAAACCCTGTACATTACCAATATTAACGGTCGTATTACTGTTGAAGGTAAGAAGATGTATTCGCGCCTGAAATCATAAAATGGAAATTTGAATGTTTGAATCTAGAACTTAAATCATCCTTGTATGGTTTGTTCTCGACCTATGGACCTATTTTGGATATCACAGCTAAAAAGACTCAAAAGATGCGCGAACAAGCTTTTATTGTGTACAATAACGTTGCTTCTGCAACAACCGCAAAAAGAAGCTTAAATGGCTTCACATTTTTTGATAGACCTATTGTAAGTTCTTTCAGCCCGCCAAAGAAATCATTCTAATACCATTAACTGTAGAAAATCGAATATGCAAAGACTAAATCAGATACTATTGCCAAGTTAGACGGTACCTTTAGACTGAGGACACATGATGCCAATGAGACTGTTTTGGGAAAGAGAAGTTCAGAGGAAGAGGGAAGCTCTGCTAAAGTGGCAAGAACCGAGGAAAGTGATGATGATAGCGATGATCACGCATAGCTATAATATACACACAATCAGCAAAATAAAATAAAGACAGAGGCAGTGTCCATATAATAAACGACATTTTCCCTATATTATTTATTTTTCAGGGGAGTATCGAAACAACTATTTTGACAGAAAACCCATCATCTGACCTTCACAAAAAAATTGCAAAAATAACCCTGTACCCATACCAGATTTTGTAAAGGCGTGCGGCTAATAGAGATATGCAAGATGTGTATGATCATTGAAAGGAACGGGTCACATATATGCATCAAAATCACTCTATATTGACTACCGATTAACAATGTCTGCTCAGATCAGATTGAAGGGCTAGCATAGCTGCTTTAAATGTAAAATTTATTTGGCTCAAATCTGTCGTATTGAGCTGGTGATAAATGATGGATTTGATTAATCAAGAAAATGCCATATATTCGAAGAGCTGACTTGATATCTACAAAGTGAAAATCCTGCATCGATACGCACGTAGCAATAGCCAAAAAATGTGGTTGAAAACCAGTTAGACAAGGAAACGAATCCAAATTTGACATCAGGCATCAGGTTCAAAACATTTTAAACTATCCAGATGTAGATACAAACGCAAAGATTATCTCGATCAAGTGCTTCAATTAACATAAGAAATTTCTACCGTATGTCGCTTGGGATAAGGTAGGCAACATATCACTTTGGCCCGCGTTTATCAAAGCCAAACTTACAATGGGAGTAAAAAAGCACTTCAAATATAAAAAAATAATTTTTGTGTAAAGTGGCCCATAATATCGTTGACAAACGCCTTAATTATTTCGCGCGTTTCTTCATCTGTATCCTTGTTGCAAAGCTCCTTCTGCAAAAAAATAAATAAATGCTCCTATTTTTTTTCACTTTTGTGTTCTCTAGGCCCAATCTTTTCCCCAAGAATGATGAATGACAGCCTGGGGACTCTGTCTGCTTCTCGAAAAGGCTTATTATGCGGCTCTGTCTGGGACCAATAGCTCTTAGCAAAAAATATTGGAGTGGGATCTCCATTTGTCTATCATCCAGCAGCATCGACAAGTTATGTAGCGCCAATTAAAGAAAGAAGATCATAGTACCACTTGAATATACCAATAACTTTCTCCGAAAATTTAGCATTGATAAGGTAGTTAATCAAATTTGACAATATAATAATGTTCGTATCTTTATCAGTAATATTACCATTAACTTTAGGATTGACGCCAAAGCCTGTTGACTGTACTATTTTGTACGCGTTAATAAACGTTTCTTTTGAATCTGACATGATAGTTTTCAAAGACTTCGAGGCCCTGGTAATATGTCCTCTATCGTTCAAAATTTTGCGTAACTGATTCAAGAAAACGGGTAGCTTTTTGGCCTGTCCTTGTCATAGTCATTAATCCAGCTGCTTGTGTTAATCTTTTTGAGTCTTGCATTTTGAATCTGGCGATTTAAAGTTGCTTGGATCATACTTCACGAAATAATATTTTAATACGAATTTCAAGAAGAGGAAGAACTCTCTTAGTGATGACTACCGAATTTCATTACATCAATCTGCACCATTATCATCAAAATGACCTACTTATTCGGCTTTTGTCTTAAAGCCAATATTCACGTCGCCTCAACTTGTATGTGTGGTATTTCTCCGGTATTTCTTTTTTTGTGTATTACGGGTAGGCAGTGGATGGGTTTAGATCATTCTATCTCTTTTTTTGCGGGTCATATTGTGGTTCTATTAAGAATAAAAGCGTGGTCTTTTGAAGAACTATAACGGCATTTGGAGTCAAATACAGACCATCCAAAGTTGCCATATTTACGGCTGACAATATCAGTATCGTCGACAGTCATGAAGAAACAAAAACATGTCAATATTTTCTAATTTGTCAAGTAATGAAACAAACGTACAGTAATAAAGAACTGAAAGTACTATCGTCTAGTTGTACTTTTGGTATTTAACAAAACTATCAATTTAAAAATTGTAACTGCCAGACATCTTATACTCTAAGTACTATCGTTAACTATCTATAAGACTATGACTTGAACAGGAGAGATAAAATAGGTCACATCTTGTGTTCATATAATATAAAAATTGGTCTGCTTTATTACAACCAGTACAGGTAAGATATGAATAGTGGAGCGTACTTAAAATTTAAATACTTGATCCGTGAGTTTGCTTACTGCTCTGGGAGCTTCATAGCCTAAATCCGTTGTGATCTATTGTTTTTTGTTTAATTTAGTAGTTAAGCTTACCATACGGTATATTTACTTACAGTTGTCATTGCCTTCACCAAGGGAGGAGGGCCACAAACGAGAATTTTCACATCATTTCCAAGCTTGGGTAATCGCTCTTCCAAAATTTGTTTGTTGATATACCCAACGCCTTGCGTCCATAATCCATCAGGGGGATGATTTAAAACATGATATACTTCGAACTGATCCGGACGTTTAGATGCCAGTTGCTCTAATTCGTTTTCTAGTAAAATGTCCCCTTTGCTAACATTACCGAAAATCAATTTAACCTTGGTTTTATCATTGGGGTTACGTAAAATTGCTCGTATAATCTTCAAAAAATATTAGAGTTTGTTTTCAGATTGGATAAAACAAATCTAGTACCTGCAACATTGGAGTGATACCTGTACCACCTGGATAAAAGAAAAGAGTTAGTTGGTTTCAAAACTAAAGGCATCTATTAATCACCTGCAATCATCCCGATTTCTCGAACCATATTGGGTGTGTATATAAATGAGCCTTTAGGTCCACGTACACCAATATAATTTCCAACTTCCATATGAGCCAAGTGTTGTGTTAAGACACCATCAGGATAAGTCTATAATAATGTGTTTAGATTTTCATTGTTCTGCCCGGCTGCTCACAATTACCTTGATAATCAACTCAAAAAATCCAGCATCTTCATCGCTGGTAATAGGTGTATAGCTTCTTGAAACTTCTTTTCCATTTATATTAGCTATTAACGTTACATGTTGACCAATGGGTAATCCCAATACGTCGTCTTTATGGGGAAGTGCGAAGCGATAGCTAGTTAATAGAGTCGTGGGTAAGATGGATGGGAGGGGTAACAAGAATTGTGTGTCTTACATGTTCGTGTTATGACTAATAGCTGTTTTGGCTACCAATTTAAAGGGTTTCGCAGCATGCTGATCGAGAACACGGGTGGGAGCTAACTTGACAAGTAAATATACAGTTGTTCTTTCTTTGAGATTACCTACCTGCATTCGAGTAATAATACCAAGTTCCAAACCCGACAATAGCTGTAACAGCAGCAATACTGGTAAAGATGACAGGATCGCGTAGAATCTGGCCCATCCTTCGAATAGAAACAGGAGCGCGTGAAATGGTGAGGCTCGGTTGTGACATTTCAAAAAAATGTTTCGAAAAAAAGAAGATTATATAGACCAAAAGGGAAATGAATATGCCGATACTTGATTGAGTGTCAAAATGTGTGCCTGAACAATCCGGCCCGAATATCAATATAAGGTTGATGACTTTAAAAATAAGCCGAACTGCTACCACCCTAAAAAGAAGATATTGTAAAGTCTAATACATACTAGCTTGTTTTTTATTTGCACCTTAACGACAATAACTATTGCACCATTACATTAATGGCTATACCACATTTTTAAAATTAGTGAAAAATACAGATTCCTGGAATTTTGAAGATACCGAGTTTTTTCGACGCCTCAAATAAACATCTTTTTGTGAAATGCTGATTAATCATTACTCGTGAGGCTTTTTCTTTTAGTCAAAGTGTTTTATTTATCACAAAAGTTTACGAATTTAAACAGAGTCAGACACAAGTAGATAGAAAATGGAGGAGGTCAATTATACAGCAAAACGTTTTTATTATTAAAGCTATTGATTGCTAATATTTGTCATTGTTTCAAAAAATATTATGCAAAAGGAAAAACAGGCGATTTACATAACCTCGTCATTAAAAGTATCCGAAGTCACCATTGTAATAGCTGAGTTTCTTTCGATACGGTAGCTGGTCAACATTTTGCCATCCATAAGTTTTCTTCCGTTGTAATACAGTCTTTGTTCATCTTCGGGAATACCATGCACACACTCAATCTTAATTTTCAAATCCTTGATAGTATAGCGATTTGGCTGATTAATTTTTAGAAGTAAATGTTTCGTTTGAGTCCAATTGGTCAACTTCAATGTTCTGTGATAAACCCCTCCTACGAGACGGAAAATAACATGAATAAAGGAATTACCACGAATATTATAGTCAGAAAGCTTGACACCTTCTTTAAGCTCTTTTCCACCATAAATATAACGCTGGCAGTCCATACGAATTCCTTCTGACATATAAACTTGGTACTTAATATCATCAACGGTACTTGAATCAGGGTTGATTTCAATGGGGATCTTAGTATTGTTGTATGTCGTGATAGCGTAAATGGTAGCACCACCACGAAGTCGTAAAACCAAATGTATAGCAGAGTCACTCTTGATGTTATAATCACGAAGAGTGTAACTATCATCGAGTTGTTTACCTCCAAAGATGAGTCGTTGCTGGTCTGAGGGGATACCCTCTTTAGCATGGATCTTTGCCTTGATTGCACGAATAGAGTCGGATGACTCAACTTCTAAGGCGTAGCATTTTCCTGTTAAAGTCTTGACAAAAATTTGCATACCACCAGGAAGGTTATACGTCAAGTGAAAGAAGCTGTCAGGTTTGACATTATGATCACCAAGACGGCTTTTATCATTAAGGGTTTCCCCTCCGAATCGTAATGATTGATACGACTTTGGTACACCTTTTTTAACCTTAATCATATCCTTTACCTGTTTGACAGTGGTTTCGGATGAAACTTCTAAAACAGTGGAAGGTCCGTCGAAATCTTTTACAAAAATTTGCATATTGCTATAAGTGTATGGAAACAGGAAGAGAGAGTGATTGAAAGGAACGGAACCTTTTAAATAGTAATGTATAAACTAGGGTATCTTATTGAATTAAGATGATAAACTAGGGCACTGTATGAAATCCCACGAAATGACATTGATTTATTCGGTTATTTGCAAGTACTAGCCAAACATTATTTGAACAGGCACATTCCATTTATCATACATTACTACTATGGATAAACGGGATCCGATGATGTATGAATGATGCGTGGTTTCATAGATAATGCAAACATCGATACTTTCTTGAAGAATCCTTTACATCCTCTAATGACATTACGTCTTTAGCTTAGATCCTCGTGTTTATAGCTTTTTCCCGTAAATGGATTGTGGAAGAGCAAAAAAACATCGCTTGCTATGTAGTTTTTTCGATGTGAATTAACCAAGCAGATCAACTACGAGTATTTGGATTAGCTAATTGAACCCACCAATATATATCAACCATTGTAGAAAAGAGCTTTAGATGTTGATATTTAATATAAAATAAAAGCCAAAGCGCGTAAAATTAATACTGATGGAAGTTACAAATGAAACGAAAATGCTTGAATGAAGGGATGTATCAAGTCTTACACAATAAAAAGTTTTTACTATATGGCACTGAAAAATAAACTTTGCTTTCTCTCTCCTTTTTTTTTATTTTTTAATTATGCTCAAGTCAAAACAATGTTTGTTTCTTGGCCAGCCGTAACAGACCTGTCCTTTTCGAAGGCATCACCAGTTCGAAGTACATATTGAAATGTAGACTCATCACCAGTTTCTTTCAATAAGCCAACGACAGAAACAATATCCTCAGCGTCAAAAACCACGAATTTTTTGTCGGTTCCGTTGAAAGGTTGGACACGAGGAACGGATTTAGAGTATGGCGACACACCATGAGTTCTCATCAACTCACCATACACGTAATGGGACCCCTGTCTTTCCTCGAACATTTGGAATCTGAGGAAGAAAAGGACCTTGCAGACATACCAGTTGGATACCGAAGAGAAACGACTGCATTTAAAAGAAATTCAGCATACACACAATAGAAACATAACAGCAACCACTTACCTATTTTTATGAACAGCAGTAAACATCACATGCTCACCACCACGAGAGCTCGACTTGTTTTTTTCTTTTGACATGGAAGAAATGTACACCTGGTTGTCAAAAAACAGTTTGGCCAAAATTATCACTTGACGAAGAAAAAAATTAGGGATATTGACCTGCTTTGAACCAACCATTCGACTTAAACAATCCATTAAAGCTTTCAACCAAGGAAGAGTACGAATGTCACCTTTGATACAACTAGTCTTATCCAAAGCCAGCTTTCGGACCAAATTGAGTACAACCAATGAACCCGCATCGGACACATGGAAAGGAGACCATAGTTGAGGAGAATTAGGATCATTGTTGGGACGGGACATGTAGTTATTGGGATTGTTGGCAACATCAGTCAAGGCAGAAAAGTCAAATATGTTGGACAATTGAAAAAACTTGAAGATTTCCCGCGTTTCCATGATATTACCAGCATTTACACCTGGATGCATCGTTGATCTGATTCGTTTCTTGTAAGCTCCAATAGACCTTTCGAGGGATCTGGCTGAGTAGCATCTAAGGGGCCTGAAGAAAGGAAGTCAGTAAATATTATGCCGCTAAAAATTATTGATAAAGGCAGCTTACCCCATTCGCTTCATCATGTAAGGAATGTGATGCAGTTGATGCATATTGTACTTGAGTATCGTGCGAGAAATGGTCTGAGATACAAGGCAGCTGTCCAAATACTTGAACCAGTCATCGAAAGATCTTATTGATATTGGAGGTTAGTAAGGGTTAGGCTCGGTGAATATATGAATAATTGACTAATTACTTTTCAATCTCTTTCAGGTCATCTTTGTTAATGGACCACTGCAAACTCAGTTTTACACCGCGAGAAAGGGCAATCAACGCAGAGGCAGTACTTCTACCAGCAGTATTCCTACTACCAAAGATAGATGCAATCAGAGTGGGAACCACGTAAACCAGCCAGGCAATCCAATCGACAGATCGATACATCGACCGAGCATTGTCAGAGACAATACACTGGAAGGAGCCATTGAAGTCAGAGGGAATGTTACAACGAGAGTCATCCATGGACCGTTTGATTTTTATGAGTTCGACAAAAGAAAGGCGAAATTGGTAATCAACTTCATTACCAACAAACTTGTAACGTTCGTTGTAACGAAAAGAAAGAAGACCAGAACAAAATCTACTGGCGTTAGAAAACACGAGAAGCCCCTCGTACTTGGAGAAATCAATTGTTATGAACAGCTCTAAAATTGAACCTGACCCGGGAGCGTTAAGGTTCAATTTTTATTTGTTAATTTAAACTCATGTTGGCTTTCAATTGAATAGCCGAATCATTAAGAGTTGAAACACGTTTCAGTCCTTCGTTGTTTTTCTTAAATTATGAAAGAATCCGTTTATCACAAGAATCTTAGCGGTCCTTCTTTCTTATCTCCAGCCCGGTTATTACAATTATGATCTTCTGCTTTTTCTATTATAATTACCCCCACTTTCTTATTGAGGCTCGACCTATTTCTTTTATGTTCTATTTTATGTTAAATAGATTGCGTAAATATCTTGTAGCATTTCGTAAATGTTGGGAAGTTTATGATATTTTATTCAAAGTTTTAAGCCTAAACTTGGTTCAGAAAGGATTTTAAAAAAAGGTAAGTGATCAAACGACTACTTTCAAAGTGTCAACCATGTAATCAATCTATCCTAGCGCGAGTCAGCTCTTATTACACCCTAAAATAAATCAGCGATCAAAAATTGAAAAATATCGCAAACAAATTAGAGCGGAAATAACGATCTTTTTTTAAAAAATATCGCGATTGGCGATATCGATAAAATTTTCTAAAATATCGTTATTGGCAATATCGATCAAACTTTCCAAAATATCGCGATTGACGATATCGATCCATAAATCAAAAAAACAAAAAAATATCGTTGGATGGGGTAAAAAAAAATGGGGTAATCGATAATCGATATAATATTACTTTTACACCCCTGCTGAATCAGGATACAGGCTTAAAATTGATACGTTTGTATATATTGGAAAAAAAAAAATTTATTTATAAAAAAAAACTAAATAACGTCGAATCTGACCATGATGAACCTCTTCAAATATGGAAAATGACCAGTAAAATATGACCAGAGACAGACATAATCAGAGGAACTACGATAGTGACCACACGAAGACCTCAGAAGAACAGCAGTATCACTTACCTGCAAAAATATGGTTTACGTTAATAAGAGAATAAATTATCATGTTTAGCAATGTGTACCTTTACAAAACCGTGGGATGTACGAGCCTCAAATAAACAGTAATATCAATCAGCTTTAAAAAGTTGGGTTAACTTAATAATAAACAAGTATACCAAAGTCAAGTTATTTACCTTTCCACAAGTAATCAATGTATTGATTCCTTTAGCTATAAAAATGCGCTAATAGATATAAGAAAGTAGTTAGAGTTCCTTACCGAGCAAAGAGCATTGGTCTGATCCTAAATTAGAAAGTTGTAACACGTTTATTATTAGTCACATAACTAAATCTAAATTAATTTAAAAATGGTTATGATGAATCAAATACCATTAACTATTCGCATATACATACATTAACCTGGAAGAAAAAGAAAAGAGGAAAAAGAATAAGAATAAAAAGGTATAAAAAACAAAGTTTGTTTAAATAAGAAAAAAAAAAAATTCAGACTCAATTCCTTTTTTTTTGGCAACGCCGTTGATTATTTTCTACAGCAACTGATTCATCAGTCTTGTAAATGATAGATTCAAGGCACTCTCCTATTTTTTTTTTTTTTTTTTTTTTTTTTTTTTGCAAATCTAAATTCATGTGTGCTCACTTAAAGTAATTTGGATGTCTCGGCCTGTTGAAAACTGGTACGTGTGTAAACGCTTGTTCTTTTTTGACTTTACATATTAAGAAAGTACTCCAGGCTCGAACTTCGTTTTTGGTGAAGTTATAAAGAATCATGACGTTTCCCCTTATTCAAAGGCCATCCCGCGCATGATGAGGCAGAGCAAAAAAAAATTGTCGTCTTTGATGCAAAGGACCTTGTGTCTACTATTGGGTTGGTGAATGGGGTCGACAGGTCTAACAACAAATATTCAATAAAAACTGGTAAGGCTTTCAAAGTCGATAAGAGTAGTATTACCAGCAGTGTTGGAAAATCATTAAAACCCACAGTCACATGTCCCCTTTTCTCATTTTACTTACGTAATCTGAAGTTGTCTTTTTCTTACCCTGGCTATCATCCCCATAAACATTTTTTTTCTTTAAAAAATTACGTTTATCTATTAACATGGTATTGCTACATCTATTTATTTATGTATAGGTTGTTTTTATAGAGATTTGAAAATTTGGCTTTGCGATCAGCGATCAAAAAATCAAAAATATCGGAGATATCGATATTTTCGATTTTTTGAGCGATATCGCCAATATCGATCAAAAAAACATTTTGATTGCTGATTTATTTTAGGGTGTTAATTATCACACAAATGAATGCGTGTGGTTAACATAACTAATCAAGCAGACAGTCGATACTGTATTAATTCTATTAATTAATATTTCGCTTGTATTGTATCAAATTCAGTCTGTCAAGAAAGACCTCAATTATCAGTGGATTTGGTTTAGATATGAAAAAGAAAATTTAATGTTAAAATGAAAAGTTATATGGCAATGAGAAGAAATGGATTATTTAGCAGAGGTAATGGTATGGAGCAGACTAATCAAATAGTATTAAATTTGTAAATCGGAGAGAGTGCGTTCAATAAAGATTTCAGTGCCGTTAGAAGGTACGCCATCATAAAGAACATAAAGCATACCCGCACCTGGAGGATAAATGGCAGCATGGGGAGGAGCAGTAATTTTGAGGCTCTGTAAATCGTTAGATACTTCATGATTTAAAAATACATAACGTTGAGACATATGCATAGAGTGAGTACTGAAACCGGTACGCAATAAACCAACGCGGATCTTGCTTGCTGGGTCAGTGTCTTTAGCAGCTAAATTTTCCAGATTTAAAAGAATGTCGAATGACTCATCATAGGTGACAATACGAGGAACATGAGAGATCAGTGGGCGGGTAGCGGTTTTAAAAAGGTATGGAGGAGAGAAGTATTCAACTCGGAATTCTGTTGGATATTCAGCATTGATATCTGGGGGATCAACATTATTGGAGCCAGCAATCCATACGCGACCATCGGGTAATGTTAGTGCGACTGAATGATACATACGTGCAATGTCAGTGTTGGCTAAGTTTTGAGTCCAACGCTTGTTAATGGGAGCTGTGGGTGTATAAATAAGAGGATCTACAGTAGCATCATGATTACGGCCATTGTATCCCGCCCAGCCACGTTGACAGCCATTGACCCAGAGCACATTTCCATCAGCCATAATAACACCATCAGGCATCAAACGCTTGTGAATAAAGCTTTCCATCTTCCATTGAGGGTTAGCGTCTCCTAAGTTGATACGACCACAAGTATCATCAGCAGTAGCGTCTCGCTTCATACGTTCAGATCCACCACAAATTAATATTTCCACATTGTAGTTGTTTTTAGGGTCAAGAGGAAGCATAATAGCACCACCTGTCAAAGGATAGGAACGAGGATTACCAGGTATTTTGGGAAGTTCCTTTACAATCTTTTGCTTTTTGTAATCATAGATAATCGATTTCTTGTTTGCAAAAATAAACAAATTACCATCGGGCAAGACAAATACAAAAGGATATAAATTGTATGGCATAGTCTCAATTAAAAATTTGAATGGAACTTCGCCTTCAGGTCTTGGAGGCCAAAATTCATACGAAGGAACATTGACCTCAGCACGATTGACAGCTGTACCTTTTGTTGAACCGCCGATAATAAACAAATCACCTTCAGGTAATTGTTCCACAGTTGGATACCAACGATTAGCGGTCATTTTCCCGGTTTTGTACTCATCCCATAAACAGGAATTATCTGTGCATGGAGTAAAATGACGAATAGACTGCCAACCTGGCTCAGCCTTCCAATCACGTCCACGCTTTTCGCCACCACCAGTGCTGATAAAGCTGCCGTTACTCAAAAAACCACCCGCAGAGCAAAAAGTATTGGTTTCTAATGGCAAGGGACGGTATGTATTTGTATCCAAATCATATTGAACTGAAAAGGCGCTTTGACCGGAGTCAAATTGAGCTTCGTTCCACTCGGCTAATTTAAAGGGGAGTTGAGAAATTGCCTCTGTTTTTGCATATTTTATTTTTCTTACCTTTGTCAATAATTAAAATAGTCTTTTCGCTACGCAAGAAAAAAATTAGTTTTTTTTTTTCAGGGGAATTGTTTTTTTAATTATTACTTTAGAAGAACTGCGTGCATAGCTGCTACACCTGTTCTACCGATGGCTTCCATTTTGCCTGATTTCGCGAATGGTGAATAACATTTTGACTGTCAGACCAATGAAAAGGTGATTCGTTATTCTGAGCTGTTACTGAACCAAGGAAGTAACTCACGGCCCCTACAATAGATACAAAGCAAGCTGTTTTCATTTTAAAATAAATAAAAAAAGAAAAAGATTTGAAGAAAGGAAAAAATATTTTTAGAACGGTCTTTTATATTTTTGGGCTGAAGCAAAGAAGTAAAAGCTTAAATAATGAGGTGACTTTTTATAAATGCTAAAAATACTTGATTTCGGATAAATTATTTGTGTCACGCCTACACAACCAAAAAAAAAAAAAAAAAAAAAAATCATCAATGGAGACGCAAACTTGATTCGCAGGTTGGCTAGCTCGATTCTGTAAGAGAAAAACATCGTGGAATTCAAATGTTGATAGAATTTCTTTTGTGAAGTATGCTGTAATCATTTGTATAAAATATCATACCTGTGTAATGCTAGCTTAGACTTACCTTAAGAAGGTATAACCTATTTGAATAATTATCATCCTATATCTTATAAGACAATAATAATGACTAGCCAAAACACCAGCCATGTTTGTATCTATCTATTTATGGAAGATCTATTGTCTATTGATAAAGAATAAAACGATGGTAAATTATAATGCTATGGTATATTTTATTAAATACTAATGTTATATATACAGGTACAATATCTAATCAAAAAAAAAAAAAAAAAAATATGAGAGGGTATACACAAAGTTTTTATGCCGTATGATAAAATCTGTAAGAGAATTCCATTAGATATATGGTATTTACAAGATATATTACAATAACTTACTTTTTGTTGATCAAATAATGAGAAGATTAACGTTAACAGTAGCCATGCCATCCAGCACTTTCATTGTCTGGACACATTCGTACTGCGTCTGCAAAAGTTCTTCATATTGTACATCAACACGTAATTCTTGCGTATTCATAAGAGGAAATACCCTTCAAAGGTAATGATGCCGGCACGATCCATCGATAAAATTAAAGTAATGCGAGCATACAACTTCTTAGAAACACCAGATAGATCTAGAATGATACCACGATCATATAAAGTTTTTGCAGAATACTTGAAGGATCCAAATTTGGGAACAAGTCCATGACTTTTCAAGTACTTCATATGGAAATACTGTTTGGTAAATGGAAAGACGAATTTCTGTTTCTTTCCTCTACGTTCAGCCATGTTATTCATACACCCATCCAAATACTTCTTATAGCTGTTAGCTTGACCAATCAAAAACTGTCGTTTTTCATCTAAATGCAGCAATATGTTTTGCAATTTCTTGATTTCAGCATTACGTAACTTTCTTCGTTCTCCTTTCTTTGTGATATCAACAGCAATCATATTGATGATGCTTTGGTATCCGGGACTAGGTGGAATAACACTGTGTTGCAACAAATAAGCGTGTAACTTACTTGCAAATGATTTTAATTTTGCAAAGCTTAGACTATAAAAAGAATTAGTAAAAGAGAAAATAAAATAATGTAACGGTTTTACCTTTTCACATCCATAGCAGCATTTTGATAACCGAATTTAAAGTTTCTTTCACGAATAGCCATTTCAATTTCCTTTTCAGTACCTTCAGAGGGGAATTGTTGCTCACAGCACGATTCTCCCAAATAGATTCATGTTCATCTGTAACAGGATCTTCAAAGATAGCTTCTAGTGATGGTCCGGATTGTACTTGAATAACCAGAATAACAAGTCGTTTGGTATCTAATATAATTTTTGATGTCGCCACCTGCTTCATTTGGGATACCATCTCTACGATCACTCAGTTCAAGTCGAAGAACATGTAAAGGAACGCTCATGTTGACATCGACAGGAGCCTCCCCCAAGTCGCCTAAAATATTATGAAGAATACCAGTTTTTTGGCGTTCCAATGAATCTATATTTTCTTCCAAAAGCTGATGAATATGATAAAGTTCAGTAGGATGCACGTATATGGTTGGCTTTTGTGTGTTTGTATAATCCGATAGTTGATCCAAGCCAAAATGCTGCTCAGGTTCTTCCACATCAGTAACTAGATAGAATGATTAACAAATGTAAGGTACGAGCTCCAAAGTTTACTTACGATCCATAAACCATTGGGGTAAATCTTTGATTGGATGACCTTATGTAACTGTTTAAAGCACTCAGTTCAACATTGCGCGTGTCAAAGTCTTTGCCGATGGAGATTTGTTGCAGCATTTTGGACACCTTTTGAAAGTTTGAGTATAATGAAAACGTCTACAATATATCTTGGCTCTTACCTCTGCCAAATTTTTTCTTTGGACTGAAGATACTTCGTGATTAAGAGAAACATATTGCTCAGGGGCACTAACATTAAAGACTTAAAACATGTAAATATACGCTAATTGGTAAAACTTACGTGATAGCGGGACTTAACTAGCGGTAATATACAAAATTTCCCAGAATTTAATGATCTCTTCTGAGGCTTCATCCGGGAAATTTTCCTCCATCACAAGTCGAAGCTCTCTTGCAATAACACGCATACCATAGGGCATTGAATCTACTGTTTTAATGATAGCACTTAGAAAGTCCTCTGTCAGATTTCTTAATGTTCCAAATGATTAGATAGAGCGTTCATAACCTCGGGTACTTGCAATGCTTGAGAGTGAGTAATATGAAAGGTTTGTCCGAAGGATTGCCCGTGCGAGATTCTTCTTGACCGACAAATTTCTGATAAATAACAACTGGGTTTGTCTCCAAATCCAACTCATTATTTTCAATCACTTTTTGATTAACGCCTCAAAAAGGGATGTGAAAAACTGTCTTTCCTTGGCACCACGATTCACTTGAACGACCAGTTTCATAAATGTATAGTTTCCACGCATAAATTCTTGAGGTCTTTGACGCGCTTCATTTCTTGTACAATACATGCTCTGCACAAGTTGATTAATAGACATTCTTCGCGGGCGTTGGTACCATAACCGACAGGGCTAACACCGTAGCATCAATTTTGCGCTGACCTATTCTTTCACCATAAACTTGACCACCTGTGATCGACATTATCTTGCCAGATATACAGGTTCTGTTTGCAGCAGAAATACGAGCTGTTGGTACAATCTAATTTGTCACGATTTCCTTTGTCTACACCACGCAAATCATAAGGACTATTGGAAGGGTTCGATGACATCAGTTGAGAAAATTCTCTGTTGCTGTTGCTTTCTTCTGTTGGATTGAAAATGCATTACTGAGTTTAACTACTTCATCCAATGTTACGACATTTTTCAAGAGCAATGCGATTTGAATATCAATCATGCTCACTTGACTATCCAAATGATTATTTTCTCTAATTGATTCAATAACCTTCTGTCGGAGATCTTCTATGATTAAATCCTCGTTAAAATCTACATCGTTGTTGCTCAGCATGTGAAGGACACTCTTAACAACTCCAATGGAAGGGTTTTTATCCGATTTCAATTTTTGATAAGCACTTTCATGGTACTGTGCACTGGATTTGCCTTCAATTCTCAAATTTTCTATGCGTTGATTTTCCACCAACTGGAATTGATGCATGCCGTCCATTTTTTTTATTGCAAGGTGTCGACGAATCATAGCCTGTAATGCAGTTACCCAATCATCAGGGCAAGCAAAAACTCGCTGCGTTTTTCACCAAGTTGGCGGCGCATTGATGCTGTACGGATACGAGCTTGCATTTTTTGTATAGTTGACTGGAAAGACTGATAACGGTACTGCTCTTTAATCTTTTCTAATTTATTTCGAGCCATAAATGTTCGGATGCAGCCTTGTGCTGAAACAAGTACTTTGTTGTTTTCTGGAGCAGTAAAGTGTTGCTCGAGGGCCGTTGCTCGTGCTGCAATCGAGTCTTCATCTTCGGAGTCGAGTTCGTCTGAATCGTCATAATACTCTATTTCGGAGGCGGAGCTACTGATTGAAGAATCACCAGAAGCATCTAGAAAAGTTTGAAATAACCGATGAGCTCATAATTACATTCGTGTTTGGTTGTGACACATACCTAAAAATTGTAACCTTTGCATTGTTGTAATACCCGAAGAGGTATCATGATCATCACTTGCGGATGTTTTTGACTCTGTGTCCGAATCATATAAATCAGCCACTATTAAATCAGGTGTATGTCTTCTAATTTGTCTCATTTTTGGCATCAAATCTTCATCGTCTATTAGTGGTTCTTCGATGGGTCGAAAAAGAAAGGTTTTCTTTTTACCACCATCCAATTCGTTTTGTAAGATGCACACAAGATTATTAAAGTTGGGCATAGGTACACCTGATTTCTCCAAATTTCTTTGCGTTGCTATCAAAATGTCTTCTGAAAAATTAAATTCGCCGTGTAAGTTTTTAATCTGTGGCGCGATTTGATTTGAATGCAATAAATGGGAGAGCATGAATACAATAATAACTTTGGGCATATTCTTTCCATCGAATAAATCAACAAATTCAAACCAAAAAATGGAAGGCAGACCAACTTGCTGATAACAGACAAAAATGCATTGATATTGTTGGAGCGTAAAAATTTGAATTTGGCATCGCCTGATATAATACTGGTAATGGAGGAAGGTTGAATTCTACGTGCCAATTTAGCTAGAACTACGCCATCGTGTAGTGTTTGCTCTAACTGTATGATTGATGCTTCCCTATTATCGTTGTCATCGATTTTTTCACTGATAAAACTTTCAATCCATCTGGCGTTACACTGTTAGATTACCATATATGGATACTTGTTATTGTGTTACTTACTCTATTGCCTCGCCAATGTGGCAAAGATATTCATGAACTTGGACATGGTTTTCTTTTGTCAACCCAACGCCCATCATTTTTTGTTTGCTGCACTTTATGCAAACGTATACGATCTATTATTACAAAGTTAGTTGAAACAATATAAGCAAATTAAGTCGTTGGGTCTTACTTGTGCCTAAAAATAAAAACATGTTAAAACAAATTACTTTTTTTCTGTCTGCTTGTAATACCTGCTACAGCTTTGGAATCATTCTCTGATAAAGAGTCATCATGTTGTAATGCTACTGTAGATTGTCTTGAAGACATTTAAATATGTAAATAAAAATAAAATAAGGTAAGAAAAAGTTGTATATTGAAGAAAAGAAAGTTGCCAATATCCCAATTTATGTCAGTTATAAATTTTTTAAACAATAACATCCAATTATAGAAATTACTTTGAATGGCAAATGTTTTCATAGAACATCACACCTCCATTCAGTAATTTTTTGTCTTCCGGTTCAACAAATTGTTTAGTGGAATTTTTTTTTTTTTTTTTTGAAAGCTTTATCTGCACTTGTACTTAAAATTAAAATATTTGGTTTGATATCAAACAAGAGTGCCAAATTCATTGTATAGCAGATAATGGTGTCATTGCAAAAAGAGATTTGTAGCACTACTTTGTTCCCTGATTCATTGTCAGAGATAACTACCCTAACTTTCATGAGGTTAGTTAATAGCGTCATTTTAGTTAATGCAGACAACGCGTGTTACAATTTCTCAGCTGTCGTTACATCAATGAAGTGACCAAAATATTCTTTTTACCTTGATATTTGGGATATTCTACATACCTCAGCTGCAAAAAAAGTAGAGTATAGCAAGAGAATGTTAGTTAAGCTCCTATTTCCAATTAGAAACTACTGATGTGCCAACATAAATTCTATAAGTCTAGGAACAGGCCAACCTAGTCACTTTATTTATCTGGGGCTTCCTCTTTTTTAAGGTCAAACATCGCTTTAATGGATGTGTCTATGGATCATTGCCTCGGCCCGCGAAGCTAAATATAATTAAAACGTTTGGCATTAAGGATATTACAGATTTTACAAGAATTTTGTCAAAAAGTTCTTTTGGAGTTATAGACACTATTTATTCTAGAATTATTTCACCAAAAGCAACTTCACTCTCATGAACACAAGCATTCATAAAGAGCTGGATTTTCTTTATGCCCTTACATCGAACAGACACCTTCATATTTTTTTCATAGTCCAGATTCATACAAATCGTGTTGATTTCACAGCCGTATGATAATTATGTGTTGTAGGGTCAAAGATCAGTTTGTAGTATTCGTCATGACTTCCTCGTTTAACTTTACAGCAATGAGATATATGGAATGTTCAGACTTGATTCGAATGGTGTCAATGTGGTGTTGAGCATGTCGACATGATAATACCGAGTGTTGACGCCATTGTGAGGGTTTTCCACTTTACAGCGAACAATAACCATATGTTTCAAGGAAGTAATACGGTCTGAGAGTTGAGAAAGCACGTTTTTACCAATATAGCAGTTTAAAAGAATCAAATGTGACATTGAATTATTTAAGGATAGGATCGGGTTACATTCCAGAATTTTGGTACTGCTTAGCCTAAGCTTTCTTAGACTGGAGCAGTGACTAAATATGTGGTCCAAAAAATGTCCATAGATCATATCGTAAGCTTTTCTATGAGTTTCTTTGGACACACGGTCAAAATTCATACGATATGTAAGTTCGGCCAGCGAGCTCCCAGTTTTTTTCTATGATACTCATGAGGCAATGTGTCCGCAATAGAACTATAGTCGATAAAGAATTCGTGGTCTTGATTTTTTTTATAGCCTGTTGTACGGTGCATGGTCAGCTTTGCATGTTGCTCTAACAGTGGATCTATGATACTATCGTACGAGTAACTAATGGATAAAAACCCGAATAGCTTGCTGGACATAACTCTTGTATATTCCTCAAGGGCATCGACAACAAGAGGTATTTTGATACAAATGGATATAGCACAGGAAGAAATTGGAGTCATGAAAGATATAAATTTGGTCAAAATATTGGCAGTTATTCTGGGTACTGTCATATGCAATCCGTCATTTTCTTCTGAATCATCTCGCCAACTGTGATTGATAAACAATTCCTGCAGGCAGGGAAATTTATGCATAATGTATATAGGGTGCTATCATCTTGTAACAAACAATCCGTCAAGTGTTTTAATATCTGGCCGAGGTTTAATCCGAGACAGGTCTGTTTCAGAGGTTGTTATTCTATTGTCAAATTCGGGTAGATTCCAATATCCAATTTTCTCAAGTTTTGGCACTTTTCGATGATCTTGTCAAATGATTCTAAACAGTCATTAGCATGTCGTTTGATAACTAACTCTTTGAGCTTTGAAAATTGTCCGAGTTCTTTAAGTAGACTGAAATAAAGTTCGTTGTTAATGCCACCCTCGTTTGCATGGATGAGCTGGATCTTGTCACAAACCAAAAGGCGTTCTAAACTTCTCTGGTAGTTTTGAACACAAGATGCGTACATTCCAAGATCTGAATCATTGTTTGGGAATTCAAAGTTTTTTAGCCCTTTCCATTTCGATGCGCTGCTAATGGAGATCAAGGTAGAGTAAAAGTCCTCGTTTGGTTCATGCACCTCCAATGTGTCAATGAAGGGAAAGATGTCGGCCATAGCAGGTAAACATTGCTTCCACAAGCCGTTCGTTGAATTAGGAAGAATAAGCTCTTTAACAAATTTACCGGGTGATTCTTGGCTACTTTTCAGGGCGTTTATTAAGTTTTTGGTATCACGGCTACTCACAGTCAAGGATTTGTAGTTGGTTCTTTGTGCAGGCAATTTCCAATTTCTGCAGACAAGTTCACATTGAAAAATATCCTTTTTTTCTAGCAATTTTCTGTCTTCAAAGAAGGATGTATTATCATTGGAATTGAATATGAGCAAAACTTCTTCTGGTAAGTTGCTCCAGGATTTCATTTCGTGTTTATAAAAAAAATAAAAGATACAATGATTTGTGATAGAATTTTTGGAAAATTAATTAACTTTTTGATCTCACCAATCATGTAAATTTCCAACTATCATAACAGCTCTAAAACTAACATTTGTACATTGAGAGCTCTATTATAGTTCGCGTGCTGTTGAAGTTTTATCCATGGTTTTCACATTCTCGTTTGTCTGTTTATCTACGTGTGTCTAAAATAGCTGCAATGTCAACCCAGCTTGGGTACATTTTTCGAAAATGAAATGGAGCATTCACCAATTAAAAATTTGAACTTAAAAAGGAATAGCTGTGCTTATAATCTTTACACTAAAGAAAACGAACACCCAAAGGATATTCGTAATTTACCAATCTATACCAAATTTAAATTCTGAAATACCATGTCTACTAGTAGTTTTAAGAATTCTGTTGTGAGATCAAAAATTATCATTCTTAACAAATACTCTTCTTGGTGCAACATGAGAACGAAAAAGTGGCTGAGCATGATAATAATTTCAAGTGATTGTTGCAACTAGGCAGCACTTTGTCATGACAATGTCATCAAAGGACAAAAAATAAAACATTGCATTTAATTTACTAGCGCTCTAATGAAGGATACGTACTTTGCAGCATATTTTTCAGTCATACTAGTATCTACCTATATTGTAGTATCAGTTGTGGTTTAAACTTGCAGTGCTTTCTTTGAGCATGCACATCATTCTAGCGTCTGGTAGATATAGACACGCCTTAGTTCATTATTCGCTAACCCTGATGGTTACATATCAAAATATTGATTAAGAGCTGCCGATTTTTTTTCCATCTGAATAGCCGGTGGTCTTGATGTCGATGGTATCCCGTCTTCTATTATAACGTTTACTACCAACTAAAATAGCAGTTCTAGCTATGTTTTTTTATTCCAGCTTAAATTGTATAGCCATATTTACACTTTAAAATTACCCGTACTGGATAAAGTTCCTGCTGATGAAATGTTATCAATGTATTATCACTAAGTTCTTTATAAAAACCACAATGATACATATTTACTTAGATTTGTGGGAATTTGAATCAACTTACAGGTACAAATACCTTCCACATGTAAACATTATGACACTTGCATTAGGTAAAGACAATTTCATCATAAATAATTTATCCTCCTAATTATTTAGGTCCCCGTCAGGACAGCGTGGGAAATCTACAAGTCATTTTGAGTGACATGCCCCGGTAAGCCTTACCTCGGTATGCATGACACCACTGCTTTTGCAGCAATTTTGATCATGTTATGGTGCCATTGATATGTTATTAAAGATTAAGTATGCATCTAGGTTAAGCTTCCGCAATCTGATTTTGAATTTAGGGTTTGTCATTGCCCGGTTAAATTTATATTAAAAGTCTTGGTAATAAAATCACAGGCGTATTAACGACGTGGCTATCATTCATGGCATTTGTAAATTAAAATTAAGCGGGTCTTTTTAAATAGAGTATCTTGTAGATAAATGGGATCAAGGTAGCAAAATGCACTGTTAACGGAGTATCAATGTAAATTGCATTATTGATACGAATTGTGGAGAGGTCCATGTTCGGCACTGTAACAAGTTAGGCAGTGAAATTTCAAATGATAAGTCTATTTGGGCTAAACTTTTTTTTTTTTCTTTTTTTTTTCCTTTTACTCCATTACCCCCACACTTTTTTTTTTTGAATATGTTGATCTGC